CTTCTTATGAGCTTAGGTGTCTGTTAGAACATATCTATCTCTACACTTACTACTCAACTATATTCTTACTATGTTGTGATTTTTCATCTTTCTTGTACTTTCACCATATCAACCAACTCACCTATCTTGATGAGGCATCCCATTGTACCCTGCTTCAATATATTGTTTGTTGTCAGAGGACACCAATACTTTAAGTCAGAAGAAAGTGTAGTAGAGATTCCAGTATCTTATTAGAACAAAGATTGTTCTAGTCCAAGATACAAACCACTTTAAAGCTACTATTTCTGAGCTATATAAACTCTCTATAGCCTCTGCATCTTGCTTATTATCTTTATACTTTATTGCTCTTTTCTACACATTCATTTCTTGTTACCAGTTTGGCTATTAATCAGAGAATATGAAGATTTCTTATTTATAAAACTTGCTACTGTTTCTTATTAGAGCTGTCTGTATTAGAACAGAGCTCTTTAGTACTATTACTTCTTGTGAGCTTAGGTGTCTGTTAGAACATATCTATCTCTACACTTACTACTCAACCATACCCTTATTATATTGTGATTTTTCACCTTTCTTGCACTCTCACCATATCAACCAACTCATCTACCTTGACAAGGCATCCTATTGTACCCCGCTCTAACAGAAGCCCAGTCAGTTTCTCAATATAGAAGGTTGGCAGATAGATCATCTGAGAGCCTTCCAATATTTCCGGCTCATTTTGCAAATGAGGTTGTGCCTAGGGTGCCCATTTTCAAGGAAGGATGGATACCTTATTCCATTTCTTGTATCATTAAGACTCTTGCTGGCGATGATATCAAGTAGAAAAATCTGGCGTCCTTTGTGTCGTAGGCAAAGGGACTAACAAATACAGATTAATCCAGATATGCAATTGCCTCAGCTATGATTCCAAATTGATTTCTAGTCTCCATTGCACCTTCTTTGCCCCATTCAATCTATTCACTTTCATGTCCCAGCAACCTTACTTTGTACCATTTGATCCTTCAAGTACATGAGTACATAACAGAGGCTAGGGACTTATATCACCAACAAACAAACAGTCTGACTCTGGAGTAATCTCACAGTCCCCAACAATAACTGCATATGTGCCAGGGACAAGATCATATGTCTTTCCATCTTTGATTATCTGCAGGTTTCCTGATATTTTAGCGACAGGAATGGTGTATAACCACTTTTCCAATGTTGGTTAGATTGGGTTATTGATTGAGAACCACCACATCATGTAGCCCCAGCCCTAACCAAGTATGAGCTATCCTGAAATATCAAATTATGATATGGCGTGCCTACATAAGACCCATACTCATAAGCAATAGTTTCACATAAGAATCAATCTTCTCTTTCGCGTACATCCAATCATCTTTTTCATCAATAAAGTAGTTCTCTCCCCTGACTCTTAAAGTGTCAAGTGCCCATTGTTCCAGATCTCACCTGTATCTCTCCGCGTCATCATTCAAGGGAGCTCAGGGGTCCATAGATCTGATTGTCACCGCCAGCCGTGAAGTGGGAAAAGGCCTAGATCTATTCATATGCATTAGTTGTAGTTTGAAAAACCAATACAATCAGGACTCTCATGAGATACCAAATATCCAGAAACCAGGTTAACTCATCAGCAGTGGGCATTTCTAGTGTGGCAGATTGGAATTTTGAAGAAATGCATGATGTTTATGCAGAGGTTGGGCCGCAATCACAAGCCCACCATATCTTAAGCCCTCACCTGGGAGAAAGTTCAAGTCATGAGATTGGATATTATCATGTGGGTTTTCTTTGCCTTGCGCTTGCGGCTCCATCCCTAAATTTTTCACAAATGCCCTGGTAACAATGCACAACATTTTCTTGCTCGGCCACATTCTTACTTTTCTATCTTTATTTATTCCACTACATAAACAGGATAATCATGGAGGGATTGAGCTGTTACCAACCATGTGAAAGCCCGGGCTGTTCTGTCATCCAGCAACAAGACTACTGTTCTGGCTTTCCATAACTGCTGCAATTGCTGCATTAGCTTCTCCACGGCATGGCCTGGAAGAGGTGCTTTGTCAGCGCAGGCATTCTAGCTCCGTCACATGACCGTAGAAGATTCAAAGTTTGAGGAGCATGCTTGGAGTGAGGAACAATGTTTTTCCACCTAAGATCTCATGTTATGACATTTATGCATAGCTCTAATATCAATTCCTCCTTGCATGATGATTTTTCAATACCTTCCTGACAAGATTTTTGCCATACAGCTTCTCAGAGCCTGCGTGACCTCTTGAAATATCAACCCAGTAATTTTTGCTGAAAAGCCTCCTCCCACAATTCTACATTTTCCTGTGGCTAGCACGTCAGAATTCACGATGATCCAGCCCCCCTGTTTTAATATGGTGGACCTTTCGCAAGATGATCAAAATACCATTAAACAATACCCTTTAAACAACTCTCTGGATCATTTGCAAGGCTTGCTTCAAGATACAGAGAAGCTCTACACAGCACACTCAGTTTCTTATGATGGTGCTTCAGACAGTCTTAAGAAGGTCTGTCAAAAGATAGTATTATGACTTCTCTCTGCTTTGCAGGGTACAAAGACTGCTCTTGTTCTTCAGTCAAGGATCAGCAGTAGCAATATAGCATTGGAAATGGTGTGTCTATTCAAGTGTGTTTAAAAAGGCAAGTTCAGCTACATCTACTACTGCCTGCTGGTGGAGCTTGTCATTCAAAAAGTGTCTGATCTTGATATCTGGAATGCTGTCCTTAGCCTCATCACACCTGTGTCACACGTTACTCCTCTATCTTGTCTTATTGTGTCTCTTTGGCAGACTTCTTGGTTACACAACATGAGCAGTTTCACTAATTCAGCAGAATACTAAAGACACATTGACACTATATTGAAAACTATATTGAAAAAGAAACTTGAGGATCTTCATGTAGATATCCCTAGTTTTCTTGAAGCCTATTTTGGGAATATCTCAGATCTTGATTTAATCACACATACTGTCTTGGATAAATGCAAGGAGAGAAATTGCCTGCTATACAATAAAGAGAAGAGGTGGAGAGACTGGCTAGAGCATGCAGTGGAAAAAAAGGTGCTCAAGTGGTTGGCTGATGTTATCAGAGAGCTTGTGCAGTTTGTGGAGCTAGATAACATGGCTCAGAAAATTAACTGGAGGCCTCTTGTGCAGCCCACCTGGCCTCTAGAGGGCTTAATTACAACATGAAAACTTGATATCAGCTTTGTCAATAATTCAAGTGCCACTGATGACTTCATATGCTGCTGGTCTCAGATTCTTATATCTGGGGAACTGAAGAATGACCCCAAATATGATAATCTCTCAAGAGTGTAGCTTAACTTAGAAAGATATGCCAGAGAGGTTCTGGCTGCTCAGGATTTATACTATTTTGTTCTGGGGTTTACTCTTTGCAGGCTGTTTCTCTGCTTGTAGGAATTTGACTGCTTGAGGGGCATGGTGCCAGAGAGTTTTGATATTAATACAGATAGTCTCTGATTTATAACTGTTATTCTTGAATTTCTCTTGATAAGTCCAGAACAGCTTGGATTTGACCTGACTATCATTACTATTGGAGACAGATATTACATTGAAATAGAGAAGAATGGCAGAAAGAAAAGACTTGTTATTGATAATATAATTAAGCAAGCATGCTGTATTACTGGTTAAGCTACAACTTGTTGGAAGATACATTGTAATAATGATCCATAAATCTTACTGATGATCAAGGACTCATGGCAGTATCTAGAGTATAATAAGAAAGAGAAGCTTTTATGTGAAGCAACAGAGAGTGGTGTTATTAATATTGCTAGGTACTATCACTATAAGACTGTCTACATCAATGGCAAGAGTGATGATATCTTAGATATTCAAAAAGGTCTAAACATCCTAACATTGAAATCCAGGCAGGGCAGTGTGAAATCAATCACAAGCTGGAGCAGATTGTGTTGAGGGTGAAAGGATCAGAATAGTGCTTTTGGATGAAAAAAATCATCTGACTATATAAACATTCTGCTTTATTCTTCTCCCAGCAAACATATCCAGTCAGGCTCTTCAACTAAATCCTCTATACACAGCACTCCACTGAATTAGGTGCACTGCTGTGTAACTGTCCAGGACTATAGAAATTGTATCTATAAGAGCAGCTCAAGAGTGGCCCTGCTTACTGGGCTGAAGGGTTGTATCAAAGAGTATGATTCCCTATATCAAAATGCTGGGATGATTTAATGTGATATCTTCTCTTGAAACTTACTAGTAAATGAAGATGATAATAATTCTTTCTGGCAGGCTTTTTTGATTGATCTTGACCTGGTGATCAGAGTGGAATGGGATGGTTTCTCTGGAGTGTGAGATAAGACTGGTACTAGGGCATTCATGACTATTGGCATGCTATATGGTGAAAAGCATTTCTTCATGCATGATTTGAATCATTTTTCTGGGTTCTCTTCTGGATATGCATTCACTATAATGCCTCTGGGAAGACAAGAGTTGTCAAGCACTTTGAGGAGTGGAACTACATAAATACAGAGAAGCTGGCTGACAAGAAAGGGGTGATCAGTAATGAAGGGGATTTTCTCAGAATTGCTGAGAAGAATTTCACTCCATACTACCAACCCTTGGTCTCTTGGGTTAACCAATTACGCCGGGTTGTCTTTCCTAGTGGTGGGCGGTGGAAGGAACCGAATCTGAAGCTCGGTTTGGAGATGGTGGACATACTTCGGGCATGCACAAGACGATTCGAATGTTATAGACCAAGGCTGAACCCAGACTTTCCTCTGTATTTTGGGCACACAGCACATGGAACAATACTCATCTGCAAGTCACTCTTGGCGACAGCATCAGGCGGTCTTGCCCACTTATTGAAAGCTAGTAGCTACAGTATTCGATTTTTGGTGGATCTGACGCTATGGTCGATCCAATCTTCCACGTCAAGTCTTAAACCTGCGTGATTATTGAAGAGAAAACATTTAATGGCGTGGAATGTTATAACTGCACCAAGGCAAGCTATATCTTTGCACCGCCATACCTCAGATAATGGCAAATCACAGACTTCACATCCTCGTCTTCAACTTCAGCCACATCAACCGTCTCCCCTCGCTGAAGAGTACACATGATATCGTCCTCGTACCAGCCCTTGAAGGGTGTCCTCCTCGTCTGGTCGGAGACTAACAAACACACAAAGGCTGGAATGCTGTAAAGCCTGGCAAAGTCAACCACAACAGAAGCACGAATGGTGAATGACTACGAGATTCATGAAAAGTGCCTGGAGGTAGGATGTTGGCTTCAGATCAGTTGCTCAAGCTTGCAAGAAATGGTTGGCCTCCTACATGTCAAAGGTCAGGCCTTTGAAGTTATTTAGTTTGCTGATGTGTTGTTGCTGTTATGTTTGTGGTGTTCGACGATACATAAATCACCCTCGCCCGACTGGGAGTCTATGGAGTTGATGAGGTCGTCGAACTGCGAGGAACCAAAGTCGTCGTATCCCAGCGACAAGACATCAGAGACAAGATCAGAGATGGTGCTGCTGCGACTGGTATGGCTGGAGCAAGAGGGAGACACGACAAGGGTTCTCGGGACGGTCTGGGGGAGGCCATGAGTCTGGCTATAGCAGAAGTGATGGGGTTGTTGTTGTTGTTGTTGTTGTTGTTGTTGTTGTTGTTGTTGTCGTCGTCGTCGTCGGCGTTGCTGTTGGAATGGAGCGGTTGAGGCTGTTCGCAGGGCAGAGGGCAGGCTGTAGTTGGATGGACAAAAGGGAACGAAAGCGGCTGTAGCGCATGTAGGAGTTGATTCTGTGTTGTCACCATTGTTGTTGTCTTCATTGGGGTATTGGTGTCTTTCATCGCGTGCTTTGTTGTCGTCAAGAGGAGGCAGCAAGAAGCCTGGCAGATAGGAGCTGGCAGCCTCTCCACTGTGGAAAGACACCTGCATGGTGTCTTTTTCTCCTTGCTGCGTCTCTGTTGTTCCTGCTCGAGGCCATAGACCCATCAGTCTGCCTGTTTACATCCCCAAAGAAGAGAAAATATCGTCATAGATACCAAGTGAGGCTTGGGAAGCACAGCCTAACCTACAATTATCTATAGAACAACCATTGCGACTGGGCAGAACCATCTCTATGTGATATCTCTCATCAAGATGAAAGAAATCTCTTGGCTAGGTAGCTACCAGCAGAATAAAATAGTTCAATGTTGAGTCTACTCGCAAAACCCGGAGAACTACCAAGGACACAGCTAGGACCCAACAAGCAATCGGAAAATACGCAATATTTCAACACAAATCTGGGTTAGGCAGCGCTCAACTATTTCATCGATAAAATCTCTTTCGTGGAACTCCAGGCCCCATTCATTGCGCCAGCTCCTTCCCTTGGCCAGTGGCCGAGTTGGCGGTCTCTCCCTCCGTTTCTTCTGGAATTGTGTCGATGAATCCCGGGATACCAGCCTTCCTGATCTGCTCCAAATATTTTCCTAAATCTCCCTTGCGGGAGGGGAAGAATTTGAAGGTCCCGTCAAAATGCACATGGATGCTGCCGATACGGTCCTTCGAATTTTCAGTCGTCAGGAGACCAACGGTGATCACTGGAAATGGGTCCTTTGGATCGTTGCTCGACTTGTGGGCTCTCCCACCCCTAGGAATAATCTGTTAGTGGCGTGCGGAGATATATATAACATGGACCAATGGGCAAAAATACTGGATGTCCGCCACTTTGATTCGAGGATCCTATGTGTGGGCAGTTTCTGTTAGCCGCGTCTCTGGGTCTCCCTTCATAACAGCTCTGTTGCGTGCCAGCATGATACTCACAGCTTTCTCGATATCGTCAGTTATCCTCTTCACCATCGACTGCCAGTGTCCTCCGTCCGGCCCATTCTGATGCAACATAGCCTCAAAGCCAGATCCCCTGAAGGTAATGGACCTGTATGCGCTAGTGCTGAACGCTCTTGCACCAAGGGCATTCATCCTGGGCAACGGGTCGGGTGATGGATGGCATGTCCTAAAGAGGTCTGGGAGGTTCGGGGTATCAACGAAATCCAGCTGAGGGATCAAGTATGTCTGCGTGCGAGCTCAGTGTCCGTCGCTTGATGAGAACACCTGAACAATTCCCCAGGACCATTGACTGGCTTTTATGCCCAAAGCCAACCATCCTTACGCGCCGGGACCATTCGCACCTGCATGTTCCTCTCTCCATCCTTTCAGGGCAAGCATGCCGCAAGCCGGTTTGCAAGAGGTGGCTGTGACAAAGTCGTTCGTAGTTCGGCATGCCAATTCCATGATGCCCAATCGAAAAGGCGAGGAAGGGGGTAGTTTCTGACGGTAGCCGCCGTCTCTGAAGGCGAATCTCAGTTAGGCTTGCGACCATCCTCCTCCTCCTCCTCCTAGAACTATCTGTAAATAGTAGCAAGTGAAACACGGAAACGCTGGTCCTGAAAAATCTGACTTAAAAGTACGGGGCATGGCTGCTATTTCCATATTTTCATACATCGGCATTGGGCTCCAGCGGTTGAAAAACTGCGACCATTGGTCGTATATAATCCTCCCCAACTTTTGAAAGTGGACAGACAGCGGCTATCAGAGGTTCGTCGCATATGATTGGCCGGTGCCCTTGCGCACGGGCCTGGCTGAACATCATCGACGGGAAGTCCCATGGGCCTCCTCCATACGGAATACATGAGACAACAATCACACGTCAACAACCATCATGAGGTTGGTGCGTGCTGGATGCTCGCTTGGAACGCTGGTCCCTCGCGCCCCCCGCGCGGCTTCCTTGGGCCTCCCAGTTCTCCCTCGACAGCGGTATCAACCACCAACACCAACACCAACACCAACACCAACACCACCACGACGAAGTCGCAACACTACGGTTGTTCACCGACGCGCGATGGCTACCCTGGGCGCAGCCCCTTTGAACCCTCGCCACTTCCCGGCGTCCGGATTCACCGAACTTGATCCTGCAGTACCTATCGAAGAGGAATTGCTGCCGGACTACATTGCAGAAATGTATTATCCCGTACGTATCGGAGAAGTGCTCAATGACAGATATCAGGTTGTCTGCAAGCTTGGCTATGGAACAACTTCCACAGTATGGCTTGCTCGCGACCTCCGGTAAGAAATAACTTGCAGTTGCCTACCGACAGACAGACAGAAAACAAACATCTAACATGCACATCTTAGGAACACAGACGATAGCTTCACGTATGTTGCACTGAAGATATATGTCAACAGATATATCAAACGCGACGAGACAGTCATCTATGATCGGATCAATGCTGCGTCCAATGTGGAAAGACATCCGGGCTGCCGGTTTGTTCGTAAACTGCTGACGTCCTTCGATATACAAGGACCTCACGGGAAGCACCTTTGTGTTGTTCACCAGGCACTTGGAATGAGCATGGATCAGCTTTTGCGATTCTTTCCTCGACGATCTATTCCAATGGACTCAATGAAGCGATGTCTCCGCCAGCTCCTCATCACACTGGACTTTCTACATACTGAGGCCGGAATCATACACACTGGTGAGCCGTGGCAGCCCATCACATTTGCTGCTCAAGTGCTAATTCGGATCTTCTCAGATCTCCAACCTAAGAATCTGCTCCTTCCCGTTGATGATGTTTCGACGTTCAAAGAGATGGAGGAAGATGAATACAAGAATCCTTCTCCGCGAAAAGTTCTCAAGGATCGCACCATTTACAGCATGCGTGGGCTGCTTCTTCCAAAAGGAGGACTGCCCTTGATCTGTGATTTTGGAGAAGCCAGGGTAATAAACGAAGAGGGACATACTGATGATATCATGCCTGATATCTACAGGGCCCCTGAGGTCGTTATGCACATGAAGTGGAATGTAAAGGTTGATATTTGGAGCATTGCAATGGTGGTAAGTCACATTGCCTCAGTGATCTCTTCTTGCTAGCTAAATATTCTGTCTGAAGGCCTGGGATCTCATTGCTCCGCAGCCCATGTTCGACCGTCGACACCCAGAGACAGGAGAACCTGATGATAGGTATCTCATTGCGCAGTTTGCTGCTATCCTGGGTCCGCCACCTGTTGAGTTCTGGAGCCAGAGCAAATTATGTCAGGCCTTTTGGGATGAAAATGGTTCGTCAAGTTCTACAACAACAATCTCGTTTTCACTCTATACATACTGACGAATCATATTCGGAACAGGGAACTGGAAAAATGTGGTTCCTCTCCCAGAGATATCTCTTGAAAGACTAGCTGCAGATATTGAGGGTGAAGATGTGCCAGGCTTCCTACACTTTCTGCAGAGGATCCTCCGCTGGCTCCCTGAGCAGCGTCCGACGACTGAGGAGCTGATCTACGATCCATGGTTGCTGGCGGGTCTTGGAAGTGGAAGCCAGGGACAAATCACAACTGATGAGGACCCTCTGTCCGTGAGCTGAAGTCGATGGGCAGCTGCGTACTTACTTAGGAATACGGTCCGCTCTAGAATGGTGACTTGTTGTATTTTGAAGATTTCACGGGTCACTGAGCAGCAGTAGTATAACCGAGTTTGCTAACCTACGTCTGTCAGCGATCACTAGAATCAGCGTGCACAGCGGCATGTTGATAAATGCTAACAAAAAAATGTAAGCCTAGGGCATTTGTCACCGTTTCGCAACATCCAGCGCTCATTCACCCAGCTTGGTTCGCGAACAAGTCCCAGAATCACAGATGGAAGGATTGAGAAGCAGAATCTTGTCTATTCAACTATTTCATGGCCCTAGTTGAATATTGCGAGGTTACATTGTGTAAACACAGAAAGGCTTGGCAGAAAACCATATTGATTGATCTATTTCTACTTCGGAACCTCTGCTGGATCACCTCCCAGGGCCTGTTCCGGCGCCTCATTCGTTGTCCGCCTCAGATCATCGGGCCCGGTTTGTCCAATGTTGTTGTCATGTGCACGGGCATGTTCGGCAGCATCGGTGGCTTTCTGTTAGTGGGCTCGCTGCGGACACTGTAGACTGGTGGTAATCATGGCGTGTGGATGGCTGCAGTGACACTCTTTGCTGCTTTGCAGGCGCTGACAACTCATGATCTGCATCCGCACTGCCATGGCGTTCCCGATCATATACCGAGGTTGACCCCCGCTGGATGGAGCCCTGGTCGTCTGGGACATCAGGAGTTGGCGGATCGCGAGCGTGGCAATGGGTGGGAATCACCACTTCAACCCTGGGGTACCTTGGCGGTCATGGGCTGGTTGGTGGTTGCTTCTGGGAAGTATGGGCGGGACTGTCAGCAGCACTGGCAGCAACAGCCTCAGTATCTGGCCGCGGCGAGGAAGCCACAGAGACATCGGGAAGCCCATCAAGCCGGGCGTCTGCCGCGTTGACATATATCATATCACAACCGGTAATGCTGGCGTGTTGGTGGCAGATTCAGCGGGATCTAACCCGCTCCTGTTTCTTCGTTTTCGAAGTGTAAATAGCCGCTGGCGCAGGGCAGATTCCGTCCTCTCCAGAAAACACCTTGCTATCTCCGGCCAGGGCTGGCGGTCCTCTATCATGCTCAGAAGTCGTGCATCATCCTCGGGGGACCATTGCGACAGCTTGCCTCCATGGCCTTTCCTCCTCTTGCTGTGCCCATGCCGAGTTGGCCCAATCTCCCCATGGTCATCCAAGCAAGCAGCTGACTTCGCACCCTCATTGAATTCAGTTGTGCAGCTTGCCAAAGCACCTTCAAACAGCCAAGAAAGGAACTGCAGGCGTTCATCGAGCTGTAAAGATAGGAAATGGGAACGAACGGTGATGAAGGAATGGGTAGGTAATGTAGAAGCAATTCGAGGCTGCTTTGTGGTCTGTTCTTCCAATCCCTCTGCTCCTCGCTTGAAACTCCTCGACTGTTTGCTGCTAGAGCCTTCACCCACACCGCTGGAGCAGGGTGCATCGGTCTCAGTGCTGAGGTGGGAGGGGTGCAGTTGTGGACAAGCCTGGATGTGAGGGTGTTTATCCTTTGGAGCATTCTCATTCCAGCCATCAAACTCCTCCATACAGCCTTGGTGATAGTCGGGCGCACGGCAGAACCTAGACAGGGGAGGTTCAGGATATGGACAGTGTGCCTCTGGGATTGCAGGGCTGTTGCCTTGCCAGAAAGATGGGAGAAGCTCACTGGCCTCCCAGGGCCTGCCATTGGCAAGGATAGCCGGGTCTATGGGAATGTGGTTGTCGTTCTGAAGAACTGGGAGGCTAGGGAATCCCTCCAGGCTGCCGTCTGAGCTAGTTGTACTGGGCGAGGATGGACCAGGCCCTGTGGCGCCTTCCTCAAGCGGAGGTAGCTCATCCGGAGGAGTAGTGGGATCTTGGGTGTTGCAGGCGACAATTCGAGGTGAATTTGGGATGACCTGTAGCGGATCATGCGGATATGAGGGTCCACGCTCAGGGCTCTCTGAAGATGGCATACTGGGTGGCGGTATCGACCCTCGTGCTTGGGATTGGGAGGCTGATGGTGTATATGGCTTGGTGTTGGTGCTGAATGACATGCAGACTTCAGCTGGTGGTCTTGCAGGGAGATGATGCTTGGGGGGTGGTAGAGTGTTGCGGGGAGTGTTGCGGGGGGAATCATGGCAGGATTTGGAGGGAAGGGAACAGCTGGCCACCAGAGCGTGTGAATTGAGGGATTTGGGATGAGGGGGCGCCCATGGTTTGAAATTTGCATAAAGTGTAGGATTGAACGGGGCAGGAGGTGGCATATTCCAGGAGGGTGGACTTTGGTTGCGGAGATGATCGGGAAACTGGAAGGAGGTCAGGAATGCGGATCAACAGGAGAGTGTGTAGTGGGAAAATCTGAGAGGCGCCAGAAATTCTGGGGCAGGACCAGTTGGCCTTCTTATAGTGGCTCTCAGTCCGTCGACGCGCTCGCTTCGCTGCCGCTCCCAGGGGAGTGACCGGGAGAATCCGTCAGTTCCTTGAACCTCGCTTCAGGATGTTGACATGTCCATCCCCTTCAAGATTGTGGCCTGGAAACAGACACCCTTGGTGCCCCATGCCAATCCCATTCGATTATCGCAACGTCCAAAGATCACATGTCCCACCCGCGCTCCTCGACACGGCCCCCATGGGCTGGCTCGGAGGCGCATCCTGCTCCTGCAGCGAAAGCAATGCGGTAATTTTGCCATTGGTGGGAGAACAAAAGCAGGAGCCTGGAAAGTCAGCCTTGGTGGGTCAGGGGTGGGTGAGAGGATGTAGGCCTGGACACTGAATCCAGCTGATGTGAGGGCTTTGGGATACATGCCAGCCAGTCATCTTCAGAGCTTCCAATGCTGGATGTAGCTCTTTTTTGCTCGGAGACTTGTGGGCCAGAGGTGCCCCAGGAATCAGAGTGGGAGAGCAGAGAGGTCATAAAAGAAAAGGGCAAGAGAAGAAGGAAATTGGAAGCAGACAGCAGTGAACACCAGCCTGCTGCTTAGAGTTGCTGATTGGAGAAAACCATTGTAACATGGCTGCAAAAATCTAGCAAGCAAGGTAACATCTCAAGAGGGGCACAGGTGGCCTAGAAACCAATGAAGTGATACAGACTGTCCAGGTCCATCAGACAGGTGTTCGGTGACTCTGGGGCGGCAGGTGAAAAGAAGGTGGACGGCTGGATAACACAGCACCATCCCTGCAGGGTGAGGGGGCAGTGCATCTGGGCACGGGAAACAGGACACGGGACGAGGGAGAAAGAGGATGAGGAAGTGCATCGCTGTTCAAGGGAGTGAGGTCGGGTTTATATAGATTGCCTGGTGACATTGGGGCGGCGTGAGATGCTGCAAAAGTGGCAAGCCGGGCGCCATCCCCGAAGCGGCAACGGCTATGCCGCAACAGACATAGTGCACGTTGCGGACCAATGGCAGGCCCGATCACGGGGCTGGGCGCCCCGCTAACCGACACAAACATTACTTTATAATATCTTCTTCATTTTATTTGATCAGACATAAACTTGTTAAGTTGGCTTGTCGCGTGCGATGAGATAAGATAATCGGTGGCGCCGGCACGCGGTCAAGATTTTTTTCCCCTTCCGGCCTAGCGCCAGAGGCTTGCCCCTACCATCATTGGCCGCAGAAACTGCCATCCCGCCTCTTTTCCCAATTGCCCTCGTTCCTGACAGCCAATTGCGCGCTGGTGTGCATCCAGGGCATCCCATATTCCCCCAGAGGCAACGCTGCCATTGATGCAGGCAAAGATTTCCGAAAGGAATTTCTTCTATATGCAAGATTTAGTTTTTTGAAACTGTGCTGTTTGTCACATCCGTGTTCTCCCCCCACAGAGCTGCGAAGCTTCGTCTTGAGGTTGCTTTGGAATTCGCAGCGCATCTTTTTACGACCCTCCCTTCATCATCCCAAATCCCAGACCAAATTAATGATATATCCCTTGTTTTCATCCCCAACATTTCGCACAAAGTTGAAGTGAAGCCTGATCATAGAGAAATTCTTTTTTCCGCGCCCCCCCTCCCGGGAGGTGAGCAAGTCAGGGATCAGCGTCTCCGAGTGGCTTGCGGGGTAGTTAACAATCTTGTGAAAGGCTTCCAAAACGCCGCTATCGCTTCTAGTAAGAGAGGCGTCTACGATCGTTGACAATGCCTCTCGACGAGGAAGGGGCTAAATGGTCATGGTATGCATCGCTTGCCGCGGTAGGATGGAATCTTTATGTATCTCCCCGCTAACTTTAGATGCCTGCGTTTCAGTGAACCATGCATTCGAGGGCATCGGTCATCAAAATGCCAGCATTTCGATAGGCTTATGATGAAAGTACCTAAAGCTGGCCGGCCACTTGCAAAGTGCCCTCACCCCAAGGGTACGTGCAGTTGTCAGAAGGTCTATGCGTTCATGGTCAGAATTCCAAAAGGTGAGCAGAATTGAGATCATTAAAGTTGGCAGTTGCCGGTGTTAACCTCCACAGGCTCAACGTGCCTATGTCGACCCCTGTATCGCGTCCCTATGACTGGACAGCCATCTGGGAAGGTGTCGCCAAAGTCTAGCCCACCACTGTCAGTGGCCTCATCTTCTACTACGTCACAGCCAAATAGGGTGCAAAAGCGCACGAGGCGACAGAACAGCATCCAGTCGCAATCCGATGTTATAGCCAATGGGCTAACAGCTCTTGCTGAGGACTCTGAAAAGCCCAATTTAGAAAATGTGAAGCCCATTACTCCATACACTAATATGCGTTCCCCAATAGCTCCTTTGCAATGCCATGTACCCACTATCCCCTCAGAAGCTTATCATCAGAGCTTGGCAGCGCCGAGGATCAATAAATTACAGATGGCACTACCTGTTCAGGTGCCTAGTCCATACAACACCTCGCCATCCAACTTTGCACAAGGAAGCAGTCCTACACATGCTCTGACATCACCTACTCCCCTCTGTCCGGCTCCTTGCTGTGAGAGGGTAACGAAGTCCGAGGGAACCTCTGTCAATGCAGGTTCCACCTTTGTACACACTTCGCCGCAGGAAACGCGCCTATATACCTTTTCTGGACCCGATCCTTCTTCTATATTTCGACGATCGTCTGGGGCCCCAAAGGTCGAGTCCTCCGGAAGCTTGATGCATCACAATTCAAACGCGTCACTAGTATCTATGGACCAATTTTCCGCTCCCTTCTCGTTAGCTAATCCTCCTTACCGCAACTCATACCCCTCTCAGAGCCATATAGGAAGCGTTCATTTCGCTCAAGGTGTTCCATCCAGCCCGGCTAATCCCTTTCCTCATAATTACTTTGGATTCGAAAGCCAGCCCGAACATAACTGCGGCTGTGGGGATGGTTGCCAATGCCTGGGGTGTGCCTCCCATCCATTCAACGACACTACCCGCCAACATATTCAGGAGATGGGATACTTGATGACACTTCAAAGCAATGAGGAAGGCGACAACCGACCTACTTCGTCTTACGGTAGAAATGATTTTTCGACGCATCTGGAGGCGTATAATCCACCACAGCATCCTTCGGGACAAAGCAATATACCGGGGAGTTTCACCGGTGATTTTATGAGCCAGTCTATCCAACCGCTCGCCAATGAGGCTTCCCTACCGACCCACGGGATATACAGCCAGCAAAACTACGAGCCATTAATGCAACCAGGGGCATATTACACCTTAGAATACCCAGTGGGTCTATCAGATTTTGCTCCTTGCACGAATATCATGGGCACTTGTCAATGTGGAATCAATTGCAAATGTATCGGCTGTCTTACCCATGATGGCCACAATGGGGTCTCTTTAGAACCATCTCCACCGCCAGATCGACCAAGTGGGAATGTAACGTCGACTACGGACAAGCCAGTACCTCAAACGCAACACAGGATGGAGCTACAACCGGAGTCCTTCGGCCTCAATCATCTCAAAACAGAGCCGACGATCATGGATTAGCGCCGTTTCGTCCGAACTGAGAGTCAGCCCTTGTGGAATATTCGTTTTTTTGGCCCATCCTCTTCACTTATAAGATAACCCCCGTACTTGTCCGATATCGCTTCAAACGTTTGTGGTAATATACATGCGTTTTGCTATTAAAAACACTAATAGCATTCTTCATTCTTGTATGTGATTTGTTAAAAATTTAAGCTGCACAAAATAATGCTGGGATTGGTTTATTTTTATATAGCGCTGGCCAACGTGGGTGCTCCGATTGCCGGGAGATTAATGTATAGATGGGATAAAAGGCTGAATGTATAGAGTCTGGTCTAATTTTCTTTTTTGAAATCTTCAACAATGGATTGTTCCTTTGCCATATGCATTGTATAACCAGTGGATATTGTACAGCTCTTTCTCCGCAAGAGATCTATAGACAGCTAGTGCTGTCAAATAGGCCAGATTTTCCACCTGTGTAATCATTCTCGCGGTCTTACCGAATCGCACACCGAGCATTTCGAGGGTATTCACGGCTGCCCGTCTTTCCTCCAGGGCTGATCTCCTCGTCGGAAAGATGCTAAAAGCAAGTCATAAATTAGCCGCCCATTCGTGGTGTATAATCATATTTCCCACATAATGTCATAGATAGACGCACCATCAGCTTCTTCCCAAGCCCGGCCGGCACCGAATCCTAATCCAACCCAGGCGGGCCACGCTCTTCGCTTGAACAGAAGCACGGAAAATATAACGCCAAAGGAAAGGCCAAGGCTGGATCGGATGAGGAGAGAGGAGATTGCGCGGTCCCACTGAATTCAGGTTAACATTCCAAAGGTTAGTCGATGGGCTCGTGAGGAGTAACAATCGGGTGCGAAGGTGCAGCGAGGGGAAGGGAAAGCAAGTCACCTTTTCGTTAAGCAAAGCTTCGCTGACCGGGCGGCTTGAACGCGGGACCGGCACGGCCGGCGCGGCGTCGTTAGAATCGGCCATGTTTATCTGACTTCTGCGATGGATTATCAATATGCAGTGCAATTGAGTGCGAGGGATCGATACAGTACCTTGTTGGGTGACTTGAGATCGAGCGGTCGCTGTTCGATTCCGGTTTTCTCGTGGTTTGCGGGTGTTTGGGGGTCCGGCGTCGGAAAAACAACGGCCGAGGCCAATCAGAAGTTCGGATACCTTTTTTTTCGAGAACGCGGAATTTATCAGAGCAGTGAAGCTCGGTCTTTTGTGTTTTTGGAAAGAGAACATTTTGTTCTCGCGGTTGCTCTGAAGATGGAGGTAAGTAATCCTAATGTACTGTTCGAAATGGGAGCTTTTTCTAACAGTTGGACCTTTGGTGCCCAGTCTCCGACTTCCTACACGGCCCTATTGGAGCTTGAAAAGGGCAGCCATGGCTCCCCGAAAGATCATTTAAAAGAGGCCGCGCGAATTATTGGGGTTGATTTAGACTCATATCCCCGGGGTGAGGAGCCTTACTTTTCTAGCAGCATCGCTGTCCAAGTCACTGCCGCTCCAAAGGAGGAATGGGTGCTCCGGTGGTTAATGAAGAAGTTGAAGGCCCCACTGAGCGAAGTGAATTCGAGTTACACGGTTGAAGAATCTTCGTGGATCCTTTTTCGTATATTGTTGGGCCGAATTCCTCCTAGAATGTTGGCAACAATTTTAACGGAGAACAAATTTTTGAATGTCCTGCAGAGTTCGTTGGAAGAAATAGAAGCGTTGATATCTCGGTCTTCTGGGCCCATTACACAGCATGGAGTCTCGAAATCTTCCTCCGGAAGCCGAAAGAGAAAGAGAACAGAGACTCCGGCTGAAAGCGGGGCACCGCCTGTTTCTTCTTGCCCGTCAAACTCGCTGGTATATACTTTCCTTTCAGTGGCGAGCACCGTGAAACGCCTCGTAGTTTTAGCCGATTCAATCCGCCAAGCTACGCTTAAGGCACAAGTGCAGCTTATACTGCGAGGGGAGCCAAAAATTGCGGCAGATTTGCTCAGACGGGCTCTTCGTTGTGCGGCATCAGTTGATGAAGTGTTGCGAAATAATCACGAATTGGACGCCGTGGATGGGTTCTTTAAGGACATGTTAGCGATTATAGAAATTTGGAAGCTTAGGTCGGATGGCGATGGAAATGCCAAGTTAAATAATGTTCGTGAACTTCCTTCTGCCCAGTTTGACTTCTTTATTAACGTCGCATAGGGTGTTTTCGCCTCAAAAGCCTTGGAACCTGCTCTGAGATTCTTCGCAGCGACTCTAAACGACACAAATCATTCTGAAGCAAGAAAAAGTTTTATACAAGGCATTGAGAGGCTAATCGTGGTGCACGTCGTCCTCCCTCTGCGGAGTATCTTCTTCGCGTCAGTATCTAAAGGCTCCGCCCAAGCCGGTAAAGCGATTCTCCCGAGGCAAGTTAAAGTAATCTCGGATGAATTAGTTTCTCAGTTACACCCCGACTCTATAGAGGCTATGTGCGGGATTTTCCCGCTTTTCTTGGACATTGCTATCCGTGCTTTACCCCGAGATACCTTTAAACGCCAGGTGAACGAAGCTCCATGGTTAGAAACGCTCTTCGCAACGCTGTCCACCCAGGCAGGCTACTCTTTGTCAGCGGATAAGCGACTTGAATCTCAGACCAGTTTTGTGTTATTACAAGACCTGCTCCAAGTTGTCATTGACCGAAATTTGACTTTGTCTCTTGATACGCTTATTCAATACACAGTTCGCTTTTCTGGATTGCACAAAGACTATCCGGCAGAACCACAGTGGGCATTAGTGTCACAGATTATTCAGATCGGCGTCGATGTTTTCTTGCCGAACTCGGGGCTCGATGAATCGAAATATCTCCTAGAGTCTCTTATCAGCCAGGTAACTTTGCTCTGTCAACAGCCGGGGGGGTTTCCCAACGGTGTTTATGCACTAGTTAAAGACGGTATTATTCTTCCTTTGCTCAATGGATTCTTCGGGGCGAGAGATAGTGATACATTACTCCGAATTTGGAACGAGCAGCTTCGACTCCTTGACAGTGCGCGTTCGAATGATAAAACCATCCCCCCATTTTCTATTTGGGAAGACGACGACTTTTCCAAGTCATATGGGACATTAGTAGCTAGCAGCGTATCGACCCCGCACATAAATTCTCAAATTGACAAAATTGTTTCAACGCTATCGCACCCCGGGCACTCATCGGAAATCTATGCTAGTCTTGTTTTCCTGGATTCGATTTTACTTCCAAAACAAGGTAAAAAGGGAGAATCCCTTCGAGCGCTTTATCGTCAAACCATTTTCGATACAGTGGAAACTTTAATCCCTCTATCTTCCGGATCATACTGGAGGTGGCGGCTATGGAGAATTCTAGGAAGCTCGGTGCATGTCGCAGGCATTTCCGACCAGAACGTCTCTCGCACTGTGACAACGTCTATTCTACCGACAGCCAAAAGGATCTTCGAATCGTTTGACCTGAAAATCGGGGACTCTAGCGACATTGGACGATGTCAAGAAGCATTTTGGTGTTTCAAATTCGTGGTTTCCCTTGCTGGGGAGCTCAATGATGACCTTCTTAGTGATTATCTCGATAAACTGGTTCCTACTATCGTTTCTTTGTTAGAAAATATACCAGACCCCAGGGCTGTTGTGTGGGACGGCCGTGTCGAAGGGATTACCTCCCCACCAGTCATCGCAAGTGGTTGCCTGTCGACGTTCCTCGCGAAGGGCCAGGCGTTGGCGTTGCTCTCGACAGATTTGCGGCGTCGGCTTCTCACAACACTCCTCGCCACAGTTATGAAAGCTACTGGGAGCCGGCAGAAGTCGTTAGAAAACCAATTGGTTCGATCTGGTAATTCTGGCATTCAGCTCGCCGACCTTTGGTCTGGTTTCGTATCGCGAGAGTTCCTCTTGGCCTCACCCAATGTTGTTTACGACCTGACGTTTGTTCTTTTTGAACACCTAAAGAAAGCTGGATCAAATTGCGATACCATCGCTCGATACCTTCTCAATATCCCAGTTCGGCTGATCCCGCGCCTCCAAAGGGGAAATCTGTTAGACCTTCTCGAAGAAATTATTCTACAAAAGAAACTTCCTTCAGATGTAGAGCTTGACATATTGACTCTGATGACAAGGCTGGTAGATGCACCGAAGTCCCCCGCGAATATCACCAGTAACGATCAAGCGCTTTGGAAACTTGCAGGTTCGATACCCGTGGGCAACTCAGATTCTGACCTGCAGCTCTTTCAGGCTGTCAAACAGCTGCACAAAGCAGTGATAGACAAGGTTTTGATTTCCTCAGAGGGAAACCTGGGAAAATACGGCCAGAAAGTCTACAGTGCTATTCGTGAGCTGAAAAAGACCATGAAATCTGTTGATTTTGAGACGATGGAATATTACGTGTTCGTACTATCCCTCCACTTACTCCACACTCACAGATCCGAACTTGATGAAAAGAAACGTGAGCGTATCGAACTCTTGCGGAAAGAAATTCTCACCCAAGTCTTGTCGGAGTTGAAATCCCTATCTCGAAAACTGAAAAAGCACCCGGAAGAAGTGGAATTAAAGCCTTTGACTGGTATTTTCGCAGTTGCGGATACTCTACAAGATTTGCTCCAAGGTAACAAAGACGCCTTGGGGATCTTGCGGAAGCTTGAACAATATGCAACGGCGTCTGATTGTGATGGGGTTGTACAAAGACTCGTTAAACGGCGAATGCTGGCATGGAAAGCAACTAGGCCACAAATCTGTACCACACTTTTGGAACAATCTTCCTTGGTTTCAGTCCAACGGCTTCAGGAGAGCGATGAGAAGCTCACTGTGTATGAGATCTATTCGCAGCTGTCCACCCTGTCGAAAGATGCGCTTATTGGTTTCCTTCGTGATACTCGCAGCTCCGGATTTCTGGGAGACCAAGCAGCCTATCGTTTATTACTGGTGGGTATAGCTCTAGGCTTATTGGACCCTATTGACGACAGAGAGAGTCCAGCGTCTTTAGAGTTGACTTCAACATTTACAGACGCGACGGAGGCACTATTACTTTGCACTTCGATAGAGCCGTTTTGCTTAGCGGCAGAGTGTCTCGATATCCTCCTACGCACACAGCCGCGTTCTATATCACAGTGGAATGTCGATAATCTTCTTGCAAAGGTTGCCGTCGTAGTATCCCCATCTGGGCCTAAAATCCCCTCGGAGTATGCGGGGACCATATTCGCACGGCTCTGCCGGCTGCTAGGAATTCTATTTGGGTTATACCGCAAGAAGCTCAGTGGAAGATTTCATCTTATCCTTCCAACCTTGCAAAGAATGCTGCGATGTCTCTTCGCCAGCGATTCTAGGGCGACGAAGTCGTTGACATTGGCAGCGACGCATCCAACGTGGATCGGAAGTGGGAGTGGAACACCATTGCAACCTGAGCATGCTGCCCAATATACGCGTCTCTTGACTTCGCTGTGTGACCCTACCGTTTCCGCCGTGGAGAACCAGCGCGGCGGTCAAAGCCAGGGATTGACTGATAACACGAAGAAGGTGAAAAGCCTTGCTGGTCAACACCTACAATACCTTATCATGGAGTACGTAGGAGCACAATTGCGAGGCCATTTGGTCCCTGAGATCAAAGCTGCGCTGATGCAGGGCTTTTATGCGGTGCTGGATGTCATGTCGAAGAATACGATGAAAGCCATGAACGCGGCCATGGATTCTTCGGCAAGGGCAGTCTTCAAGGGGCTATATGATGACTATGTCAAGTTTGGGAAATGGAACCACGATTGATTTGTAACGAGTCCATCACGATATGTCAGGAGACGCATTCTCAGCCTGCTCGAAAGTATACAATACCCATAAATGGTATCCCGCCCCTTTTCCTTCGCGCCGTTCGAAGCGGCTCTGCACTTCTTTGTATCTCCGTTAGGCAGATATAGCTGTTGTCGTGACTTCATGCGATTTGCAGCTCCCATTTCCGGAAGCCGACAAAAACGCTCTTTCCCCGCTTTTAACGGCGGAGTGGAGCACATGAGCCGCAAGCGGAGCTTCTCAAACACTGCAATTTGATTGGTGCGCGAGGGAGCCAGACCTTGCGCATGACGTCATCCCGCGCGCTCTCCAAAGCATCGCTCCCTCGTCTTGCTAGGCTTGCTTCTGGTACGGCCAGAGGTCGGACGCTGGAATTATGCTCGGGATGATGAGATGTGAGGACTCAGGACATGTCTGGTAAAGGTGCTGAAGTTGAGCTCCCCGGGCGCAGCGATAGTTAGCCTTCATACGCATCTGTAGACAGTAATATCATCTAAAATTCAGCTCCTAGAGGGAACGGGGCACATTCATCGTTCAATTGACCCGTGTACCGTTGTTCAGGGCTCCGAGGCTGGAGGTACCAACGAGGAGCTCGAGCTACGTAACGTACATAAGCGAGTCAAACAATGCAAACCTGGGAAGTCTGTAACATGAACAGAACTAGTGGCTGCCTTGTGCTTACACCAGTTAAGTCAACAAGGGAAAAAAAGCCTATCGACGACGAGCCGCCCGGTGAGAAAAACATACAATTCGGTACTACACAGCGATTCACAGCTGTATAGCAGCTCTTGGTTTGTCTAGCTTTGCTCAAGTGAGCCACTGGCATCGTGGTAGGATCTCCGAACGTGACTTGAGCCGGGGTAGAACAAGAAATTGTGAAATATAACAGGAAGTTTCTGACTCTCCTGTCACAATGCGGTTCGGATTCTCTTCGCGTACAGCTTGCGGTCGAGGCTCGATTCGTGGTTAGTTCTCCTAGCTCCCAAGGAGTGAAATCCGGTGCTAAGAATTTCTTGAAGGTCTCTGGTGCACGTATTCCTACTCTTTGCAGAGGCAACAGTTTAGCTTTAAGCGACTCATACATAACAGGACAACTGCGGCCGCCGATGCTTTACCGAGCACTCTGAAGTCGATTACCGAGACAAAACTTAATGAACTTTCAAGGCAGCAAGCGCTCTTTGAATCACGCAAGGAGGCCATTTATGGGGAAGCTGCGAAACAAAGGACCCTTGATGACAGAGTTAGAGTGCTTCTTGAAGGTGTGACTCGTCTCCAGGGCTTCCCGGACGATGGTCTAGATACTACCGACAAGGATGATGCCGTCCTCCGGTCCGACGGTCAACGCCTCTCAGCTAGGAATGTTTACCGCAATATTCGCCGCACCCTGGTTCAGAAGCGATACGATTCGTCCATATCAGATTCTCGACTCGAACAGTCTGAGGAAGAGCTACGAAGGCAGCTAGACTTTATCAGCGCCAAGTATGAGCATGCTTTGTTCTTCAACCGCCTGGTTACGGAGTGGCTCTCAAGCCCTCGGAATCCTGTCCCCGAAGTAACGAGCGGAAATTCAAATACTTCATATGAAAGTTTGGAACGCAAAGAAGCTCACGAGCAGCGCGTCAAGTGGGAGGCTCTTGTATTTGAGCCTCAGCAGACTGATAGCGCCGAGATTGAACGTTACCTTACAAACCTGTTCAAACAATCAAGATTGTCCGAACAAGCGCTGAAGGATCTCCGAAGACAGGTAAAATTATCCAGCAAGGAGTTTCTGGCAAAAGACGACCATTTTACTGTTCAATCCCTAAAATGGGCAATCAGGGGGGTGATCAGCAAGGACATCCTGGCTCGGGAGAAGGTCGCCATTCTTAGGGAATTTCTGGTGAATGATGCTGTTGCACAGGAGGTTGCGGATGTCTTGAACGTTCGGATGGCCCAGCTCGACACCTGGTCTTGGAGCTGCAGTCCAATCCCCGTGGAAATGAGACGTCACTTGAACGGAAAATACCGAGCATATATGGACGAGGATATCCTGGATGCTATTTTCCTCCACTACATTGGAGTGAAGTGGAGTATCAAATTTAAGGAGCTCTTCTCCGTAATTTTCAACTCTCACGCGTGGAAGCGCCAGTCTACAAACATCCCGAAGCGAGACCTTGAGCGGCGGAAATATTTCTTATACGAACAGGACGGGGCATCCCGGGACGAGCATAATATTGTGGGAGCGAGGAGAAAGTCATTCATGGAAAATTATTTTATGTGCCAGTTACCAGCAGATGCCGATAGCATACCTGTGTATAATGAGGATGCCGACGCAGATGATCAAAAAAAGAGCTTTATCGACCTCAAACACTCGCTACTTCACCTTGTTATGGCAGAGATCTGGCTTAACAAGGCGCTATACGGTGATGTCACTATCGTCCAGTCCGATTTTCGATGGTTTGGCCCGTCACTCCCTCATACAACGCTCCTATCCGTCTTGAAGTTCTTCCACGTTCCTCAGGTCTGGCTTGACTTCTTCAAACGTTTTCTTGAAGCTCCTCTGAGATTCGTCCAGAATGGTGATAGTGGTCCTGTGAGGATACGGAAGAACGGGGCACCGCTGAGCCACACCATAAGTGACTGGCTTGGAGAAACATTACTGTTTTGTCTTGACTTTTCTGTGAACCAACACGCAGATGGGTTGCTTCTTTATCGGCTGCACGACGATTTCTGGTTTTGGGGTCAAGAGCAGACTTGCGCTAAAGCGTGGAAAGCTGTCAACGAATTCTGCACCGTGATGGGCCTTGAGATTAACGACGAGAAAAGCGGAACAGCTCGGCTTCATGGTGGCAAAAGACGGTTTTCGGGTGATACAGAAGGCGAGCCTGAGCAAAGTCCTTCGACAATCTCTACGGATCTCCCGGCTACCCTTCCAAATGGAGACATTCGTTGGGGCTTTCTTAAGCTCGACGAAAGGACTGGAAGATTTGAGGTCGACCAAAGCCAAGTAGATACCCATATCCAGGAGCTTCGGCGCCAGCTTGGTGCATGCAAGAGCATTTTCAGCTGGGTTCAAGCATGGAATACCTACATGGCGAGATTCATCAGCAATAACTTCGGCAAACCGGCGTTATGTCTAGGGCGACCACATATTGAGATGGTGCTTTCGACTCTAAAACGTATAGAAAGTGAGTTGTTTGTTGTGGATGGTGACGGTTCTTCGCCCGGCAGTGCTGCAAACCACCTTCGCCTTGCAATCTCGAAGAAGTTTAATATTTCTAACCTCCCGGATGGATTTTTTTACTTCCCTGAAGAGTACGGTGGCTTGGCTTTGATGAACCCGTTTGTGTCCCTGATTGCGACGCGCGAAGCTATCAAAACCACTCCTGAGAGGATCCTCCATGCTGCGTTTATCGCAGAGGAGAAAGAATATGCCATGGCCAAAGAGAAATTTGGAAAGCAGGGTCCTAACCAGGCGGCTTTCTCGCTCATGAGCTCCAACTCGTCGACAGTGCGTCCCTCACTCCCCAGCGCGGAGTTCATGCCCTTGGAGGAGTTTGTGAGGCACAGCGAATCCACAAGTTACCTGCTAAAGAACGCCTACCAGCTCCTTCTGGAGCAACCCGAGGAAGTGCCCGCTGCTTTCACGCCAGAATTGCAAAATGCGGTGTCGAAGAATGAGGCGATCAAGAGCCTTCCAATTGATTGGCACAGGATGTCGTCGTACTCCAAGAACATTGTGGAATTGTACCACCGGGGGATGATCAGCAAATACGGCTCTCTGGCCGGGGCGGAGGATAAGACTCTGCCACTGGGCGTGGTGAAAATTCTAAAGAGGGAAAAGATCAGATGGCACAGCTGGCTGTGAATGCGCGCTTCCCTTTGAACAATGCTTGAACGTGATTAATGAGCTGAGAAAAGTTGTAAGCTATGTGACAGAGCCATTAAAACACAATACCCTCCCCTCAGCCTATAGTATATGGAAAATTTTGATCACTACCCTTATTTAACAATTGGATCTAATGTTCATGTCTCTTGGTGCACAGCTTTCGCTACATTCAGGCTGTTTGATGGTGTAGTATCGAACTGGCAATTGTTTTCTGAGGCGATGGGCTCATGGTATCCCCCATTGGTTGTAACACCAAACAGTGCAAAGGACGCGTCAGAAGACGGTCCAAATTTTGAGGTGGGCTGTGCAAGTACAGGGCTCTGTTCAACTATTCTGTCGGTAATATGGATCATCAGTACGGAGTACGGATGGTTGAGAAATCCTTTATTGAGAGATATCGTCTCATGTTGCATTGAGGGGCGGCTCCACGATGAACCCCAGCAAACCAAAGTATTGGGACATTGTTGAAAATGCCGGCCCTATTCCGGTCAAAGACACGCTCCTAGATTGGTGACAGCCACCGGGCATTTCTCGATATCATCCCTGATTTGCAAGGTTAAGGGCATACCGCGCATTCCGTTGCGCGTGATTATGGGCGTTCGGGATGCCTGTCGACGGAAATAGATTTTTGAGAGCCTCCGCGGTTGTCCACGGTTGACCAAAAAGGGCGCTTGACAGCGTCCGGGGACACCACGTGACAGCATAGCCTCCGTCGAACTTCCCGCGCCGTCATATTGGTACTACGTATGTAAAACTCCCGGCAGCATGACGGCACGGCATGGGCGAACGGACGGCCCATGGGACGGCCAGCGGGACCGTCCGGGGGAGCCCACCAACCATGGCAGGGCTGAGCCAACGTTTTGCATCATTGTGCACCAACAGTGAATCTAATCTAACCAATGATCCGAACGGGACCCTGTTGCGATTCCCGCAGTGAACAGGTCCTGCCTCCTTCATGGATGGAATAGTGTTCCAGTTCGACGGAGCGCTTTAAGCTACCGTTCAGCTTTGGCCATTGCATTCTTAAGAGCACATCTGGCCTCGAGACGGAGCTGCATTTGTCGCAAAACTGTTGCAGTTGGAGCAACATTCCATTTTCAAGATGGCAGCGGCACGGTTTCTTCTCCGTCTTTTCATTTTATCTTCGCTCTTCGCTGTATGTACCCTTGCAGCTGAGGATGGCGATGGCCTTATCTTCGGGGACTCTCGTCGAAGACCAGAAATTCGATCTCGCGGCCGGAGCAGCTTCGGTCGGATGGCTCGACGGCCCAATCGGTATGGTTCCCGATTTTGTTTTTGTCCGTGTTCGCGACCATAATTCAGATCAATACGGAGCTTTACCAACTCTCACATTAACACAAACATAGACTCGATATGTTCCAGGGGGATCACGATGGCAGAGCAGCAACTACATCAACAACCATAGCTATCACCCCAGAAAACCAGGTAGATAACTCGGCACCGTGTTCACCGCCAAAACAAGCACGTGGCATCATCCCCGTGCCCCGCATACCCAAACCCGCTACTCCACCACCGCCGCCTCGGTTTCCTGGGCCTCACGGAAGACCGCGCCCCATCATTCCTGAGTTTCCTTCGTCTCCCGATCCTCCTAGATCTCCCAAGTCTCCAAAGTCTCCCAAATCTTCGGACCGTCCCGAATCTCCGGAGACTGGAGGGGACGGTCCTTCTTCTACCTCTGATCAGGAGAACCCGTTGCCGAGACCTACAAGCAACAACTTTGGCGGGCCCGGATCGAATTTTAGATCGGACAGACAGGTTACTAACGTGGGAAACACGTTGAATCTCCAACACGCAGTTTTGGTGCTCGCTCTGATGGCGACCGGGGCGATGGCTGCTGTGTAATGGAGATAATAGTAGCGATCCCACCACGAAAGATACCCATTTATTTTATTTGCGTTTCTGCTTTTCTTCTTTTTTTTTTTTTTTTTTTTTTTTTTTTTTCAATCGTTCGGGTTCACTCATAATGAAACGCATCCCCGGAAAATTCTGAGAAACCTTCATGCGTGACACCTGGCCATTGCCCCACGTTAACCAAGCCGACTGCCTTGGAATAGCGCGAAGTACAAGGAATCTGCAGATTTTCGACAGCCGAGATACGTGTTTACTCGCTTCTGCTTAACGTGCAGGTCACAGGAATTAGCTTCTATATCCGTGGTCCCATTATCGTTACAGTGCGTGAGTTGGCAGCCTTCAATGTACAACTACTATTGACTCTCCGCCTCGCATTTGTGGATTGGTGCCAGGCCAGGGAGAGTGATCCTGAGGAGCGAAGGTCTGATGACCACTTACACTTCCGGATGCGTGATGGCTTGCAAATGAGGGGATGAGCAGACTATATAGAGGCGGTTACATTTGATTTACACGCGAGGCTGAGGGTTATTTGGCCCAGCGACTTGGGCAGAAGGGTTGGTGTCGACGGTTCGGTTGTTGGCCAATGAATATCGAGGAAACCAGGCACGACGTGGCTTCGAGATATTCGACGTTGGCCGGTGCATTTCACAACTGGAGGTGTCGCGGACTGGGTGTATTTATATCAACGTGTCCGTTATTATACTCCACTGAAACTTAGATTTATGTCTCCCTTTCCTGAAGCAAGCCGTGAGACCTGACGACTGTCATGCCCAAGTATATGTCAATGAGCACGTAATTTTTTGTCAGCAATCGCCTGCTGGTGGTTAACGTGACAGGGTGCTTGCCGGTTTCCGGAGAGCAGGCTGCCAATTGTCAACAGGATGAGGTGACAACAAATATCGTATGTGGAATGAAATGAATCATCCAAGAAAATGCTGTGCACGCTCTCCAGCAAGGAGAGAGCCCAGCTGAGCCAAATCAATATTTATAAGTACTGAACAGGCATCCCCATAAAATTGTCATCTGTTCCACTCCTGCTGCCATCAGGCCCACCGACAGGCCGCTGGGTTTAAATCGTGAACAATCCCTCGTTTTCCCTTCCGCCACGGGAACAAGGCAAGTCGTTGGCTTGTATTTGAGGAGTTTTGTGTGGCCTGTTACATAAGCAAGTCGATCAGATCGAGCCCCTGACGTCGGAGATTTGACTTGCCGAGTGTATTATGTCATCCCGCCGCCAGACTGAACCTTGAGGCGGCATCTCCACCTATCACGGCAGAGCGACGGGCGGCCGCTGAGGAGGCCAGGCATCAAAAATCTTGATTTGAAATCCGCTTCGGCTGCTCGCGACTTTTCGAGGGGTCGCGGGTCTTGTCGACATATTTCGCGCTGGCCCTCAGATATATCTTTGCCCTTGTCATCACTCCGCCCCGCGCTTTTCCGTGTTTTACATCCCTCGGCCATTCAATCACCAGCTGATAGGTGAGTCAGCCGCCTTTCATTCTCGTGCATCTGCCGCTACTCTTGCTTGAAAGGAGAGTTATGACTCCTTGTCGAGCGCCCCTGTTCGGAGTCCAACTGCGGCTAGGCAACGCAGCTAATACGTCGCGGCTTAGAAAACAATTTCCTTTTTTCCCCAGTCATCGTGCGGGAAGCGCAGTCATCAGCGCTAGCGAAGCCCGGTGGAGACTGCGCCTGCTCATAAGCTTTGAGATGATTCTTCTTCCGCTGCCAGTCAACCGCCTGTCTTACAATGCTATTCGCCCATCGGCTCTGTCCCCACAGATGAGCCTCATCAACTCAACTTAAGAAAACTATAAATACGTGTGAAGATACCCTTGATCGAATCTAGAGTTTTGATATGTATCACTCCGATATTTCATCAGCTTGTGGCTCCCAAGGCAAGGCGGCTGCTGTGACTGCACTCATGTCAGATATAAGTGGAGAATCTGACTGCTCGAGTCCGCGCGTCGGAGCTTCAGGCCCGATAGCAGTTGTTGCACTCATCGAACAAGCCGGTATGGCACAATCGATCTCCAGCAACGGCCTAACCGGAAGTTTAACCCGGCCCAGACTGGCCGTGAAACGAGCGCGCGATCCCCCCCGAAACGCAGGCGGTCAGATATACTGCGATCATCCAGAATGCCGCGAGAATGCCCCCGTATTTCGGAGGCCATGCGAATGGAAGTAAGTAATACATGTTCCACCACCCCAGCCAGTTCCTTTGATGATCTTCATCTGTGTTACACCGATGCTAACATTATATCTTGTTTGTAGCAAGCACATGGACAAACACGACAGACCATATAAATGCTCTAATCCGGACTGCGCAAAATTGCCTGGATTTACGTATTCCGGTGGATTGTTGCGCCATCAGCGGGAAGTGCATGGAATGCACACGCCGCAGAAGCGGCTCATGTGTCCCTTCGCCGACTGCAATCGCAGTTCCGGGAAGGGATTTACACGACAAGAAAACTTGAACGAACATCTCCGACGGCTACATCGGGGGTCTCAAGACCTTACCGTGCCTCCTACGCCAACAAGCCCTCCTAACTCAGCAAAATCGCTGGAAAATGGGCGCCTTTCCGCGCTCCCGATTCACTCAGCCATGAAGAGGAAGCGAACATCGAGCGAATCCGAACACGGCTCGGAAGACAGCGGGTCTAATATTCAGGCGTTGCGCGATGAAGTGGTGCGCCTGAGATCCGAAATACAACAGAAAGATTCCCGACTTGACGAACTCGAGAGAGTTGTGAAGGAGTTACGCCAGACGATTAAGCGTGATTGAATAGGAGTTAATTTTCTGTTGTCTCTCTTCCCTTTTCTCTTCTTTCCTTTTCTTTCCTTTTGGCATAATATTGGTGCATGGCATACAGTTAGGGGTCGGATAAATTGATTTAATTTGGGTATCTCTTACGACAAGATTGGAACATCAACTAGGAGTTGCTATTTGTTCAAATTCATGTCCATATGTCTTTATGGGTTGGGTCTGGTTGGCGCGCAAGGTTTTCTGGCATTATACCCCCTGGTTTGATAGGCTTTTATGACAGTGATTATGCGCTTTTAATTTATTGTGGTTCATGTGCCTCCTATATTGTTGTCCAAACCCGTCAGGGTTGCAGGTGTCTAGGCGAATATATCGTCATCTTTAGGGAAAAGAAGGCCTCATCCTTTTCGGATTCTGATGGAATGCTGTTAGGCAGCCAATAGTTAGTAACGCGTTACCCGTACCAGGCCAAGGTCAGCTGATCACAAGTTCATGCAGAAGCGATCGCTTTGCTGCGGAGGCCACCGCAACTGTGAAACCTCTTAAATTCTCAGTTAAATAGCAATTAATATTGTTCAAGCTTCTGGAATGTGAGCGTGGCTTGAGGCCCTTGAGCAAGGCAACCATGGTTCAAGGCTAAGATGCCTAAATTTAAGGTTTAATTATCTTTGTGAGCCTCCAGCAAGGCTTTCATTCGGCTGGTTAGAGAGATCCCCGGCACTCGGGAGTAAGCTCCATCGGCGCAGTTTAGCGTACCCTAGCCTGCATGGAGTTAACGCGGTAACTCTGGGGAAAGTAACACACCCCCAGCCCTGTAGGGCAATGCCTGATATTGGCGACCAGGAATATAACTACTTATCGCGGTCAGAGCCTGGCAGTCAAAGGCTAGCCTCCTGGTAAACCACGAACTGGGCGATACGAGCGCGACGAGGCTGAATGGCTATAAATAACTCTAGAGTTATAGTTGTTCTGGAAGGGTGCCTTTGGTGACCTGCATAAGAACGGCGCAGAAAGGCTCTCGAATCCAGGCTCGTGCTTATCCGGCCTTCTAACCCTGTTCTTCCGCGCAGGCGCTGAGCTTGCTGCCAGTCAGGGGGAGCCGGTTTAATCACGTGACCTATCTTTCAGGGGGCAGCGGCGCCGGCGGTTGACACGAATGGCGCCTGCAGCAAACCACAAGAGAAAACAACGGCGGCAGGCAAGTTTCACGACTAGCCAAAAGAGCTGAGAAGTCCCTTGTCGCCGCCATTCTCCTTTTCCTTTTACCCTGTACATCAATACACATGTGCTCTCGAGACCTCGCAGGCGATTTAACGCTTTGCTCCTACTTTCAACGGCGGAAGCTCTCAGGGGTGTGAAGTTTCCAGCTGAGAAGCGCGCCAGTGACGCTCTTGATTCATTGATATGCTCTTCCTTGAGCAGACCTGGCCATAAAGCAGCTTTTGTCTCTTTGTCTTCTGTGGACTGCTGTCTTTGTTTGACCTTTTCCTTTTTTTTTCTTTTTTTTTTTTTACAACCTGCCTCAATCCATTTGTCGTTCAGCTTTACAAATGGGGATCGACAGCACTCGCATCACCCCATCCTCCTCAGATCGATATCTTTGCATGGGATACGGCATGCATGGACCAGATTGCAATACACATTGGCTGGATTTGGTTAATCTTCGCCCTCTCGAGCCGCCAGAATCGCACGACTATCCTCCCGGTCTCTACACATGCACCCAGTTCTTTCAATCGCTTGGCAAAGATACCTTCACAAGCCCATGCCCCGGGTTCCATTGGGAATATTCACTGCGTAGACAGGCCCAACGGGTGCTTCCCTTTCTATACCTTGGTCCTACTTCCATGGCCCGGAATATTGAATTCTTAAAGCGGGAGGGGATCACTCTTGTTTATGCGATCCGCAGTAGACACATTTCCCACGACGTTATTGTCAACGCGGACAAGACCGCGATGGCAGCAGGAATAGAGTCCGACCGTATCAATGTGGAGGACTACAACGAGCTTATCAAAATGTTTCCTGACGCCATTCGCCGCATTAATAACCATATTTGTTGCTGTCCAGAGCATTCCAGCCCACCTGGCCCGGCAGAAAAGAAGGTCCTAGTCTTCTGTGAGACTGGCAACGAACGATCAGCTACCTTGATTGCTGCATACCTAATGGTGATGTACAACCTTCGCTTGTATGCGGCCTTGGGACAAGTTCAAGCACGGCGACTCTGCGTCAATATCGATTATCCTGTCCGAGAAGTGCTTTGGTCGTTCGAAAGCATTTTGCAGGCACAGAGAGACGTTTCCAAAGTCTCGCGACTGCCACCCTCAAGTGGTATATATGGTACGAATGGGTTTAAACGTGGCCATTCTTCGATCCATGAAAGCGAAGCAGTGCAAGATCCTGGAAACGATCATGACATGGATATGGTTGACGATGAGCATCCCGCAAAACGCCGGAACGTGGAAAATACCCACAGCAATGGGTTACTACCAAACTAGAGAACCACCAGTTTCCTATTTATCGGAGGGTGCTAGTCAAGGGCACAGTCCAGATGAACAGTTCTTCAAGCAGCCGAGGAGGCAAAATGGATGACAGGATAGGAGTAATTCTAACGACGTTCGGAGTATGACGAGCGCCTCTTGGGCGGAATGCGCCTCTTTGCCTTCTCTTTCCTCTCGTTTCTTTGCCTTTCTATGTTTGTATTATCCAGTATGTATTAGTTTTTACTTGTTTGATGAACTGAGATGCTCCTTTCTGTATATGTTCTCCTGGTCCTTTGGATGGCTGTTTCCTTTTACAAAGGAGCTTTTTCTTCACAGGAAGGCCTTGCTGCAACCTCCACCCAGGCTGAAGTCTACCTTTGTCTTCACTCCACGGTCCATCCACAGCTGGAATCTTCCTCTGAAATGGCTGCAGCGTGCGCAACTTGGTGACCGCAGCGACAACTCTCCAACACGTCAACATTGGCGGGTCAGCGATTAGTCGTTCAGTCACCTGTTCAGCTTGGCTATTTCCAGTCTTAAATGAGGTGAAGAGAGCAGAAAGCAGAATCCTTCACTATATTTTTATAAGCAACAGTCATCATCACTTATCCTTACCGTTCATCTCCAGCTTGGAACCATTTAAGCTTCATTCACTCTCTTTCAGCTTTGGGAGTATTTCTTCCGCTCATTTTTGAAATCTTGACATTTTCTTGATATGCCAACGGACACCAATACTTGGACTATCCATCTTTTTTGATCCAACACTTCCAGGCACATCTGTCTCTGCTGAGGCCAAGCAATTCGCTGATTTTTTATTCACGTTATTTCTTTGGACAACGAACTAGTCCCTGCTAGCTAGCTGTACACCTACAGCCAGACGTACCAGACATAGCTAAAGCCTCTCTTCAAGTCAATGACAGGAAACGGGTGGTGAACAATGAATTTACGAGAGCGCTGGAGCCTCCGTGCGCCCCGTCGCTTCGACGAAGAGGACTTTGACACGCCTGTGCGCTCCGGGTCTACTCCAGCACCCAAACCAAAATGTGAGAGGGTCCCAGCGTCACGTAATCGTATCATGCCGCGCTGCGCCAGGCCAGCGTTTCCACCTCCATATGTGAAGTATAACCCGAACAATCCACCTGCCGCGTTTCCGACGTTGGGTGAACCCGTTCTGGGAAGAGTAAAGAAAAGAAAAGCGAGAGAGATCAACACGAAGAATAAAGGGAAAGGTCGGGTGAGAGATATGCGTATGACGACTCCTCTTAGTGATCATGTTCTTCAGATCACGGATGCTATGCAAGGAGGATTGGATAATGCGGAAGGGGAGTGTGGAGGCGTGGATGTTGATATGGATGCAGATCACGAAGACACGACCGAGCCCGAGGAGAGTGACATTCCCGACATGTGCGACGTCGAGACAAGCAACGAAGACGACGAAGAGAGCCTTACCCAGGAAAATGACGAGGAAAATCATAGTGGAAAGGACCATGGAATCGATCCACTTCAATTACAGAACGTCCAGTGGCGCGATCTCAGTCCTATCTTGCAAACTGAGATTATCGACAACCTGAACCGCGTGTACCAGTGGTCGGACATCGTGACTCTGTTGCACTTATCTCCCGAGGATAGTAGGATTGCTGTTGAGCATGCAGCTGCGCGGAAGCAGCAAGCGGAAAAAGAGAACAAAAATCTCCAGCAAATGCAAGAGAAACAGCTTGAGGCCCTTCTTCGAATTGATAATAGCGTATTGAGGAAAACTCAGGTTCCAGCTCAACTGGTGTTTAGGAGCATTTCAAGACAACATCTCAGAGATCCACGTGCGCATCCGAACCCAGATTACCTCATGAGCACAGCAAAAGAGGTTATTGCAGCAAGATGCTACTTACGTCGAATTGGCCTGGACCCCGGCTTCACGGGTGAATGGAGGTGTGATGTTGCGGCTATGGAGCAGGCATCAGGTACAGACCCAACAGCAGTGGAGGAACTTAAGTGGACACTTAATCCTAATACTGAGGATGAAATCCCGCAGGACATGGTCGCGGCGATAAGAGGACACAACACAACTTCACCGAGCACCTCTTTTCAAAACAGGGTGTCGAAAAAACAAAAAACTAAGAAATTCGCGAGTGAAGCGCCAAACGGGCGCTTTATCAACTGCTTTGGAGGTCAGGGAGGAACCGTCCAAGAAAGCCAGACGCAGACAGTGGGTAATAGCGCAAACGAATCAAAACCGTATCATATCTCGACCTCTGGAATGAGGGCTGCCCAGGAAATTCTCAGTGGGAACCAAAGCTCTCCGTGTGAGACCCTTGTCGACACTGCAGGCTCTGATGCATTTGAAACAAACCAGCCTGAAGACACGGTTGTGTTTATGAAAGTGGGCCCTGAGGGTGCTGCTCGAGTCGATAACATGAATGAAATGTCGTCCCCAGGGCTGCGCCTCTTCCCATCTAGTCCATCACAATCTTCTTCTGGTGGGTCAATCTTGACCACGCAACGAGGATCATTTGCCTGTGCCCAAACGGAAGCACCATCTCATTACACTCCATCGACTACTTTGGATTCGAAAAAGGAGTCTACTCCGACGTCGGAAATTCAATCATCGGGACGCCAAAGGCACCCACCCGAAAAGCCATTGGAGAGAGCGCTGTCAGGTGGCTGGTGGTATGATATGGATACCCCGAAATGCACTCATCTAACCACAGAACTTAGTCCATCAAAGAGAATCCAAGAAAGAATTCTTGCCGCAAAGGCAGAAAATGAGATCCGGCAACTAGGTCGATCAGATAGCCACACTAGGATAGCCCCTAGGCCTAGAATCATGCAATTACCCCTCCGCTCCTCGCCATTGCATTATGGTTGTGCCTGTGATCGGGATAGACCAGCCACGCCCCAGGTTCCAAGCTCGGATGAGCTTTCCATGATGAGTTCTCCAACGAGACGAGGGAATTCCGGGCAAGACATACCTCAGATACCATTGAAAACCCCAACGCATTCACTAAATGGTGATGAAACCGAGGAGGAGCGAGGGCCATCGTATTCACCAATATCACCTCCAGGAACCACTGAACAGCCGTCAAACTTGAATGGAGCCCAGACTCAGACTAAGACTGAAAATGAGAATCATGACCGTGTGAAAAGTGAAAGAAGTAAAAGATTAGAGGATATGATTCTCGCAGAAATTATGGCTGTCCCGAAAGAGGAAGAAACGGCGTTAGGTGCGGCCAAGGGGGAGACATCGTCCACCGCTGAATCCAGGACTAACTGTTCTAAAATACCGGAACCCGATAATGACGCTGCACAGGGACTATCTGGACTTCGGGTTCCTCCCGTCAAGTTTGCAGAACCGACAGATGATCCTGAGCTTAGCACACAAAACGAAGGCCAGGGCGCTCATTCCAATCACACGGAGGCGCTTGAAGAAGATTCTCAATTGCCAAAGATCCAGGAAGAGGAAAACGTGGCGAAATCTCAGGTAGCAAAGAAGGTTAGAAAAAAGAGGGCAGCAAGGGTGCCTGTCCCTGATTCGCAGAGGAGAAAGAGTGCGAGATTGAACCCGCCAGCTGGGAGAATCCTGAGGCCGTCAAAATCAAACGTCAAGTACAAATGATAGTCTGAGTGTGATGGAAACCCGGCGCACCCTTCAGGCAGTGTCGACTACTTCCTTTCCGTTTTTCCTTTTTAATTACTTGAATATTCCTTTTATGGCGCCTTTTGTAGTCCTGTATTCTAGGTAGACTGCTGCATTCTTTTCCTTTTTTGTACGAGTTTTAAAGGTGGAGGATAATGCTCAAGTTGAAACCATGAAATGATGATTGGAAACCAACGAGTTTGGCGGAGAAAAGGAAAATTGGAGGCCCAACAGGAGCATGGTTTTGTCTCTCTGTTAACCAATGCACACAGCTGCACAATGTTTGATTAGAAGTTCTCAGGTTGGTTTGTATGCAGAAAAAATTAATTAGAATCCAAGAATTTGCCCTTTTTTGGACCCCTGAAGCTGTCCCCTCTGTGTGGGTTGAGTGCCTCTGGCAACCTTGCATGTTTCTTGCTTATGGATTGAGAGTGAAACGTGATGCCAGGACAGGGATAAGAAGGTGGCGTTTGCTAACTAGTTAACCAATCACGTGATATCGCGTTTCCATTTAACGCATCCACGCGTAGCCTCATGCCAGAGCGTGGCAAGCCGCAGAAATCTGCCTCTGTTGGGCTATGTGCAGCTGCTAGAGCTGTTTAAGTTGAAGATAGTGGAAGTCTCTTCAAAACCACTTCTTTACTCTAGCACCTTCTTTTCGGGACGCATCGGGAGGTAGTATTCCTTGGAGGCGACCCTTCGCAGGCAGCTAAGGTGCGTCAGATGTGCATGGCACTCAAATACGACAGGGACTAACTCTAGTATTCGAACCGGTAGAACCTAATTGTTGCCTACATAAAAGCGTCCTCTAGCGCTTCCCCTTGTCTTTCAATAAATAATTCGGTTACGCGTCCTCTTCTGCTACGATGTCTGGTTTTACTGAAGACGAGGTAAATAAGGCTGCAGGTGCTGATAGCGAAAATATGACGCTTGAAAGGGAAAACCGGAAGCCGTTTGATGAAGATGATGAAGAAGGAATGGACCTGAAGGCAAGGGCGCTGACAAAGTTGTTGAAAACCAGTTCCGTATGTTAGGTTTCTCTGGGCTTGAAGAACCTAGTATATATGTCGTTACTGACGTAATATGCAGGTATTTGTAGCGATAATGGCAGAAAAAATGAAGGAACAGCGAAAAAGACAACAAGAAGAAGCACGCAAGGCGGAGGCAAAGCGACGTGCGGCGGCAGAAAGGCAAAAGAAGCCTGTAGAGCCCGCTATCAGTACCAGACGAGAAACTAGAGCAAGCCAGCAACAGTCTAAAGAGTCAGAGGCTGGTACAGGTCGTAAGGATTCGCTTGTGGGGCTTCAATCAAGTACTCCAACAAGATTACCCACGCGGGCCCGAACGAAGAAAGCCGCCGGCGGAAATTCTATTTCGAACTACTTCAAAAAGGCCGATGTTGAGATAGCAGAAGATAACCCAACTGTTCAGGAAGCTCTTGCTAAAGCTGCTGATGAGTTCGAAGCTAAACCTGCTACATTGGGAGAGCAGGATCTTGTGGCAACTCATCAACCAGCCCTAGTCACGGGCGGAAAAATGAGAGAATACCAGCTAGAAGGCTTAGAATGGTTGAAGTCCCTTTGGATGAATGGACTATGCGGGATTCTCGCAGACGAGATGGGCCTAGGGAAGACAGTCCAGGCTATATCCCTCATTGCGTTCTTCAAGGAACATAGTGTTTCAGGCCCTTTCCTGGTTGCTGCACCGCTTAGCACGGTGAGCAATTGGGTCAATGAATTCGCTCGCTGGACTCCTGGAATCGAAACTGTTCTATACCATGGCACAAAGGAGGAGCGCGCCCAGATCAGAAGGGAGCGGATGAAGATGCAGCATCAAAAGCAAATGGATTTTCCTGTTGTTTGCACTTCGTATGAGATCTGTATGAATGACCGGAAATTCCTTGCAAACTATCAATGGAAATATATCATTGTTGTAAGTTGAGCTCGCACTCACCTAGAAGCAGGTTAGATGCTAACACTTGCGGAAGGACGAGGGCCACCGGCTCAAAAATATGAACTGCAGACTCATAAAAGAACTGATGACATACAATTCTGCTAATCGCCTACTGATAACAGGGACTCCCTTGCAGAATAATATCGCAGAGTTATGGTCTCTTTTACATTTTTTACTTCCGGAGGTTTTTAATGACCTCGATAGCTTTCAGAATTGGTTTGATTTCTCGTCAGTTTTAGATGCTTCTGGGCAGAAGGATGTTATCGAAAGACGCAAAAAGAACCTGGTGTCGACGATGCATGCAATTTTAAAGCCTTTTTTGCTCCGTCGTGTCAAAACAGACGTGGAAACCGAACTTCCAAAGAAGCGGGAATACATACTTTATGCACCCCTAACGCCAGAACAGAAGGAATTATACCTTGCAATTATACAGGGTACGAGTCGACAGTACTTGGAGGATAGGGCGGTGGAAAGGATCGAATCTAGAAACGCATCAGTCACCCCATCTAGATCTCATAGCCTGAAACGGAAGGCTAATGGAAGCGGCAACTCTACTCCAAATAAGAGCCTGAAGTCTAGCCGCGATTCTACGCCCGGTACAGGTCTGACACGAAGTGTTAGAAAGAGGGGAAAGCAAAATTACAGAGAGATAAGTGATCGGGAGTTCAACGCAAAGCTGCGAATGCTGGAAAATGGGATTGAGGAAGAAACGCCGGGAGAATCTGAAGTCGACGAAAGTGAACTACTGGAGATTGAGCGAGCAAAAACAATGAAGCTAGCCAGTATGCATGCCTTTTGTACCTTTATTAACTGAAAATGTCAATTGCTAATTTCTTCAACAGAAAAAGAGATCGCTTCAAAGAAGCTCCAAAACCCACTTATGCAGGCCCGACTCGCCTGCAACTCTCCACACAATTTCTACTGGCCTTGGGATGAAGAATCTGACATCGACGAGTCACTCGTAACTGCATCCGGCAAAATGCTCCTCCTAGACCGTCTTGTCCCTTGTCTGCTATCCAAAGGCCACAAAGTCCTCATATTCTCCCAATTTAAAACGCAACTCGACATCCTGCAAGACTGGGCATACCTTCGTAACTGGAACTGTTGCCGCATAGACGGTGCGGTTAGCCAGGCGGACCGTCAAGCCCAAATCAATGCTTTCAATGCTGACCCGGACTATAAGATCTTCTTGCTTAGCACTCGGGCTGGTGGGCTAGGAATCAACCTCACGGCGGCTGACACGGTGATTCTTTACGATTCGGACTGGAACCCACAGCAGGACCTCCAAGCTCAAGATCGGGCCCACCGTATCGGGCAAACCAAGCCAGTGATCGTATACCGACTAGCGACTAGAGGAACCGTTGAACAAACGCTCCTTGAACGCGCGGATTCAAAGCGCAGACTGGAGAAACTCGTTATTCAAAAAGGCAAATTCAAAAATCTATTTGATGTGCCCCTTTCAGAGCAGAATGAAGTGGAGGAGTTAAGGAAGATTCTTGGGGATGATGGATTTCAAGTTTTTGACGTTGGTGCTGGAACGAGACCAGAATCGTTGCTGTCCAAAAAAGAGCTTGAGATACTGACAGATAGAAGTGAAGAGGCTTATGCCAGGGCTGAAAAGGGCTTGGATAGGAGTGGGAATGCGTTTTTGGCTGTCAAGAGTAAGAGGGAAGGTGATGTTACGGATATGCTTGAAAGATAGACCCGCTGGATCAGGGCTGTCATCCACAAATATTTATGCTACCTGTAATCTATTAATGCATTTAGATTTTCTCTTCGTAAAAAAAAGGGATCATCTGAGTATGGCGTTTGCTAAAGGGTACACGGTTGACTAGAGTGCTCTGTGCGTGTATGTACCCCCTTTGGGTCTACTCTAGCTGGTGGTATATGAATTTGGTGATAAGAGATATGTCCATAGCATTGGCAAAATTGAGCAGAGTTAATGTCGAGAAATCAGGATCAATCTTCTCCATCAAATAGAAGCAAGAGTGCATAAAAGTATGGTGGATATCCAAATCTTCTGTATATAAATGTACAAACTTGTCAGGGGCTTCTTCCTAACCCCAATGCCCAACGAAAATGTTAAACCAACCCCCCAAAAAAAAAGGTGAACAGGGCAAAATATCACCGCTGGCTGAAGACAACAGTTTGTCAAACAAGGTTCATGAGCCCAACATAAAATCATATTAACAGTAGAACGAAATGATGATAGCGGCCTGTGAGTGTTATCTGTTCCGTTTCTCTTCTTCAATCTGCCTGCGTAAGTCTGCTAGAACTTCATTTCGCTTGGCCAAATGCACCCTTAACCCTTCGACCTGCTCTCCAACCGTGTTGACATCTTCTCTCAACCGCTCGAGATTCTCACCTTCTTTCACCCTGCCGGTACCTTCTCTCAACTCGCGCAGTTCACGCTCTTTATATTCCAGCATCTGCAAAGCTTCTTTCTTAATAAGCGCCCAGTTGGGCCCGCCAGCGACCGTCCGACCATTTTTCCTATCCTCAGCGGCTGTATTGGCAGCAGCGAGTTTCTTCTCTAGCTCCGCAAGTTCCCGTCGCAGTCGAACTTTCTCCCATTCTTCGTCTTGGATTGTATTGCTAAAATCCGTCCCTTGTGGTTTATAACTTGTTCTTCCGCCGATACCAAGTCGACTGAGGTACGCATCTCCAAATTTCGCTTTGCGGCCAGTACTAGTATTTGTATCATTATCAACACCCCAACGCTCAGCCGTACGGACATTGTCGAGTTGGTAATCGATTTTGTTTGACTCAAATGAGGAACGAAGCGAGGCGGGGATAGTGCGCGGAATGCGGTAGCCTTCGTGTCTGTTATTAAGGATATGGAGGAATGCGAGAGCGGCATCTTTGTTTATTGTTGAGGAAGCAGATGGATTAACTAGATTCCAAGCGGAGCGGATATCGGTGTCTGGAACGGAGAGAGAGTCGTAAAGGTCTTGGAGAGAAGAGACTGGATGTGGAAATTCGTTAGTTTGTTTGGACTTTTCGCTTGAGTAGTCAAACGGAAAGACGCACATGCTAACTCGCCACGATGATTCTTGTTTGCGGAGTATATCTCTTCATATTTTCCCTTGTCACTTGGGCTCATGTACCAGTCAAATCCATCTTTCAAACCCGGGGTGTCGTCATCTTCTTCAACCCTCTCAAACTGCGGCTCGCGACCGGATAATGCCTGCGTAGCTTGAACAAGATGTGCTTTTGACTCGGGAACCAGCCAATCTGGTAGGCTGGGGGGAACTTCAGACAATTCCTGAATGTTATGTTGGTCAGTATTACACGACTTCAACGGCTCAGGGATCTGCACCAGCGATCCCCAGGGGACACTACACGTACTCCATTAACAAGGTCGAAAATCAGTCTCATAGCAACGCAAAACTCTTCAAAATCTAACTCTCCATCTCCGTCAACATCAGCAAGGTCCCACACCTTCTCCAGCTGTTCATCCCGCAACCGGCTGTTTCTTAGAACCGTAGCCGCTTGAGCATTGTTGAGTCGGGGTTGGCCATTAGAGAGCGAGGAAAAGATTTCCCAGTACCGCTCTACCTCCCACTGCTCTATCCGTTTCTCGGACATAGTGGAACAAGCTGAACAGCAAATCAAGTCCCCGGTTCGCTAGAGAATGATGGAGTCGCCGTTCCCCTGGCGGGCGACCCAACTAACTATGTCATGGGCAGGCGAGGACGGCTGCTTATCTAAGCGAAACTTCGCTCGAGGACAAGAGGATGGTTGACGGAAGACTAATATATTTTAATATTATTACCGGAGCACTTTGTCCCTTTATCGTCGACATCAGGAGTCTCGAAAAAATATTCCTATATAAACTACGAAATCCCACCCAGTTCTCGTCTAACTGTCCATGAGATGTATGCCAATTCTATGCCCCAGATAATATACACAAGGATGGAATATGACTTTGCGGAACGCGCGAAGTTTAGTAGAAAGATGCCTCTGTGAATGGAATTGGGTATATTCTTTGACATAGCAAACGGCGTCACTCCAGGAGAGGCAACCGTCGGATTTTCTTCCTATCATTTGGGCTGCTTCTTCAGATTGAGCAAATGCCTCACTTGTGTGACAGCTCGCTCGACTTCTGCATGAAGCTCCGGAGCTTGTAGCATTTTAGCAAGATCTTTTCCATCGGATATGTCAAGAAGGATTGTCTCGTCAGGTGGATCGTCCTGGGGCTGTTGGTTTGATCCACTTTTCTCATCCACAACTGGAGTTTCATCCGGTGGGAGTTTGGGCAGGAGTCCTTGGTGTCGCGAATAGAGGTCCTCGAGTCCGGGGAGGGAGGTCGGATTAACGAGGTGGTTGTCAAGTAAAAACTCGAGATGCTTGGAACCATTTAAGGCTGAGGATCGTCAGTTTAGTAGTAGGTTTGAGTGAAATGACACCAGGAAATACCTCTCCAGTGGGACCAGCCCCTGTATGCCAGGTAGAAAAAGGGTATGTTTGGTATTCTGAATCAAAAGAAGCGATGTCAGACGGTCGTTGCCATTTCGCTTGCGTAAGGAAGCTCTCCAAAACAAGGGCCGGAATGCTCACAATGGAATCAAGGCAATAGGCGCTGTTAATGGGGCCACACCCAGGCTCCACCACATTCTTCTCCGGTGTAAATCCTGCCTTTCGGTTGCCAGCTTTCTCAGCGTCCCAAGTATCCTGCTCTGGTGGATCACATTTCCGGGGTAAAGCAGTTCAACCGGACTGTGCGACTTCAGCTCCTGAGCCTCCCTCTTTGCACTCAATGGTGGTACACTTTTGAGTCCCCATTCCTCGTAGGGAATTTTTTGAAGCACGCGATGGCCGTAAGTAGTCAGTGCTTTTTTCCAGCCCTGTTCCGCCTCTTCCCATTGCGCCCAGGTAACAGCGGCTTTATTTGTAATCCGATCAATGACGCTCAGTTGCGTCGCCACCCCTCCAGTGGTCTTCTTGCAGTAGAGCAAAGTCCGCCTGGTCGATATCGGGATGAGGAAAAGTCGCATCGCGATGAATCGATGGCGGATTATCGCGGGCGCTGGGGGGGTGTGACTCAGTTATCCAGAGCTCTCTGAGGCGTGCAGACGGTGTAGCTGGTGACCATTTTCATGAATTGGGCTGTGTTAAGCTGGGAGTGTGGATTGTATTTATGAGCTCCCCGGCACTCGCGCGACGTCATTGATGGGAATTTTGCAGCGGAAGGGCACGCGGCGAGGCTCAACAGTGTGGCACAGTTTCAAGTGGGCTCTTGGCGCTTGGGATAGGTTAAGGAGGCTGCCCATTCGCATTTATTGCTCAAGGATTTGCCGCGCTGACCTCACCAGCCTTTCGCTCGTTTTACGTTTCAACTATCTTTTCTTATCTCTGACTTCTCAGAAATCAATTGTTGCCTATTTCCTGCCTGTAGTCTATTACACGACCCGGAGTACGTCAACCGGTCACAGCAACCTCCAGCGAATTTGAAACCATGTGCCACAGGTACTGGCGGCCCCGTCGATAGAGCATCCCAATTTCCCTGCTTTTACGGTCCTCGAGGATACGGCAATGGCAGGGAATGGCGATTCTTCGTTGCGTTCCCAGCTTTCGATATCGCGCAATGGGGGTTCGCGGCTGAGGTCAGAACTAGCGTTGCTGGATATACCCCTAGGGAGACGGAAATCAGGACACTCCATGGCAGCGTCGAGCATCCAAAGTGACGAGAAGCGCTGCGGGTCGGCATACCAGAATAACCATTTCCAAAGCCGAGTGTCGGTGGAAACAAATGGAGATTTTGGTGTGAGAGTGTCGAATCCAGCACGTGCGCCAGTACGGACTATTCCTGGTGTGTGTGTCTCGTCCTTTACATGGCGGGCCGTGAAAAAGTGCTGATATCTTTAATAGTATGGGTTCAAAACCGTCCGCAGGTAAACGCAACCGGCGCTTTTTCACCATCGATGCCGACGCTACCGAATGGCGTCCGTGTTGCGGAACACCACTTTGCTCCCCGCGAGAAGCAACCATATCAAGGATACGGCCCCCGCGATCAGTTTCAGCGAGGGTCACGGTGGAAGCCGTTCTTGCAATCCACAATGTACACCCAAGCAACGTCACTTGAAGAAAAGAAAGTCGATGCAGACTGGTTAGATGCACATTTTGGAGACTATTCAGAGCCTTGGCAAGGCGGAACCGACGAAGCAGATTTAGAGAGCGGGTTCGGTAGTCTTAGTTTCAACCAAAGGCGGAAGAAATTTACAAAGCGATTGCAGCGCACAATTCTGCAAAGCCCCATGATTCCTCTCATAATTCGACTGACGGTCTTTGTATATTCGGTTGTCGCACTCGCCCTTGGCGGCTCCATTCGTCATTTTGCGACAAAATATAACCATCCCCAAGGACCGTCCGCGGAAATGGCCATTGTCGTGGATGCCGTCGCACTCGTTTATCTTGTGTATATAACATGGGACGAATATACGGGGAAGCCATTAGGCCTTCGACCCCCGAAAGCCAAGATGAGGTTGCTCTTTCTGGACCTTATCTTTATTGTCTTCGCCTCGGCGAACTTAAGCCTTGCATTTGAATCCCTATCCGATGTGACTAGCTCCTGTACGTCCGGAAGAGTGAATGACGAATTCGACCCAAGGAATGACATTATTTGTGACAGGCAGAAAGCACTGGCGTCGGTTCTGCTTGTTGCCCTGCTTGCGTGGCTAATGACTTTTGCTATCAGTGTTCTCAGGTAAGTGCAACTACCGCCACGTTTAGCCGCTCTAGAATGCTAACTGAATGATTAGAGTTGTTGAACGTGTAGCTGCGAAATAATAACTCCTTTATACCCTCGGATTTTACACTTTCGTCCTCTATCTACATCATGAACATCTATCGCCCCTGCCCTCAGAATTTCCTAGTTCCATACTACCTTCATTTTCCCACCATCAAACTATAATATACGTTCCCTCTTTATTTTCCTATTTATATTTTCTCATTTGGTATCTGGAGCACGGCGAAAAGGAAAATTATGTGTAGGGATTGAAAGTATGGTTTTCAAGATTATGTATAATACTCCTCCGTACTCCGTACATAGTACTTGTATCGACAGCGGTTCGTATCGTGATAAGAATGTCAAGACCTTGCAGCTTTAAGTGGGATCATACTTCCAGCACTGGCCCTTGATCTCCGTAAAGCGGATCTTTGCTGAACCAGCCCAGAGAGCCTATGCTCTGGATCTTCTCTTCTTCTCCCACTTTACCATAGCACATATCCCAATCCTTTCCAGGCGGATACGACCCAACCATACTAAAATTGCCGTCTAGATCTTCAAGCAGTCGATGCGAAACCCCTGCTGGAACGATAATGACGTCGCCCTTGTAAACAGTTGGCTCAAACCGGTCCGGATTTTCCTCATGACCGAAGCAAAGCTTTGCCTTTCCGGCAACCACGCTGAGAACTTCATGCGTACTCGAATGGAAATGGCTTGTAGGGTACATGGAATAGATCCAGTGCTGCTTCACCGCTCCGACTTGTTTGAGGTGATTGGATATCTGTGAGGCAGAACCGGTGAAAGCTGAGTGGTAGATAAGGAGAGGCTTGAATTGGACTGAAGTGTTTGGAATCCGATCCCAGGGCTTGATTAAGCGCCGGGTGATTTGAACCTGGGATAGTGGCGTGACACACATAGTTGCGGTGGATATTTCCCAACAAAATGCAATGGTTTGTAAAGATGACCAATGTCTCTGCTGGTTTTGTTCCAAGCCTCTTTCAGCGTCTGCTTCCAGCGCAGCGCGGCCAGCCGTCCTTGTTGTCGTGCTGCTTGCGGCGAAACGTCATTGCTCGCCGCCGGCTTTATCGATAAGTGTATCACGCTAGTATATATTTGGAGTAGCGCAGGAGACCGAGTCAGGCGGATTTGGGCGAAGGATAGGCGCTTGTACCGCAAGGTTCACTCCAGGCCTGTCCAACCTTATTTGGTACTTTCAGGTACCTCCCCCAACCTTCGATTACTCCATCTTCTTCTCAAGGCTTCCAGCCAACACCAAACAACAACCACCTCATATTGCCGTCATTCCAGCTCCCTAACTTTCTTTCCGTCCACCATTTTATGAGGGTGCAAGTCTCCTCGTGCCACCAACGAGAAGAGGAAATCACAGTTTGGGGCCCTTGAACTGTTGCCATCAAGCACTTGTATTCCTCTCCTCGAAGTTGGGTGACAAAGGCAGCTTACTCCAGCACGCCGTTACATCCGTTTCCCTACAGAGGCAGCCTAATTACTGGTATGTTTACACTTTTACTGTAGCGTGATTCTTTTTTTCTTTTCCTCCTGTGTTCTATCTCTTGTTATTTTGGTGTGAACTCCGAGTTCTAACACAGCCAACTAAGCTGAAGTTTTGCCTTCTCTGCAGAAAGCCCATCGGCATGCCTCCTCTCAACATGTTATCCTCCAACAGAGAAGTTGCAGAAACGTAAGTGTGCTGCCTAGTTTCATCCCTTGATTGCCTTTTGACATTGTTGCCTGTTCAAGATGGACGTTCTTGGAGAGGGGTGTCGATCGGGTTATGAACGACCTCGAGAGTGGAATTGACATGGCCACGGTGAGTCCTCACAAAACTTAAAACTCCATATACAGAGAAATAGAAAACGCTAATTTGCATTATTTTCAGTATATGGATATTTACACGTCAGTCTTCCCCCCCTCAACGTTCCTAACTTCAAGCTGAGTCCTCGAAGCGCCGTACATAACTTTTGCACCTCCCAAAAGTTCCAGACCTCATCCCAAACCACCAACACAGGCCATCGTGGAGGAAAATGTGAGCTTTCATTTCCCTGCCGTGTAAATTATGAGACGTTGACCAGGATTGAACCATTCACAGCTCACCTCCTCGGCGAGGAAATCTACATCCCTCTTGGCAACTATCTCACGCGCCATCTCAACAGCGTCTTTGAAACCTCACTCAGCCATTCGGAAGAAGCCCTTTTAGCGTTCTATATTCGAGAATGGTCCCGCTATACAACCGCTGCGAAATACATAAACCACCTCTTCCTATACTTAAACCGTCACTGGGTGAAGAGAGAGGTCGATGAAGGCAAAAAGGGGATTTTTGATGTATACACTCTACACCTTGTGAAATGGAGGGAAGACTTTTTCAAGAAGGTTCATGAAAGTGTGATGACTGCCGTGCTCAACCTTGTGGAGAAGCAACGAAACGGTGAGACCATTGAGCAATCACAGATTAAGAACATCGTTGATTCCTTTGTTTCTCTCGGCCTGGACGACAATGATACATCTAAGACGACTCTCGTAGTTTATCAGTACTACTTCGAGAGACCATTTATTGAAGCGACCAGAGCCTACTACGAGAGTGAATCAAGGCGGTTCGTTGCTGAGAACAGTGTGGTGGAATACATGAAAAAGGCAGAATCCAGGTTGGAAGAAGAGCGAGGTCGAGTGGACCTGTATCTGCATCCTGATATCACCAAAAACTTGATGGACACTTGTTTGTCAGTGCTCGTTTCAGCGCATTCGTCATTGTTACGAGACGAATTCCAATCCCTCCTGGATGCTGAGAGGCAGGATGATCTTGCTCGAATGTACAGGCTACTTTCCAGGATAAAGGACGGCCTTGACCCCCTGCGAAATAAGTTTGAGACTCACGTTAGAAAAGCGGGTCTGGCTGCAGTCGACAAAATTGCTGCAAGCAGCGACAACGTGGAACCCAAAGTGTACATCGACGCTCTCTTGCAGGTACACTCGAAGTATAAAAATATGGTTGATGTGGCCTTTGCTGGTGAATCAGAATTTGTCCGATCGCTAGACAACGCTTGTCGCGAATTTGTTAACCGAAATGCTCTCTGCCATACAAGCTCTACCAAGTCGCCCGAACTACTTGCTCGATATACCGATTCTTTACTCAAGAAAGGTCTGAAGACCCCGGAGGAGTCTGAATACGAGGAACTTCTTGCGCAAATCATGACTGTCTTCAAGTATATTGAAGATAAGGATGTGTTCCAAAAGTTTTACTCTCGTATGCTCGCTAAACGCCTCGTTCATGTCAGCTCCGTATCCGACGACGCTGAGACCAGTATGATCAGTAAGCTCAAAGAGGCCTGCGGTTTTGAATATACGAACAAGCTACAGCGCATGTTTCAAGATATTCAGATCTCCAAGGATCTCAATGCCAGCTATAAAGACTGGGCGGCAAGCACTTTCGATGAAGAAGATCGCAAGAAGATGGTTGACCCGCATTTCCAAATTTTGGGAACCGGATTCTGGCCCCTCAATCCCCCTACTACGCAATTTATTCCGCCTGCGGAAATTCTGAAGACCACTGAGCGTTTCAAGAGCTTTTATTGCGACAAGCATAGCGGTCGTAAGCTCACCTGGCTTTGGCAACTGTGCAAAGGTGAAATCAAAGCGAATTATATTAAAAACACTAAAGTCCCGTATACCTTCCAAGTCTCAACTTATCAGATGGGTATTCTTCTGCTGTACAATGAGCATGATACTCTAGATTACGGAGAGATCGAGAAGGCAACATCGTTGTCCCCAGAGATACTTGATCCGAACCTTGGTATTTTAGTAAAAGCCAAGGTTCTCCTTCCATCCCCGGAGGATGGCAAGCCCCGTGCTGGAACTTCGTATTCTTTGAACTATAACTTCAAAGCAAAAAAGATCAAGGTCAATCTTAACATTCAAGTAAAATCTGAACAAAAGACCGAATCAGACGATACACATAAGACCGTCGAGGAGGACCGAAAGCTTCTTTTGCAGGCGAGTACTCCCTTTCCTTAACCTAGCTTATCTCAGTATTAACATTTGGTTAAACAGTCTGCAATCGTGCGCATTATGAAATCGCGCAAGAAGATGAAGCATGTCCAGCTTGTACAGGAAGTTATTCAACAAGTGAAAGCACGTTTCCCTCCGAAGGTTCCAGACATTAAGAAGAACATTGAGGCGTTAATGGAAAAAGAGTACATTGAGCGATTGGACGGCGACGAGTTGGCGTACATAGCATAATGCTTTACCGTTGGGGTTGTCCAGAAATTGATCCTTCATGAGCAAATTGATGGAGGGCATTTGATAGCAAAGCAGAGGAATAGGCGAAGTGGAGGTAATCATCGCACAGCTTTTGAAACAGCAGCTTATTTGACTATTCCCATGTTGATTTGGGGCTTCAGGGATACGGCGATTGGTCGCTTCTTACAAATGGCATTAGAGAAATCACAAATAAATATGCGGTGACATTACCTGCTTCTCTCATCTTGTATATCGTCTCTTTATACCAGGTGATAGACAACATATAAGAGAACCGGAACATATGTTTTGACTTGACTTTGAAGAGCATGACCACAAGCAACAGTGAATGTCATGGACAGCATTACTATGAAAAACACATTTCTCTAGGAATTCATCGTATAGAATGCTTCCTGTAATCATTCAACGCTAGCTCGTACGGTACATTCATATCAAATTCACACATTTGTCTATTATGTCTTCTGACATCAAGATAGCGTTTTTCATATACCAGCCGATTACTCTTTTTGGGAAGTTTCATTCTTGGTAGCCATAGCACCCTGGGAAGATGATGAAAGATCAACGTTGGTAAAGGCATCATTGGGATTCTCGTCGTCGAGTACCAAGGGCGAAATGGCTGGCTCCTCGTTCCGGGAATGATGAGACTGTAGTTTGTCCGACGGTTGAAGAACAGGTGTCGGGGCTTCTTGTGGTTCTTCTGGAGATTGCCGGTTTTCGGGTTGTGATAATGAGTGTTCACCACTAGGAATCGTAGAACGATTGAGCGATTCATATGAAAGCGTTGCCTTGTCCGGATTGGCGATAGAAACGTCCTGCGGTTTAGCTAAGGAATCCGAGAGCGGTGACGCTGGAGGTTCAGTGTCATTCTTTGGGAGCCCTTTTGTGCTGGATATAGAATCGCAACTATCATGTTTCCTCAAAATATTACTCCATCTTTTTCTCGTACTACTACTTCTACTCAATTCTGAACCGCTGTCATTGCTTGTTCGCGAACCCTGCCGCCCCATATTACTAAGTTCGATCGGGTCGGTAATGTCAGGAGGGTTATTCATTGAGGTAGACGCTCTAGGAGTTCCCGCGGGAGACGTGACGACACTGTTTGCGTGACTGTCCGTATTGGCTTTCTTTTCTTGCCATTCCTTCCGTCGCTCGTTGGCCCATGAGCTCCATGAGCTAAAATAAGCTGAAGCACGTTGTCCTGCCGCAGCGACAGTTGCTTGAGCTTGGGAAAAGTCGGCTGTATTTGGTTTTCGGGAAGCGAAGCCCCAGGAACTAGTCGTGGGGGAGCGAATTGATGATAGAGACGGCCGTGGTGATGCCTCGTTGTCTAGTGGCTTTTGGTTCTCTGGTGACATTTGCTGTTGGTTTTGGGTCTTTTCTTCATTCTTCTTTCGTTGAGCCTCTCGTATTGCTTCAATGTCAGCCCAAAGGCTATTGAAGGCAGCTGTTACCTTCTTTTGCCCGGTTGCTAAATGCTTATTTAACGCCTCACGGCCTTCGCGCATGCGTTCGTCAAGGTGCAGGTCAGACATTTGTTGCGCGAGACGACGTTGAATATCTTCAATTCCTAACCCACCAGCACATGGATGGCGAGGCTCCACGATCGAGTACAGCAAAGCATCTGAAGTGAGTCGATTAAACAGAGCATAATTAGAAGTTGTTTGCCACCGCTCCAAAAATTCAATGTTAAAATCCAAGGCAGGATCGCCCTCAATATCTGTTGCCTGCGATTGGAATCCCGGAGATTTTGGTCCATCTTTTGGTGAACCGAGAGAGACTTGACTGGCAACCTGCTCATGATACTTCATAGAGGATAATAAGGCGAGGAGATATTCTTCGAATTGAAGACGGATAAACTCTTCAGATCCTAAGTATCCATGGGTTTTAGGCCGATCGGGATGGGCTTCATCCCAGGTTTCGTTAATGGTTTGTGTCAGGAAATCGATCCATCGCCTGTCAGCAGCGGTAAGCGATAAGGCGGATCGGAGGGATGGTGACGATATTGTAATATTATCCTCATCGAGCTTAATATGTATTAGCACTTTATCCCCAAGAGCTAGAAGGGTAAAGCTACATTGATTAGGATATCGCTATATCTATCCTTTTGCTGTAAAAGGAGCGAGTTTGTCGAGCCGACGAGGTATGACTTTGTTCCATAATCAGCAAGAAGGTCGAGCTGTTGTAACGGCGTGTAGGGCCCGAACATGCTGCCCTGGAGCGTGGATCAGCGCTTCGATCTATACTCAAACCCAAAATTCATAGCAAAGTACCTTGCCGAAAATCTGAAGAGGTAGACCCATATAAGCAAGTACTATTATCCGGTCAACAAGCGAACATAAAATATTATATCATTGATTGCCTACATGAGCTCCTCTCGCTTGTTTTGAGAGAAGTTGGTTTCTCCACGGTCTGTGAGTAATTATCAAAGGACGGATCTGCGCAATCCTCGAGGTGGTCTAGAAGGCCGGGTATCAATGAAATAAGAGAAAACTGTATCATGCATAACCGCTCACACCGAGTGCCAAAAAATAACATCTAGTGCCATGTTATGGGGATGTAAAAGCTTTAGTGCTGAAAGGAAGAGGTCATCTTACCTTCGGTTGTAATAAAAGACATTTGAATAAAACTAGGGTCTGGTGCTTAAATTCATGAATCATTGCTCGTAACGACAGACCTAATTCTTGTTAACCCACTGTTGCAAGTCAGTTGTATATCCAAGAATCTAACCAAGATGATGATCTTTTTGTGCCTCATTATTTAGGCTGTCCCTGAGGCTTTCCCAGAATTTCTATAATCTGTCAGACAAGCTCATAAGCTGTTCGCTAGAAGGATTCGGGCTAACCTTCAGGATATCTGTATCTGAGAAGTCTCTGTGGAAAAGTCAGATCCATTGTATGCAATGTTCAGGAGCTAACCCGGCAGCCCAAACACCATAACTGCCAGATTCCATCCTCTACTCCACTAAAGAGAAGGGTGCAAAAGGAGATTGAGGGCAACCGTACCGTTGCGCAAACCATGCTGAAGTCACCATCGACAACTTCTCCCTCAACTGACCGAAGCGCTTCGGCTCATCAATTATAATAACCACAGCCTTTTGCACTGTCGACCTGGTCACCTCGGGCGGTCTATTTATCAATGAGCTAGAATCAATCTGCCTCGTACACGATATCCCAAAAAGCGACTTCGGTGGTGCCGTCGTCGTCGCATTACGTTGGAGGGTGAAATATGAGAAATCTTCCATAGAGCTGAAGGACTGAAGAGTAAGCACATTGCATTTGGCCTAAAGCTAGCCGGATCGCAGCCTATAGGCTCCCGGATAGGAGGATATAACGGTAGTAGAAAAGGGCTCTCGTACGCATGTGCACCGTCAGACAATGCCATAAACGGCAATAATGACCAGTCATTCTCGCCAACGGGATCGGTACCATCCTCGCAGAAGGATAGCTCTACCTCAGGGCCTCTGGTTCCGTTGCCGCGATCAGCAATATAATTCTAATAAGGCATTCTGTCTAATGTTTGGGGTTTTGGATGGGGAAAACATGATATCTAGTTGGCTCGGCGGGTGTGCTCACCTTGCATGATGGAAATCGACAACCAGGAGAATTGGCTCTTGGGTAAGTTTGCTGGTTGCCATGTTAAAGCTTCATAAAGGAAAAATCGAGGCACGTCAAAATCTATCTCACAAACGCTGGTCATATCTGAAATTCCACGGCGAGGACCACGGTCAGGCCAACTCCTCGATACCGTGAACTTGCGGACAAACAGTGATCCGATGCCTGTGGCTTATTAATAGATTACACCGAATACGCAGAGGTATGGTCGTCTCCAGACATAAATTACAGCAGCGAAATAATCGCCACGCGCAGAGAATCATCTGCACGCTCATACTCGAAAGGTTTGTGGCGTAAGTCGTAGCATTCACATTCCACCATTTCCGGCTACCAGGCTATTTTTGGCAGTTATACATACATGAAGGTCCGTCGATTATTGAAAATATTATCACAATACTCTCTCCGTCGTAACGTTGCTTACAAGCGCCCCGATCGTGAAATTTACAGGATCGTCGATCCACGAAGCAAAAAGCAGACGAAGGCGGGAACCTCCAAATTTAAAAGAGTAAAAATCCCCGATATACCCAGCGCCAGCTCTTTCTGACCCGGCTGCGAGGTATCGAACGGACATAAATGCACCAGAATGGAACTCGTGGGGATTCTATTCATATCCATGGAAACAGATTTCCTAGTAGTCCGGCCCTACATTGGCACCCTCTGAGCCTCTGTGTTCAGAGGAGTACCATGGATTCCTTGAGAGTCTTGGTCGACGTTGTGGTAATCAAGGATTTCGGAATACCTATATTGGCGGCCAGTTAGTATATTTTGAGACAAGATGTGGAGGGGAAGTTCCGCACATCATGACCTTCCACGAATCGATCGGCAACTCCGCATCGTTGAAGGACCAGTCAAACTGAGTCTCCGCCACAGGTTCATCTGTAGGGTCATGGTACGGTGCAAGGTATTCATGGGCAAGACCCTCTGCAGCAGTGATACGCTTCTTGGGGTCGAAGACAAGCATTCTTTCTAAAAGGTCAACGGCTACAGCAAGATCAGTCTAGATTCTATCCCTTCTAGGAGAGTCAAATTGAGTTACCTAGAGGTTCTGCGCCTTTGAATTTTTCACTCAGTGGTTGCCGCTCTCGCTTTGGCAGTGACTGCACAAATTGCAGGGTCTATAAAGCATCAGTAAAGTGCAAAGTAAGGCGGGTGAGGGAGGATGAAGTACGTTTGCACTGCAGATGGTTTTAATCACATCATCTGGTGGTGACCCTAATAGTTCTGTAATAATCGAAAATTGATTCACATGGTCCTTCCCGGGGAACAATGGTCGACCTGAGAGCATCTCTGCGAATATGCATCCCGCACTCCATACATCAACCTCAACGTCATATTTCTGCCATGTGAGCATGATCTCTGGGGCACGATAGTATCTTGTAGAGACATAGCCGGTCATTTGGGGGTCTTGAACACGGGCAAGGCCAAAATCGCAAATCTTCAAATCGCAGTTCTCATTAATTAGGATATTACTTGGCTTGAGATCTCGGTGAACCACTCCTGCTGAATGCACATATTTCAAGCCTCTCTGTAAAAGCATTATTAGCATCATAACACAGAAGGAATCAGGGATGGCAGAAGAAAGAGACATGCCAGAATTTGGTATAGGAAATACTGAATGAACTGCTTTTCTAATGGCCGTGAAGTCAATAAACGATGTAGATCGGTTCCAAGGAGTTCTGTGACGAAATATCTGCTGTATTGTCAGTAACTACTGGTTTTTCCAGGAATGAATTGTTTGCAAGACTTGATTGAGTACAGGAAAGGTGTATTTATACGTACATGTCTTCTAGCGGGGAGATAAAGATGTCGCTGAGACTGATAACCTACTTGAGGTTAGTTATATTTAGTTCCCAGAGCTAAGTAGGGTGTTGATAATCACATTTTCATGTCGCAAGTGCTTTAGAAGCTTGAGCTCTCGATAAGTCCTCTTTGCAAGCACTGGAGTGCTAAATGGCTTCATAATCTTCTTGACGGCAACGGCTTGATTTGTCAATTGATCTCGAGCCGAGCTGAAATTTGCTTATTAGCGAATCCACACAGTTTCGCTCAACGGATATCTCGCCTCTCTCTCTCCCCCTTCAGGTTTCCCATCCGCGAGATGTTTTCTCGCATTGGGGATGCGGGGTTCGAGCATACCAGACGAGACCAAATGCTCCCATGCCAACCGGTTGCAAGTCCGTGTATCTTTTTTCCAAGCAGCAAGGTCAGCCAATTATCGACTTATTTATCTCGAAATCGGAATCGCTTATAATACCTCGTCGTGATTTCGAAAGTCGTGCCGAAGATCTGGGCCCGCACGAATTCCGCCATTTTGAAAACAATTCAAATGATCGTGGCTTCGGTGGTGAAAGACCTTGCAACAAAACTAACCAACTTCTCTTCTGCGTTAGATTCTCTTGAATCTCGAGGATTGCGGGGCTTTGTTCCGTTTTGTGATACAGAGGCACAATGGATTGACGCCAATAGCGACCTGGTCAATGTATCCAAAAAAGTGACGTTGCGACTAATTGACAGAGGTGGGGGACGATTCGTCAAGTCGAAACAGGCGTACAGCGGTCGAAAATGGGTATCTGGAAGAACACGATCTCTGGCGTTTAAGGTAAAATATCAAGGAGAAAAGAAACATCTCAGAAAGAAACAAAGACAGGTTAAGAATGCGGATGGCTCGAGGATGTAATCATCATGAAAAGGCGAACCGGAGAAACGCATGGAGCGCTCCATAAGCCATTTGCCCCCCAATTCCGGCTCTTAAAGATCGGCGCTAACTAGTTAAATTTTTCTCGACTCCGAAATAATATCTTCGTCATAGCGAATGTCCCAACCCACCGCCGGCAATCTTAGTGCTAACTATGTATCCGGCATCAACTTTCTGGGACCCCTACCACCTTCTCGAATAAATATACGTTCGAAGTCCGTATGGACAACACAGCCCGAAAAAATCATCTAGCTCCGCGAACCTTGAAAGGTAACCATCCCCAATTCATATTCCATATAGAGTTGAGGAGGGGGTGCTCTTGCACAGAATCGAGGCAATACGAAATAGCGACCGAAAAAAAAACATAATATCGGAATTCAAATGAAGAAAAGGGCCACTAGTAACTGAAATTAAGCGTCTTCCCAAATGGAGTCTTAACGGGATCGTATGCGAGCTACTTCATGTCCAGGATATTGTTGCCTGGAGGCCTGAAAGGATTTCAATCTATCTGAAAGCTGATGGCTGATAATCGGTTATAAAGAATCAATTGGGGAGATTGCTCTGCTTTTGTTGAGGTGAACTAGGACAAACTGGCTCTCATATCCGCCTATCTTGTTGAATTGAAGGAGCAAGCCCAGACTCTCCTTACTACAAGATGAATGTATGAGGTTGTATGGGGTCGTTGGTTACTGGCATGCCTTCATCGGTCAGGAGCCAGTGGAAGTGCCTGGTAAGATGTATATGCATACCGATGATGCGTATGCGGAGCGGGAGCAACGGCTTCATTGGAAACTGGGAAATTGCAGACGAATCCCAGGTTAGCTTGAAGGTTGGCCATTGAATACTCCCGTGTGGGTATTTATGTTTGAACTCTCTCATATTTGACAGCTACCCTGGGGCCCCTCCCATCACAAGGCGCCTAGCCGCCCGAAGCCACCCGAAGATCACCGTTGGCTAACTGCCAATTATAGTTACTCAGTGGGAAGTCTGGGTGGTCGCAAAATGTTCCATTCCTCATAAGCTCGGAGTAGCATTAGGGATGGGCTGTTTCGAAAGGGTCATCTATCTTGCAGCTGCATTGTAGTTTGACGCCTTTTTCTATCCACTAATCGAACCCATTCCCGCCTCTGTGAACCCCCTGTGTGCGCACTAATGGGGTTCCCACCACTGCAATCCGCATTGCATGTTCGCTCCAAAGGTCATTCCAATTTGAATGCTCGGGCACTACAGACGGTCCTCGAGCTGCGTCAAAACCAGGAGGGTCCTATGTTAGCTTCCTTCCTGGGCCATAAAAGGTGCTAAATCACCCTCGAATCGCCATTCCATCTCAATTGTGTTGCTAGATGGATTATTTGTTATGATTTCAATCCGCCGATATCGCTAATGTCTGAGGCCCATCTGAGAAATCTTCGGGGAAATATGTGAGGGTGAGAGATAAAGTGATCCCGCCAGATGGACGGAGCACGGAGTATGGAGCCCTGCGGCTTTGGCCAGACCTCCTGTGCAGAGAATGCAAGTTGGGAGGAAGCAGATGTGTACACATACATCCTACGGCAGGGAGCTAAATCTCTGTGTGCCCTCTAAGTGTTGTTGACACTATACAATAGCCGGGATTGAACTTCCTAGATGCAATTATCCCTCAGGCACTGCATTAGGTAGTTCCGCTTCCGCGTGAGCTTCGGACATGTTCATCAAAGACAGCGCCATAAATTTGTTCTCCTGCCTCCCTCCCACAGGGAGATGCATTTCGAGTCGGCGCTGTCCCTCTGCTCTTGTACGAAACTTATGGGATACTGAAAAGGAAAAGCACATTCTCTCAGCGAACATTGAAAGACGCTTCAATTGAGTGAACAAGGAAGATAGACCAACACAGGAACACAAAAGAAAAGTGGAAGGCAGAGAGAAAGAGAGGGGGCGGGGAGGGGGTGGTTGAACCAGAGGCATGCATTCCAGCAAAAGCAGAGGAAACCACTCAATCACATGCACTTGGTAGAATCTGGGGATGTCTTCTACCGAGTTGGTGGGGAAATATGAGAAGATTGAGGGGAGCAAGAGGATAGCATGGCAAGGCCTTGTGCTATCTCGGAACAGGCCATCTCGATTTTCCAGTGGGCATGGATTACTTTGTACCTATGATATAGCTAGTCGGTTTTGACGGAGGGCTGGATCGATTTGTTGCGAACAAATTGGCCCAAGTTGAACCGCGACCGCGGCATTGAGTTTTGTATGCATGTGCACCTCAGTTATTCTTCCCTCCCGGTTGTATGCATCCTCGAGACGATTTGCCTTAGCCCTAACGAGATATACTCCGGTGCTTGATAAGAGTCTCTCACCCCAGTTTGCCCGAAATTCCTTTTGCTTTGGAAATTTTCACGGTCAGTACTCCGTAAATGATCTCCATTTCATCGTTTATAGATGCCCCACGTTCACGGATTCTGCCTTCAGTGTACAGGGAACATGGGACGGGAAACATCTGCATGCAATCAGGGGTCTACCCAAGCCGACGTCACTTCTGCTGAATTTTCGTTTCTTTTTCTCTCTTTTTTTCCGACGGAGACGCTGGTTGGTTCCTGGACCAACCAAGTTCGAACCGCTTCCAAGAAGGAACTTGCTGAGTGCCCCACATGGCTATTAAAGGACGTTCGCTTCTGACAACGTACAAGGCCGTTAGTTATCATAGATGCAAGAATGGTTGATGTCATCAGAGCATAAGTATGGCACCCGAGGTAGCTCGCCTGTCCTTATTGAGATCTTATAATTTACTGGTTAGCGAACGCCATGATCTCCGAGTGCTTTGTTGATATGGAATCGACTAGTATTTTGCTAGGAAAGCCTGTTTTACAGGCCATGCGTTGCAGACGAAAGCGAGAGTCTGCCGATATGGGCGGAAAGGTCTCGTGAAATTCCTTCAAGGTTGCAGATGTTCACCCCTACGCATATTATATGAATACCCGAGGGTTCCCTAGCTAACGGGTTATTGTAAGGGTAGCACCTACTTCCATTTCCCAACCAGCGTCCAAATGCTTTCTAAACCGGAGGGGAAAACAGCATACGGCCCGAGTATTGATTCCCAAAGATCTTCGAAGCCTCTTTTGTAGCGGGAACCCTGCCGATTGAGTTACACCGTCAATGTAAAATCTGGGCCATCGCAGGGACTTTTGGAACCATTTGATGGGGTGGCGCTTGATGGTAGGCAAAATTACGAGTGCATTCGGCGCAACAAAATTATGAATGGGGCTGCGCAGACACTCCAGTGGTGCCTAGGATCGGGTATAGACTGCCGTGCTCTTCCGCAATCGTCTTGTTTGGTTCCTGGAAATCATTTTGGCATGTTGAGACACATCTTTAGCCCACTGCGCCGAAATATCGAAGCGGATAGGGAATAGCGTATCCACGTAGTCCGCACTTCTCTAGAGTGTACAGTGTCCAATATTCTATTGATAGCAAAGGGATGCAAAGGGCCAGGGAAGAGAGGGGGGGCCGGGGGGTTTTTCGTCAGTATAAGGGTAAGCTGGGAGGGCGTTTGTGAGAGGGACCAGCCCCATTCACTCTGCTTTGTCGAATGATAACTTTGCAAATACAACCACCACAAAGAAGCTACAATGGATCATGCTAAAATTGAAGGATAGTGAGAAGGTCTGGAAGCCATCAATGGGGCATGTCAGCTTCTCTAGACTCCTCTGGACGTGCACGACCGGCATCGGGTTCTCAAGACGCCAGAACTTCAGTGGATGTAACATGACAACCGAGCGGGTATTGCTAGTTGCACGCACCCCGCTTCCCTGTGCACGGAAGCGCTTACCATTGAGCTTGAGGTGTACCGCCATGAGAATGCACGGACCCCAGCGAGCCATGGTTCGGAAGCATGAGGATTTGCTCGTTTATTCAAGGCAAATTTGGCCTTGTCTCACATTGGACGACGATTTTTCGGCTCATTGAGCTCGAATGGCGATCGTCGGATATCTCAGCATTTCAAAGCCCGCTAAATGCCAATCTCGCAACCATGGCTTTCTGGTAGCTAATGATACCGCAGCGGTGAGGTTTGCTCATCCATAGGCCTGACTTTGTGGTGTGGGCTGAAGGTTGGAAAGGATGATCGCGTCCAGGCGAGAAAAAAGCTGGATGCCACCGACATCATAGCTTTCTCACATTCAGGAAACGGACGGAGAAACAGAGTACTCTGTACAGGATGCTCTATGAGTTTAATGTATCTCAGTACATGGTTGCTGGGGCGGGGCGAAAGGATAAAGAATACATCTTTCTGCCGGTTGTTATTTTTAACCGGATCTCCTCCGTAAAGACTTCCGAACCCGTTACTATGTAACAATGCACCGCGTACGGAGAAGAGTACATACAAACGGAGTACTCCGTATATGTATGTATATTCTCCGTACATACTCCGTACAGTATACACATCTATTCCGGATATACATTTCACGCCATGCGAAGAAACCAGGTGGTGATAGAGTCATCTGGTCAATTGCTTCATTTGTGTTTCTCTCCCGGATGCATTGAAAGCAAAAGCAGCCTGGTAGACGAAGGACTGAATTCTTCGATATCTATCACTTGATTTTCGCCCAGATTTGGCTCTCACGAGTCTGGGCGATCCAGCTGACAACAAAAATCGAAAAAACAAAGATCATGAGCGGGCCCTGATGATCGCACTAGGCCGAATCCGGACCGCTTAGTCAAGTGACACGCCCAGTTCTTTGCTGACGCCACAATACACGGTTAGCGATGAGAGCTAATCGCTCTATGAGCCAGAATCTGCGGGCGGCTAATAAATCCCTTCGCCGGGGAGTATAAAAGGGAGTACTCCGTACATTCGAGGATAAAAAACCAGGGTTGGAATGGATAGGCTTTGAGAGCAGAGTCACCTGTCCTGCGTAATTGTCACCAGGTGGACACATGGACAAGAGGCCCGCTCAATCCATGTGCTCCCCAGGCTCTTGGTAAACCTGGGGATAATTGGTGGGGTTTCTGGAGTTGGTGGGTGGGTTTTACGGGGGCCGCGGTGGCAATTGCTTCGTTGACCGTGTGCTCGATATTAATTGCTTTCACCGGTACGGAGTACTCCATACGCCGTATTTTTCACTCATTAGTAACGTGTTAAAATTTCCAGAGTTACCCAAAACGACCGGCGTCTGTTTTCACCTTATCTGGCATCAACTCCATTTCTGCCCTCACGCTTTGTCTCGGAGGGCTCCCTGGATTGATAGAGTTGAAAAAAGAGCAAATCCACACTGGATACACTGTACATTCGCGAGGAGACAATGCGGTTATTGTGTGTATGTAATGCATAGTTCCGATGACTTTGTGTGCTCTTGGTCAGTCAGCCACGCGAAATGAGCCAGGGGCCTTGTATGAGTCGTTACCAATTTCAATATGCAATGTTACAGGGAGCTGAGGCCCGAAGTACCGCGCATGCAGCGGGTATTCACGACGCTTTCAACAATCTCAGTCACAGGTCAAATATAGAGCCGTGAGCTTGAGAAAGCACCTGATGCGACACTCAGCATTTTCGGGTTGTCCCCTTTTGACGGAATGAAGGTCAAGCACGTGGAAAGGTCGGAGATGGGTCCGGAGAACTCCATTCGGGGCAGGATGGCGGTCATTCGACGCTACATCTGAAGTCTTACCAGCCCTAAAAAACAGAGTATCCTCTTCAACCTTAAATGGCTACGGAACACAACAGGATAAAATTCAAAACGGTTTCGCAGCACCTGAGAGACATATCTTGATTTCACTGTTCTAGAGCGAAAGCTTAACATTCTTGGATGATAGTATCAACTCAAGGGCTCTTAGGTGGGATCTGCTGTTCTTAGGCAAGCTGAAGCGACACCCCATCTGATGTGCATGGACATTTTGTGACATGTATCGATACCGATACTCTTTTGCAAAATACACATCGCCGTATTGAATACACGTGCCGCTCGAGTTCGGCATGTGGTTAGAGCAGATGATTGGCTGACAAGCTCATGCCAAGGACGGACTCTTACGAATTGGGTAATATATTACGTGCAAAACGGGGGTTCTGCGTATCCGTAGTTCCTGGTCCCCTTTTGTAGAGCTACCTGAACCCCGACGACTCCCATCGCCCTCCACACATCCCACCTGCCCACTAAGCATAGTGACCGGAGCACGCACCACCAACCTTTTCTCCCATGCTACTCTTAACCTTTCTCTTTCGATCGCCTTAACCGCCTACTCGCCTGGTCCCCCTCAACTAAGGCGATGAGAATTATCTCTTCCTTTCTCTTTCCCACCTTGAGAACTCCCTCAGGACATTCCTTACTTCCCTTCGCTGCTCGATACCCAAATCTTCGTCCCTGGCAGGCCCATTTCCATCTCAAACCCATGCATTTAAACGCCTCCCGTTATTCGCTCCTCTGTGCACAGTGATTCTCCGCCCTATTATACTCCAACCCGACACATCAGCCTGCTCTGGTGTTTGAACATCCCATCCGTGCCTCGAGCAGCGACTTCAGCCTTCTATCCACCGCAAGCTTCCCACTCCGTCCAACAACCTCGGAGTCCTCTGCGATTCGTACCGTGTCGGGTTCATCGCGGCTTTTATCGGCATCCTTCTTCAACGTTCGACTTCTTCCATTTATCGTCTAATCGCATCGTCTAATCTACGCATCGTCAGCTGCAGTCAGCCCCCCATTCTGTGGTCCAGGACCCTCCATAGCTAGCTGCCTTCCTCGATCTAAACACCTATTCGCCAGCCCCGTCAATCTTTCACCGCTATTGATCGGAAACAGCCGGCTGTCTAGGTTTACCCCGGATTGCAGCGCCTATTTCGACCGTTCTTTTTGGGAAGTTGGAAGCCTGTTCTCTACACCTGCGTCGTGGTCATATTGGTAACGATGGGTGGGTGTTTGAGTTCGAGTCCGGGCCATAGCCCGGATGAGATCGTCGACCAGAAGAAGAGAAGCCAAATGATTGACAAGAAGCTGGAGGAGGACTCAAAGAGACTGCGAAGGGAATGCAAGATTCTCCTCCTTGGTAGGTTTTTGGGCAGCGGTTCACAATCATTGATTTAGTTGGGAGGCCCTGACTCGCTGTTGCAGGTTCCGGAGAAAGCGGAAAGTCCACGATTGTGAAGCAGATGAAAATTATCCATCAGAATGGTTACACAGTTGAAGAGCTATCGATGTGCCGGCTCACCGTCTATAAGAATCTCCTCGAATGCGCAAAATCACTGGTGACCGCCATGTATGACTTTAATATCATGCCGACCAGTTCGAAAGTGCGCGAGTTTATGGAGTATTTGGACGAATACAACATTGATCCCGACCCAAACACCCCTCTTGATCCCAAAGTTGGCGAGGCCGTTACATATCTGTGGAATGATCCGGCCGTTCCGACAGTCCTTGACCGTCAGAATGAATTTTATCTGATGGATTCAGCACCCTAGTACGCCAGGACATATCCCTGCTCCTGATAAGAAGGTTCAGTGCGGATGGCTAACTCTTTGTCGCTAGTTTTTTCGATGAAGTAAAGCGCATTACGTCGCCCGATTACATCCCGAATGAAGCGGATGTCCTTCGAGCGCGAACGAAAACAACCGGTATATACGAAACAAGGTTTACAATGGGTCAGCTTAGCATTCAGTAAGTCAGGCTTCTACATTCTGAGAATGGTGGTTTTGACAAAGACTTTTCAGCATGTTTGATGTTGGTGGCCAAAGAAGTGAGCGCAAAAAATGGATTCATTGTTTCGAGAATGTAACGTCGATAATATTTTGCGTGGCGCTGAGCGAATATGACCAAGTGTTACTGGAGGAGAGCAACCAGGTATGTTACTATGACTCCATATATATAGTGTTGCCAAATATTTACGGAATTGGTTTACAGAATCGAATGATGGAAAGCCTGGTGTTGTTTGATTCGGTAGTCAATTCACGCTGGTTTATGCGGACCAGTATTGTTCTATTTTTGAATAAGGTGGATCTCTTTAGACAAAAGCTCGCACGATCGCCGCTGAGCAGGTACTTCCCTGACTATTCAGGGGGTAACGATATTAACCGAGCCGCCAAATACCTTCTTTGGAGATTTAATCAGGTGAATCGAGCGCACCTGAACCTTTACCCTCAGTAAGGAATCCGATATATACATTGTCGTGGAGTTATTCTAATATTTATTCTATAGCCTAACTCAAGCGACCGATACTTCAAACATCAGGCTTGTCTTCGCTGCGGTCAAGGAAACAATCCTGCAGAACGCCTTGAAGGATTCTGGAATCCTTTGAGCCTTCCGGGAAGCGCCAACCGCTTCCTTCAAACTAACCTCTCTTACCTTCCACCCATATATCTATCCTCATTTTACGACATCTACGTCTCTCAGGGTGTGGCATATATCTACAATTCTGCGCCAGAGAAACATAATCTCCCTATCCCGTTGGTGTAGTCGCCTGAATATGTGCTATTCTACGACCGGGCTCCAAGCTTATTTTTCAGTGTTTTCTCGGACTTGCACGGCGTTACTTGGGGAACGATAAATTGATTCCATTTCCGGCGCCGTGTGGCATGATATGCATATTGTTCTATACACTACCTGTTTCTGGTTCGGTTTCTTCGGGATTTCAAATGCGAATTTGTTTAAATTCTTCGCCGAGTTCACTCGCGCCCAAAATCTTTTCTGGTTCAGTTGATCGATTCAATTTATACCGAGTTACTTCACACGCTCAATCCCCAGGTTTCTTATTTTGGCTCTTTGACCTGGAATTGTCTTGTATGGTATTTAATTCCACCCTCTGCCACCATTTGCTCTAATGACCCTGTTTTCCTTTTTTTTTTTTTTTTTTTTTTTCCTTCTTTTTGAATGTCATTGACATGCACCAGTCGGGGTTTTCCTATTATGTTTTGAATATTGGGGGTCTGTATATTTCGTGTTTGCTCTGTGACACGACGAAGTCTCATGTGTGACTCGGATTTTATTTATTTTATTTTTTTTTGGCAGGGCTTTTTTGTCTTCCCAGTTTTTTAGCAGTAAGGTTCTTTTCGTCGGGTGTTAAGAACTTGAGCATGGGCTTGGTGACGAAAATTTGTGGGACTCTCTTATCGCAGCCCGCATAAGCTATCACATCATATCTTGCTCCCATGATGTATTTCGAGATACAAATGGCTGAGCCGGAGGTTAAATTATTAAATGCTGAGTTTCTAACCGCGCCACGCGTCGCGGTTATCCCTTGTGGGCTTGAATCCAAATCATCTGCAGATGTCTGTCAGGAGACAACAATGTGCACTGTTATTCGAGAGGATGTAACTCGGCAGTGGCAAACTGGGGAGTCAGCAGCTTTGTAGTCCGTCACGGAGTATCCACAATGGAGAGTCCAGAGCAATGACGTTGTGAGGATGCTATGCTGGGGCGCTGCTTGATTGGAGATCTACATCCTGGTGGATTAGCTCAGAGAGTCGCAGCCCGAGCTGGAACGGCGGCCGAGGATCTGTGTGCCCTGGCTTTTGTCCCCAGCCTACATTATAAGCCAAAGATGGCCAGACTTTCTCATCGTGACCCATTGTGGTTTGTATCCTATATGGATCATTCCTTGGAAATAAGGGCTAGACTTTAATATGCCTTGACCGTCGTCATCTGGTGTACTCTGGTACATTGGCACCCTTTACTTACCTTTCCCGGTCCCAGTTGCATTTCCCCGCCCACATGGCTTAATGTACTGGCAGAGAGCTCTCATACTGGCCGAAGCGGGGTGGCACAGATGACTCTCGGGCTGTCATCAGGGTGCGTATACAGGGCGGAGTGTAACTACTTCGGGAGGTGGCCGAACAGGATATGAGCGTGCTGGAGATCCAGGTTGACGATGCGTGCGGTCGGAGCAGCCGATGACATAGTTACCTACCTCCGCCATCAGGTAGAGGTACACCTGGTACATCCACCACCGTGGAACCCCTCCTTCTTGCTTTCCTCTCCAAAACTCTGTTTCGACCTCAGGTGTTGTTGTTGACGCCTTGTTGGACGGCTCCCTGATCGTGTGCTTTGCAATTGGGATTTCCAGCTAGAATACGGAATATCTCGTTGATATCTCCATACAGGCCAGGGCTTTTTCGACACGACCGCATCTTCTTAATAGCAGCTGTGTAAGCACCGTGTCCTACGTTGTGTTCCTGTTTTACGAGTTTCTGTGCTGCCATCCCTCTCCCATCGTGTCTCCCTATTTGCCTAGTTCCCATCGCTAGGATTTCTCCTTTGGATTCGGAATATTTATTGCTGCTGTTCTCAAATGCAAGCATCCTCGCACACCAAGATCCCCTTGGCCGACCATTCTTCCTGCTTCAGAAACAGCATTCGAAGTTACGAGTCACTTGCTAATTAGGTAGTCAACTTGAAGGCGAGACTATCTGAGCCTTTTCCATCGTTTACATTCCCCCGATGGCCTCTGCTCTGCGGGAACGCCGCTCCTCCATGGGAGCTCCAATTTCCGAGCTGCAAGGTCCTGTAGGACCTGGCTTCAGTCGGCCGAAGCACAAACGTACTTTTACGGGCTTTGGGCCAAGGGATATCAAGAAAGTCGTAGCTAGCATTCCTGAACCGCAGAGACAAGCGTGAGTTTGATTTTAAATTTGTCCTTTTCGGCGTATATTGATGCATCTCGGTCAAATACGTCTTGAATCTGCGGCTTTTGCTTTAGAACATTGCTAACATACTGTGTGCTTGTTGCAGCTGGCGGAAATTCGTATGTCCACTGTATCTTTCACCATGGTGTTTACATCGAGCTAACTTAGACCCCTTATAGGCTCCTCAGGCATTCAAAACAAAGGAAGAATTTGAGGTATGCTAAAGCTTTCAAGGGAAGCATGCACTGCGTTAAGAACGTCGATGCTGATCCGCAGTCGTAGAAAGAGGTTGTTCGCCATGTCGAGACCACCCTTGCACGCTCTTTATTCAATTGCGATGAGCTGTATGAGATTCCAACCCCATAATATCTGTAGAGGTTGAGCTAATATTATCTTCAGGGCCGCATACTCTGGAACCGCTCTCGCATTTCGTGACCGACTGGTCATTGATTGGAATAAAACTCAGCAACGTCACACCTTTGCTGATCAAAAAAGGGTGTATTGTATGTCGTGAGGTCCGTGAAATCTGCCGTTACAATGTACTAACAGCCTGTTGTTGTGGCATCATAGACCTCTCTCTCGAATTCTTAATGGGGCGTGCCCTTGATAATGCGATGCTGAATGTGGGGCTCAAGGATGTTGCGAAAGGTGCGTGTAGATTCCATTTGGGCCTCGTCCCGGTCATTAATATCCCATCCAGATGGCTTGTCCGATCTCGGTTTCCGTATCGAGGATGTAATTGATCAAGAGAATGATGCTGCGCTCGGAAACGGTGGCTTGGGCCGTCTTGCTGCTTGTCTCCTTGACAGCCTTGCAAGCATGAATTATCCTGCTTGGGGCTATGGCCTGCGTTACCGCTATGGTATATTCAAACAAGAAATCGTCAATGGATATCAGATTGAAGTTCCGGATTACTGGCTAGACTTTAACCCTTGGGAATTTCCCCGACATGATGTAACTGTGGATATCCAATTCTACGGCGAAGACAAAAAATACCATGATCAAACCGGAAAGCTCGTTCATTCCTGGGAAGATGGCGAAATTGTTCAAGCAGTAGCATATGATGTTCCTATTCCTGGCTATGATACACCAACCACGAACAACCTTCGCCTTTGGTCGAGCAAGGCTGCTAGCGGCGAGTTCGACTTCCAAAAGTTTAACGCAGGCGATTACGAGAGCGCTGTTGCGGATCAGCAACAGGCCGAGACTATCTCTGCAGTGCTCTACCCTAATGACAACCTTCAGCGTGGAAAAGAACTACGATTGAAACAGCAATATTTCTGGTGCGCAGCTTCTCTCTTCGATATTGTTCGCAGATTCAAAAAGACGAAGCGGCCATGGAGCGAATTCTCCCATCAAGTTGCTATACAATTGAACGATACACATCCTACTCTTGCGATTGTTGAGTTGCAGCGAATCCTTGTTGACCAGGAAGGTCTTGACTGGGACGAAGCTTGGGGCATTGTTCAAGGAACATTTGGTTATACAAATCATACTGTTTTGCCTGAAGCATTGGAGAAATGGTCTGTCGACTTGATCCGGCATCTGTTACCAAGACATCTATCCATCATCTTTGATATCAACCTCGGATTCCTGCAATGGGTCGAGAAAACGTTTCCCAACGACCGTGACTTGCTAACCCGCGTATCTATCATTGAAGAGTCCAGCCCGAAAATGGTGCGAATGGCGCATTTAGCAATAATTGGTTCTCACAAGGTCAATGGAGTTGCCGAACTCCATTCTGATCTCATTAAAACGACAATTTTCAAAGATTTCGTTGAAATATATGGCCAGGATAAGTTCACCAACGTTACCAATGGAATAACACCGAGAAGATGGTTGCATCAAGCGAACCGTCGCTTATCTGATCTCATTGCTTCAAAACTTGGCGGGTACGAATTCTTGAAGGATCTGACGCTGTTAGACAAGCTAGAACGCTATCTGGACGACAAAGAGTTTAAGAAACAATGGGCTGAGGTCAAGTACCAGAACAAAGTCAGACTCACCAAGCACATTTACGATACTACTAGGGTTAGAGTCAACCCCGAGGCACTATTTGACATCCAAGTCAAACGAATTCACGAATATAAGCGGCAGCAGCTGAATATCTTTGGCGTGATTCACCGGTACCTAAAAATCAAAGCTATGACGCCTGAGGAACGTAAGAAGGTTATCCCTCGAGTGTCTATTTTTGGCGGAAAAGCCGCTCCGGGTTATTGGATGGCAAAGACAATCATCCACCTTATCAATAAGGTTGGAGAGGTCGTGAATAACGACCCAGAAATTGGTGATCTGCTGAAGGTTATCTTTATTGAGGACTATAACGTCAGCAAAGCGGAGATGATCTGCCCAGCTTCTGATATCAGCGAGCACATATCAACTGCTGGGATGGAGGCTAGTGGCACAAGCAACATGAAGTTCGTGCTAAACGGCGGACTTATTATTGGGACTTGTGACGGTGCGAATGTAAGGATGTTACTTGTCAGATTCTAGCCCTTTTGAATTCACTAACAATGATAAATATAGATCGAAATTACCCGCGAAGTTGGCGAGCAAAATATCTTCCTATTTGGTAATCTAGCTGAAGATGTCGATGACCTACGACACGCCCACGTCTATAATCCGTCGAGCATAGAGTTCGATCCAGACCTTCGTGCCGTCTTCGATTGTATCCTCTCCGGAAAATTTGGTAGCGCAGAGGAGTTTTCAGCGATTATCGACTCTATCGTTGACCATGGAGATTACTATCTCGTGAGCGATGATTTCCATTCATATATCGAGACACAAGGTCTCGTTGATGACGCATATAAAAACCAGGATGGCTGGGTTGAAAAGTGCATTCAGAGCGTTGCGAGAATGGGGTTCTTTTCTTCGGATAGGGTTATTTCTGAATATGCTGAAAGCATTTGGAACGTTGAACCTGTAGAGGTGAACGAATAAAGGCACTCGTGGTCTATAAAAGGATCCCAATCTGTCAAGCACATGAGCAAATGAAGAGGTCGACCGGGACTGATCACAAAATCAATTGATACGTTTTTGCCTTTTCAACGTTGTTTTAACGCAAGGAGAATTGAACCTTTATTATCCAATTTGTACTCGAGAATGTGGCACTATATTACCTGCATCGATATTTCTGGATCTGTTGCATTACTTCTATATGCATAAGCATTCGCTCGAACTTTTTTTTCCCTCTTTTCTTCTTTTTTTCCTCCCTACCTAGCTACGTAGAAATCTTAAAATTCGAGTTGATGGAGAATATTGCAGTGGGTTAGGAAGGAGATATCGCTTCATGCAATCCTCGTATCAACTGTAATTGTATGTTTCTTATTAATGGTAAAACTTGGTTTCTTCGCTTCCTGCCATCCATATCATTGCACTATATACAGAAACATCATTAGATGGATTTTATTAGGACCTATCAGCTAGATTGGTGGGGTCAGATACGGTTCGTACACAGGGAGTCCTCTACAAGTAGCGCCGATGATAGGTAGTGAGAACGCCCACAGGATGGGCCAGGCTCGTAATACTATCATGCTGTCGTGAGTTCTGCAATTCTTTTCTCTATCTCTGGGATCGCGCGGAGTTCAAGGTCAATCTCTTCCTTCTCACTGTCGAATCAAGTTAGTAAAAGCCCAAAATTGCTCTGAGCATTTCAAGAAAACATACTCTTCAAGTTTTAGTCTTTTCTCCCAATCCAAGCCCGTAAAAACGTAATGACCTTGTCCATCGAACTGCAGGATCTTCTTATGGTACTTCCACAAGCTCCGTCGATGCGACACAGTCATCAACGTAACTCCCAATCTCTTCGCCGTTTCGTACATCACCTTCTCAATCTCAAGCGTGACAGATGACGTGCACTCGTCTAGAATAGCATATTTTGGCTTATGATAGAACAGTCGGGCCATTGCAATTCGCTGCTGCATACCGCCTGAAAGCACGTCACGCCATTCTTCTTCAGCATCCCAACCACCTGGTCTATCGACAATAGATGAGATTTCGAGGATGGACAAGATATCATAAAGGTCAGCATCGGTTGTTCCTTTTTCATGCATTTCTTTCATGCCATCAGGATAGATAACCTGTTGACGTAAGGTGCCGCGGGACAAGTACGGGCGCTGGGGTATATAGAAAATTTGATCGAATGTTGGCTTTTTAACAGTCCCTCCATATACAGGCCACAAACCACCTAGGATGCGGAACAAAGATGATTTACCACACCCGTTCGGCCCAACAATAAGTAGATGTTCACCTGGGTGGACTGAGAAAGAGAGCTTCTCAACAAGAATGTCACCATTGGGTGAAACGATAGGGACGTCGGTAAATTCAATTGAGTCACTTTCAGAGATCGTACCCCGTTTGCTTAGCACAGCAGCATGACCTTCGATTGATGCGGAAGAAACAAGCTTCTTTTCGAACCTGCCTTTTGATATATCGTCGATAACCTCGAGAAGGGAAGTGACACGAGTGGTGTGGCCGGCTAACTGAGAGATCTCTTTATAGGAGAACATTACGCGGCCAAATGCATCGGAGGACGAAAGGAGCATTCGGCGGTTCGTGACGAAACCTAGGCACACAATAAGTATTTCGTCGAACAGGAAGTGCAATCAGACTTACTTTCAGTTCGGTCGCCCATAGTAGACGAAACCTGGCCAGGGATTTTGAAAAACACGGGAAAACTGCAGAGTATCAAGCCCAAGGCACCCCAGAAATACTTTATAACGAAATCCTCCATGAATCCGTGATACAACCTCCTCCGTAAAATACGGTTAACATGCTTTATTAAGGTAAAGTATCCCTTGTCTAAGGTGTCTTTTTCCGATTCATGACCATGATACAAGGCGATTTCCTCGCTATAATCAATCAATCGCGTGTGTTGGAAACGGAATTCTCCTTCGAGCTTCGCCTCATCGGCAACGTATTTGCCGAATGGTGGTGTAAGAGCTCGCATAACATTGGCGGATAATTGGACGAGAAGCGACATAATAAAAAGGCCTTCTCCACCAACGCTCTTTGAGAGGGAATAGTTATATATAGCCATATCGAGGATTGGTTTTGCTAGATTCGAGTATAGCTCTGCAAGGCTGTTTGAAAATCGTGCTATATCGACCGTGATAAGCTGATCCGGATTTTTTATTCGATCATCAAGCGCTGAAATTGTGTAAAATGTCATATTAGTTAGGTACTCATTTTGAACATACTCGGTTAGGCGTTTTCTGTATTGCAAGGCAAGCTGGCACTGGTGATACGATAGCTGTTGAAGAAAATGATTATTAGCAACTGGTCTTTAACGAAGGAGTTCCAGGTCCAACCATCGTACCATGGAGTTTGTGAATGTTGCGGGAACCGCCACCATCATCCACCAGACCAGACCCAGTAGGAATTCCCTTCCTTTGCCCCTGACCAAGCTACTGACAAGTTTTCCATCAAGTTCGGCGACGTAGAGACTTAGAAGAGTCCGGAGCACAAGGAAGACCGAATGACTGAGCAGGAGTCTAAACTCTTTGCTCTTCCATCCCGGAATCACAATTCTGAGCAATCGCGCCAAATTTCTCAGGAACTCCCTGTTTAAGCCTATCTTTTTCCGTGGCACGCCCTCTGTGCCGCCAGATGCATCTCTATCATAACTCCGGGTCATCGGCCACTCCCGAATCTCCGCCTGTCGCTGGGACGCTTTCTGTTCCGAAATAGCATTGTGGACACGCTTGATGAGGGCAAGGAAAAGAGTCAAATAGACGCCACGGGATATTGTTTTGCGATGTTTAAGGTATTTGCTGGTTAGCTGAGAGAGCGCGCGCCCGATTGCGCGTTCGGAGAGCACGGGCTTAGATTGCAAGATCATGTTGTACGAAACGAAGCGTAGGGGATGTCGCAACCTGTTGTAAGACAAATGAAATTGGGATCAAGGCAGCAACGGACTCTATAACAGGTTCGTTCATTGATCCCGCGAGCCAGTCCAATGAAATTCACATCGATCTTTATCTTCGACGACGTAAGGCAAGGAGAGCAGTGGGAATTATATGTACGAGTATAACGAAATAATATACACCTACTCCGTAGATATATCAGCAAATCATTTAAGTCACAGCACCAGCTTCAGGCGAGGGTTATCAAAGAGGCTGATGGCCGGCCATCTTTCAGTACTTTTGGGAGATGCGACCGATGGCGATGCTTCCGCGTCAAACCATGTCGCCGCCCAGCAACGTCGCAAACTTTCATGTGAAGCTGGCACTTCCCGTTCTTGGCTGAGCCGAGGATCGCCGATTTTGCTGACGTAAGATAGAATCACGTGCACGAGCCACAGCCCCACCAACGCCAAGCCACTGGGACTCCAACTGTTGCGAACTTCATCCCGAGAGCAGACTTCATCTCAACTGACCACGGGGGCCACCGCTTGCGATAGCAGCATACCAGGGTCGCAATTGATCATGTCTCTCCATTTTGACATGATCCTTAAAATGTTACTTTGACGCCCCACTCAACCGCCCGTCACAGCTACCCGAATCCGTACCACGATCCGGACCACAGAGCCCTTTGAACGACACAATACCCTTGAATGGCCGCTAGATGGGGCTGGCGGCCTTGCAATCTCTGCCTCTGGGAAATATGGCATTAGCGATGAATTTGCCTAAGCCATCTTGTCTCGACCCGGCTGTTGAGACCTTGCTTTCTGCGTCTTCTTTCTTCATATACTCTGCGTACCTGATTCAAGATAGATAAAGAGTTCAGAGAAGTTGTCGGTCGATGGCCGCAAATGTAGAATCTCTTCTTCTAGTATGTTCATTTTGCTGTTTGGGCCTAGATTGTTACCTGCTTTACTAGCAGCGTCTGGCGGCCATAATTCTCTTGTGCCTGCCGCAGTCCACAAAGCTTGATCGACAACGGGCTACCTTTATGGTAAGCGTATAGCAGTTTGAAAGAGGTAGCTAGGGATTGAGAATTGGCTGCTGGGGCATTCCTATTCTACCTGCTGATGCTGGGAAGAAGCATAAATATGCCTCAAGCGGCAGGTTTTGCTTCTCAGTGCACAGTGCCAGGCAATTTAGCTCTAGCCGACGATCTCAACCTTTTATATGCTTCTTCACATTCGATGTGTTTGTCAATATAAGATCATAGGGCTCCGGGGTCTCCTTGTTGGCCTGATTCACGTCCTCCTTGTCACGTGCTGCACAGATGTATATTTTCGCAGAGCTCATCGGGCTCTTTCACATTTCCTTTCTCGCATTGCTCTCATTCCTTCATGAGGACTTTGTTGTTTCCAAGCTTTTAGCCTGACAATTGATTTCTTGGTTCGGTCCTATAAGCCTTTCAAGAATCCTCTCCTTCACCTATATGTTGCTCCACGCGGTAGTTGCAAACTAGCCAACGCCAATATGCCCTTCCCAAACATTCCAGTTGACCTGTTTGAGTGCATACTGGACCATGTAGGCTTTCCTTTATCCCCAGTTTGTGTTTCATATTGCCAATAACCTGCTTGTCTGCTCCAGCTTACGCCGTCGGACTTGGTTGCTCTTACTCAAGTCTCAAAGCTGTTCAATGCTTTTATAGTCCCACGGCTATACTTTCACACAGTACTTAAGATCGATTCACTTGAGCACAAGTCAGTTAAGGAAGACCAACCCAATTATGAGGTTTGGCTGGAAGCTCTTAGAGGACTCGTGTCAAACTCACAAAAGCAATGTGAGAGTGTGCATAAGCTCACTATATGCGGAGAGTACGCTTTCGGAGAAAATAAGTCAAAGCATGGGATTGATCGAACCATAGTTTCCTCTAGGTCACAAAACATCCAAGGAGCTGTATCCTCTCTCGTTAACTTCCTGCTGGAGATGGCGCTCCCAAAGATGGCCCAGTTGATTGACATAGAGTAAGTCTGCCACGAGGTACCCGTTTCAGTGTCGCTGAGTAGGGGACTGAACCTTGCTGCAGGTGGTTGTCAGGATTTCGGCCCTCGAACAGAATCTTCGAGGAACTATCGCTATGTCCGCTAAGATCTCTTTCCTTTAACGCCGGGTTGATGGTTAACTATCACGTCCAAGAAAACATGTTTCGCTATGCAAGCTTGAACCTTCAAAGGCTTGACTGGGATGGAATCGAGTCTCTGCGCCTTTTCAACCTCAATGACCTCGAAAGCATTGGATTCATAGCTCGAGTAATTCGACATGCAGGAGGCCAACTCAAAGACCTTCAGTTTCATTTCTCACTACCTTTCCCTAGGGACAAAGAACAGGATATTCCTCCACTTGATGCCACTGCCTGGCTTCTTGGTGAACTTGGCCAGGCTCCCCAGCCAAGGCAGCTCCAAGCACTAGGCATATATGAATCCGGAAAGGTCGACCTTACATTCTTGTTTCATATCTTTGATGTTTCAGTCCTTGAACACTTCACTTTTATGCCTCACTGGGGTGATTTTTCAGAAACTTCCGCAGTGTGGAGTGAACTGCACAAACGTGAGGTTAAATTGAAGTCTGTTATGGCTGACCACCAGGGGGAGGGAATGGAAGCTTACTTTTCATCCTTTGAAGGACTGAGGGAGCTGTTCCTGCAATATGTCGAAACAAACCTGGCTGTTTCCCCCTTATGTGCCCGACACTGGAGCACTTTAAGGACAATCTTTCTGCCCCATAATCAGCATGCCATGGAAGACCTTGGGGCTATCATCCAGAACTGCACTGGTCTTAAAGAGCTTGGTATGATGCTTTACACGTCAAGCATAGTGAGTGCAACTAGTTTTCAGCATATCCCGTCCAATCATGCGACAATTATGTGATTGAACGACTAAGCGTCACATGTTGTTGCTCCCGCTGTCATGAATATAAAGCTGACCACCAACCCTCTCTCTTCTAGCACGCCATCTACAAACTCTTCGAACAAAGCCGCTTGCAGTCGGTATTCTTCTACACAAGCTCCCCAGATCCAAACCCAAACCGACCCGTCCACAATGCTGAGATAATGTCCCCAAAAAACTTCATCAAACGCTTTGTAGAGTACTTTGCAGGCAGCCCACGTCGGCAGCGCCCACAAAACTTTTCCACCTTCTACCATGGCCTCAAAAGGATCTCATATCATGACTCCTTGTGGGTAATGACGCCGACCAGTGAAATGTTCATCGAAGGGTCCACTTATGATTACATAGCTCGGGGTAATCACCCGAAGAGAGTCAAGATTCACGACACAGGCATGATAGCCACAGTTAGAGAGGTGAACCAGTTTGTGCTTAATGAGTTTAGGGAGAAAGGTGTGCGCCTGCTGCCGGTCCGTGTTCAATGGAGCAAGTACAGGGGTGATAAGACCGTCGAGAGGCTTATCGACTATCTCATAACGAAGCACCCGGAACGGACTGCGCATCCTTATGCGCAGGCAAATCGCTTCGTGGAGCCGCGGTTAAGATATTAAGGCGGAAGAAGGGCATATCTATACGGCAGTTAAGAATGGAAGGTATCGGCCGGAAGGGCTTATTTACAAGAGTTTCTTGCTTAAGGCTTACAGGAAACTCAAAGGGGGTTGGGCTAGGAAATCCAAAGGTGAACTTCACCCTGGAGATTATGACTGTTTTCTAAGGAGTTTAGGAAAGCTTTGGCCTGTTGGCCTACTTACACCTTGTGAATAATGCTTTTACTGACTGCTTTATTATGCTTACACACTTCAAACCACCATGGGCCATTATTAGTAGACAGGATTGTATCAGCCCTACTGAAGGACATCAATTTGAAGGCGCAGTATGCTTTTTGACCAAGCATCAAAAGCCATAAAAGGAGCCAGCTAAAAGGAGCATAAATTAAGCTCCACGCTCACACAAAAAGCCTATGCCAAAAAAGAGGTACTATAGCTAGGCATGACTGCTTGCACCAATCCATAAGCAGGAACCAAAAAAAAAAAAAAAAAGGAAAAAAGGAGGGGGTAATAATTCAGTGCTACTAGGCACATAAAAGCAATCATAAATCATCCTACACAAGATTCCTACAACCCCTTTTACCAGTCACCAATATAGAGAGTGAAGAAAGAGAATTTCACTGCCGCCAACTCATCCCAGCATCTTGTTCAATCCCCACGACTCCTTATACCTGCATTGATCAACGCCACAATCTGGTCCTCCTTGAACTCCGCAAGAGCATCGGGGTCATGTCTCTGCAACTCCACCAGGTCTTCAAGGCTAGCGGACCTCAGTCCTCGGAGAGACTGCCCCTCGTACGAACCCTCGCGCATATGTAGTGCCAATTGCGGATCGGACTCGCTGCTGCGGAGTTGTTCCAGTTTCTTCTGCAGCTCAGCGATGTTCGGCGGCGATCGTGAGATGGTTCCATCGCCATTGTCTAGTTCAGAGTTGAGCACGTCGTGACTCAGACGTTGCCCTAGGCGAAGCACACGGCCTTCTTCGGAGGTCAAGGCCCGAGAGTGGAGAGACGTGTTGGAACTAGTACGCGATAAGCGGACGGCATATCTATCGGCGTCATCGTTTTCAATGACGCCATTCTCTGGGCTCTGGCACAAGCCAGCTCCTTCGTCAACGTCGGAGTTCTTATCGGCCTGGTCGGATGACGGGAGGGAGAATTCAGTAGCAGGGCCGGCATCTGTACCCGAACTCATCTCGGCTGGGAGACGTGTATCCGGGAATTCGTCTTCAAACCGCTGAATCATTCTTTGCAGCGTGCCATCAAGGAATAGAAGACGTCCTACAAAACAAAATCAGTTAACTACTAAAAAGCAAACCTCATCAAACGTTGGAGGGCAACAAAGCACTTACGATAATTCAAATCATTGCCGGCCTTGTCTTCACGAACAAGAGCCGGCTGCAACCGCACGCGTATCCTTCTCGCTGCATTTAGAAGATTCTTGGACATATCTCGCGGTTTCTTATTAACACGGACATGGCTGAGACGACGCAGCGGGGTCGATGCGCCGCTGGGTGGAGGGGACAGGTCGCCAATGGCTTCCACTCCACCGTAATCTGTGTTTCCCAAACAAACTCCCAAAGCTTTCACGACGCCACTACCCCCAATTACATAATCCTCGTCAGGGGCAAGATTCGCGTCGTCAACGGTACCGTTAGCTTCTTCATTATCGCCATGGCCAACAAGATGGGCGAGGACATCTGGAATTGGGACAGCGTCTTTCTCTGAGATTTGGCCGTCTGCTGCGGATGACAGCTGTTCCGCAAGTTCGCCCCTTTCGAGGTTACGGAGGGAATAAGCGACTATCTGCGAAGCTAGCGCCTTGACGATTTCATTATTGTCCGCTGTAGGAACGTCAATCTCCACTGCAATCATAGTCTTTGATACTCGAACTGCAGCCATGAACGAGGCGTAAAGAGCACAGGCTTCTTCTTGGGTAGTAGCATCCTTGGCGGCAGCTAATGCCTCGATCGCCGAATTTTCAAGGACACTGATATGGCAAAGCTTGGGGCAATCGGGCAAAATCTCAGCTATAGCTATTGCTTTCTCGGAAGTAAGGTCTACATCAGCAAGGTGCACGCGTCTCAGTTCTGGGAGCTTCGGTAGGTATCGCCGTAAAGTTGCAAGGGAGTCGGGTTGTATAGTAAATAGTTCTTGATTATGCGATAGGTCGATGAATCGGAAATTAGGCAATACTATCAGCGCTTGAAGGAGATTGGCGAGAGTCTTGGGAACGAGTGAGCAATCCGCTAAACTGAGCGCTGTGAGCGGAATAGTCTTTTGGAACGCAGCGGTGAGCAGGTCCAAATGGTCGTTCAGGTCGTTGCCACCCAAGTCCAAACCTTCGCAATGTCCAGCATTGAAATATTTAATGACGTGCCGAAGACCCTCCCTTGTTAAATTATTGTTTGCAAGGCCAAGCCTTCGAAGACCGATAGTCTTGGCGGCATCGCAGATCTTCTCCAGATCTTCGGTGGAAGGACAGCATTCGCTAATAACAAGTTCCTCCAAACGATTCTTCGCAAGTCGTTCTGCTAGCGCCCGAGAAAACACTGTCGCAATACTGGCAGACGGACCGGTAGGCCTCGACACGGATGTCGGGCTGTTACTTGGCGGTGGTGGTGACGGGAACGGGATTCCGGAGAGGTCGATTCCCCTGAGCGAGCGAGACATGTGAATGAAAAGGCTTACATGGCGCCAGCCCTCAGGGCCGATTTTGGGATTATCCTTCAACGATAGTTTCTCGATTGCGCCAAACTTTTCCTCTTTCACTAGCCTATCTGTCTTTTTGCTGCGTTTAGAGCCTCTTGCAAGTCTGGCGGCTTCAACGGTTTTTGTAGACAATAAACCCGCCAGAATAACCCGAACGGCCTCGTCAGTTAGCCCGCAGTCCTGTAGTATCAACTTGCGGACAGGTACAATCGCAAGCCAATCGCTGAAGGTAACAATGTCCTGAAAGGACATTGCGAATCCAGTAAGATCTAGGACGCCAACAGTGCCCGGAGATTCTGCAAGGGAGGACGAGGGTGAGGAGATTTGCTCAACAAGCTTTTTCAGTATACCAGTCTCTCGCAGCTGGCAGCAACGGCGATAGATTCTCACAGGATCCGTGGTCGGCTGATCTTGACCACGTTGGAAGCGATGTGGAGATGACGAGTTTCCAGGGTCGCTCATGTCAAAATGCAGAGGAACACTGCCACTCTCCTCTGCCAGTCGCCGCTTTCGTTCTTTTCGTTCTTTGCGCTCTTCTTCCGACTTCTTCTTCTTTTCTTGTTTTCTTGTCATTTCCTTGGCCGGAGACTTGCCCCAACCATCTTGTACTGGTCCGGTGTCATCCATTCCACTTAACGACGGAGAGGGTGGTGTATGTTGTGCAGCTTTAAGAGCCACACCTTCAGCTTTTTCAGCTACCTTGGCGTCCTTCTTTTGACTGGACTTGCTTGACTCGGTTCCATTCACCTGACTTTTCCCAGCCTTTGATTTGATATCTTCGTCGGAGTCAGCGCGGCGAGAGACCCCAGCTATCTCAACATCAACGCAAAACGCAACGCGACGTAGTTTTGCCTGGTTTAATTCCGGAATCTTGCACCTATCGCGATCGCGATCGATATTCATGACCCGGCGTTCACAGATAGACCCTCCATGGGCGGCCGTCCGGCCCAATCCACCACCGCTAGATGCAAGTTTGCGAAACGCATTATGAAAGAACGAAGGATTCTTGGGGGAGTGGGAGCCGAACGAGCCTGACTGAATCTCCCTCTCGCTATCCTTTGGTGAATACGCAGCTCCGAACGGGTTCAGTGACTCCGTACGTGGGCTGTGTGCTTGCAATCTGGAATTGCTGGGGGCGTCTTTCATATGGCTTTGCGCGGGAGGCGTTGAGCCGGAGCTGAACTTGGAGCTCAAATTAGATATCCATGAATTTCGTCTCGAAGCGGTAGGCCTCGCGTTCGAAGGCTTATGGCCAATCGGGATAGGAGTTGTAAGCGAGGGTGGCAACGGTTTAGTGTCAATTGGAGTCGGAGCATCTTTATCTTTCTTTGATTTGGAAGACTGGCGAACGAGGATCGGTGTACTTTTGGCGGTCGAACTCGGGGATGTGCCGTCCTTGACCTCTCCTCCCTGCTGTGGTTTCGGGGTCCCTTCCGCGGCCGGGGCCAGTGGGAGAGGGGTGGCCTTGGGAGACGGTCGAGAGGATGCAGACTTGGTTCGGACAAGGTTATCTAAGAAAAAAAGACAGAAAGGTCGTTCGAATCAGCACTTTCATAGAAGAGGACCTCCTGAGCATATCTTGGTCGCAATTTGGAGATTGCTTGCTAGCTGGGTCAAGGTAAGGAAACTGAAGGCTCATGGGCAGCAGTGCATGTTGGGTTCTGCGATCACAAAAACTCCCTGGGGAATATATATATATATATCGGTATATACCTTTCTGGGAATGATGCAACCAGCTCACATCAACAGTATCAACGCCGTCCATCTTGGAGATTCACGCCCTTCACACAACCTTCAAATTCTCGGGAGAAATGCCCGTGCGATGAGATGGATGTCCCTAGGTCGATGACGCTCCAGGGGGGTGCCGGCAGAGCGAATAATGCAACCGGTCAGGCCACGATTCCAGCGTAGTCGTAAGTCGGAGGGGGGGCTTTATTGTCGGGCACTGAAAGTTCTCAGCACAAAGCTGCTATCGCGAGCGGAGTATCGTAATTATGTATCCATCGCAAGTAACAAGCGGCACAAGGATCCAAAGACATTATGGTGAGGTTAGTCGTAATCCTTGGGGTGAAGATATGATGCCTTTGGGCAGGGCTCTGTTAGTGGGCGGGAGGGCTGTGGCTGAAAAATGATCAACGAGGCCCTGAGCTCTTTATGAGATGGGAAGCGAGAGAAGCCGCAACATCCTCCTTGGAAATTAGTTCATTAGTTGGGGGAAGTGAGTTTTCGAAAAGCTTCTTTTTGGGATCAAAGCCCAGGCTCCTTTTTCCCACGCTTAATAATAAGGCACTGGATGCGAAATAACTAGGTTGAGGCAGCAGGCGTTAAACTCCTGGTTGGTGGAACTTCCGTCGAACGCCCGTGAGCCATGGAACGCGAAGACCCTTTTCGAGGGCCTTTTTGGCCGGCAACGAAATTTTTGCGCGTTGGAGGGCGCGGGCATGACCGGAATGACAAGTCTTGGCCTGCTGCGATCGACCTTGCAGCGTTAATAATTTTTATTTTTTTTATTCTATTTTATTTTATTTTATTTTATGTTGTTTTATTTTTTTTTTTTTTTTCAATTCTTCTTTGTTATTGTGGACTGTTGAAATCGGCCTATCTCCTCGTAAAGTACTCCGCACCCCGTACTCCGTCGACTGCAACTTGCTGCCGGCCTCCACGCCAGCCCGCATCCCAAGCTCCGTTAAACACCCAAACAATTCATATCTCATGCCCTTCGCTCACGATTCCCAATCCCGACAGCCCGGCCAACCAGACGCCGCCACCGCGGATGATGTAATGCGCAGCGATTCCCCAGCTAGTTAGTCCGGTTATGGACCAGTGCGTTGACAGAAGCCACATGGATCTGGGCGCACAGAGCAAGCTGATTGGCCCGAACCCCGCCACTTGCACGGTGCCACAGTTGATCCGCGTTGGACGATGCAGCCAGCCGTGCGTCAGCACGGTGCAATGGACGTTGCAAAAAGGATGAACTGATGAAATGTATGGATGTATGGAGTACAAGAGTACGGAGTGCTCTGCGCTATGTATGTATGGTACCCTGTACATATGGACTCGGTATAAGTGAGGGGTGTCAGCTCTCCAACCTTTTTGTCACTTTTTTCCCCTCGTGCATAATTGATATTCATTACCGTTGATCGACTAATTAGCGGTCAACGACTTCTGAAAATTGGCTTTTTTCTTTGAAGAAATAGGGGTCAGGCATGATCCTGGGTTAGGGGATTCTCTGTTTAAAAACTTCAGCCATTCGAGGAAGTACATTGGCCGCCGGATGGTTTTGGCCGTTTGAAGGAATTGATCCCTGCATGAGCAATCGCATGACCGCTTGCCCTTTGAACTCCGTATTGCCTAACGAATTCGGTATTTTGCTTGCAGACTTGTCAAAGGATACTGTTCGATCTGAAATGCAAAATGGCGGGCACTGCAGTTGGTACAGTTTGATGAGATCTCTATTGGTCCATGATACATTTTTGAGTAAATGTCCCTTTCACAATTACAGTACCTTTTAAACTTTGAAGAATATTTTGCAATGTGTTGACCTGGACATCAAGGTGAGGTACAGAGGCCATGTGGCCCTGCTATCAGATAATCGAAGCGAAGGTTCCTTTGTTTTCCTCTCTTTTCTTTTTTGAATTTTTGTCCCCTTCACTTGGAAGACATGAAAGACTTTATTCATTTCCCTTTGGCCAGAAACACATATGTAGTTTGAAAACTCCGCATAAAACAAATACATAGCCTTGTTTGAATCCTAATGCACCCCTTACTGATGGACAGCACGCCAAGTCATTGCAAATTCTCTTTTGACATTGAATTGATTAATAGATAGAAAGGTGGGACGGCAAAGATGTTTTTGTGTTTTTGTTGGTCGCTCGTTTATTCTGCCAACTCCCGGATCTTCTCCTGGGCACGAGCATTCTTCTCTGCGCGAGAGAGCTTCTTGGCCTTGTACTTCAAGCTCTCAGCCTTCCACTCCTCCTTGCTCTTCTTAGGACCGGCCTCCTCGTCCTTCTTGAATGGATCCTCACGGATAGCCTTGTGGGCCTCAGCGTACATATCCTCGAGCTCACCAGCCTCGAGTCCGTTGTCGATGTACATCTGGAACTGACTCTTGTAGCGCTCCTCGTCGTCATCGGCAAGACCCTCCATGTACTCAGCAACGTGTCCACCGAAGATGTATTTGCGGAGAGTCTCAGCATCGAGCTCCTCGGTTTCGATGTCGAAGCCAGGGAAACGGTTCTCGGAGTGAGGAACCAAGATACCACCATCGGAAGCACCCTTCATGGCGGCGAAGACACGGGCACCGGTCGAAGTGCGGTGAAGACCAACATCGAGGAAGGCCTTGAAGGGGCGGCGGGTACCCTCGTCGGTCTCGGCAGCCTCGGTGAGAGTGAATTCGCCCTCTGGTTCCTCAACACCGACAAAGTCCTCATCCAAGCCGAGCTTCTTCAGGGTGCGGCGGGCAAGGAGAAGACCGGTGGCGTAAGCAGCAGACCAGTTGGTAAGACCATTCTTGATGCCATAGCGCTTAAGCTCGTGAGCGTAGGCACAGGCAATGACCTTGTCGCCGGTGAGTTCAGAGGTGACGATCTGGGTGATGATGTCACGGTTGGTGAAGCGGACGACGAGACGGTACTTGGGCGAGTTGTACTTGTTCTTCGCCTGGGTGATCAATCGCTTACGGGCATAGTAGTCAGTTTTACCCTGTCGGCGACGCTTGAACTTGGTTTGGTAGCGGCTATGATCGCACTTCAGTCACGGTTCTTACACATCATAATAGAGGGTTCATCAGGGCAACTCACCTGTAGTAAGCGCTGTTCTTAACAAGCTTGGTGAAAGGCTAGTGAACAGAAACCATCGAGTCAGCAATTTGCGCTTCAGATTCATTCAAATCCCCTCGCTCCGAAGCATCTTGCAAAGACTCGGCTGCCCTCGTTTTTGCGTTCCCACAGGTTGTGGTGGGGAAAATTCGGAGGATCTCAAGAGGGGAGGGCAAAATAGTAGAGCGGATGCCAATGTTGGCGAATTCGACTTACCATCTTGCCGGCTGTATACTACCCGTCGATTTGGCGAGATCTGCTTGCTTGACGTTGGGCGATTGATGAACGAAGGGAAAAGGATTGTCGGTGGTGGGAATTTCAACCTTGTGTGGGCGAACTTTCGCTAAATCTCCCAAAGCTCCTGTTGAAACCAGGGTTGGCGACGACACGCGGAGGGAAGACAACCGCCCGCACAAAAATCTCGAACCACCAACGGACATAAATAACTAATGCTGCATATACTTCAGATAATGACACTGACATTGTATTTGTTGTCTTTGATATTTCAAATCGCGTACAGCTCTATCCGATAATCATCTAAGCGTCGAAAGGAGAAGGCAATCAACCAATTCTACAATTTCGCTCTGTCCGAGTCATCGAGCAGTTTCATGCCCGTATATCTCTCCAATTCCCTCACAGCATCATCGGTCTTACCCAAATCTACTTTGATCGTTCTCATACCCGCTTTCTTCGCCCATTTCAAATTGATACCGATGTCATCCAGGAACACTATATCGTCTGGCGCAATCCCACCAAACCCTTTCTTCGCCGCCTCCTCTCTCATATTTTTCAGCGCGAGTTCATAGATCCTAGGATCCGGTTTCCTCAGTCCACAATGTGCGCTGGAAATGAAGAAATCAAACATCTGCTTCACTTCATGCATCGCCGATCTCTTGCTATACGGATGGTCCTCAGGTAAGATGGTCGTGTTCGACAACGCCCCTAGGATGAATTGCCCCGATTCCTTAAGCTTCTTGAGGGCGGGGAACATGTAAGGGTCTGCTTCTCGTGATACGCGCATCATTTCCCAGAACATATACTCCGCATCGACCTTGGGGAGTGGAAGATGCGCGGAAGACGTCGTGGACGATGGCGACGAGGTCTGGGGGTTCTTCTTCTTCAGTTGCTCATGGAAAGCCTCCCATAGATGCTGATGTTGGAAATCACGGTTGAATTCCGCGAAGAAGTTTGCGTCTAGCTTGATCTCGCCTCTCTCGATCCGATGCCAGGCGCCGTTTGGAGAGGTGTGCTGGATGGCGTAGTTTATCCATCCAATAGGTATGTTGTTTGCGATCTCGTAGTCCAGAATTGCTTGAAACGGAGAGACAACCTACCAAGGCAGTATATATTAGCACTTGCAATCGTAACGTCTTATTAGGCGGGTTCAGAGACATACGCAGACGCCTCCGATGTCAAAAAGCAGCCCTTTCGGGCGGTTATTAGTCGCCATTCGCGAAAGAAGCCCAGTGTCTCTTGCTTGGGGATGGCTATATCTCTCGAATATACCGTTTTAAGTATACGGTGTTTATTATATTTGATATTCTAACCAGAGGTGCAGTAACTGGGAACAGTAACAGTTTTATCATGGCCCGAGTCTCTTTGGAGCTGTTCGATAAGCACAATCTTACCGAGGTTAAACCCAATCGAAAATGGCGCCAGTTTGGCATTTAGATACATAGGGACAATGGCTCCGGCTACATGCAACAAAAGAATGCAAGCTACTCTGGAAATTTGCAACAGTAATGCCTCCCGCAATTTGCATCACCACCCAATGGTCCGATCAAACTCCCGAGTGCCTGGCCGATGGTGCAGGTGCCGAAGCGGTCAGTCACGTGAAAGCTCACGCCAAGCCGTTTATACCATAAAGGCCGAATGTTGATGAGATGTCAGCCTGGGTGAACTACTCCGTACAGGCAGCTAATACGCGACAATGGCTCACTCAATGACTGTCGCTGAGCTGAAAACAGCTTTCCTTCGGGATCAAATCCGAATATTATCCACTTCTTTAGACCCAACAGAGGATTGGAAAGATTATGGGCCGGAAGTCGAAAGTGACCTCTCGGACAAAGCTGTGGGCGGCGTTTTGCAGAAAGGTAAGAGCATGATGCGAGGCTCTCCGTATTAGTCGACAGGCTCATGGATAAAACAGTAAACTCGATACTCGGACAGCATAACCGCTCCGTCTTGTCGACCCAAGCAGTCCACCATGTTTCCCAACAGATTGAGCGGCTGTATCTGAACACGATTGACCCAGATTTGGGAGGAGGTAGTGCACAAAGGCATATGGTAGAAAAGGGTGCTGACCTGACAAGTCCTGAGTAAGTTGAGTTGAATGGATCCAGCTTCTTTGATCTTCCCTTGGTTTAACATTAACGCAGGAGTATCAAGCGGCTTCCCGACGAATGGATGGGAAGCAATGTTTCTGCAGAGGCCCAGGAACGGTATATACCCCCATCTTGATCGTATTGCCCGCCTTGCGTTAGAGATATGCAGCCTGACGAAATACCGCAGATATATGCAGTTGCACAAACAACTTGTTTTGCTCGATGCCGAGCGGAATAAACAGCGACAGCGATTGGCTCAGTATAAGCAGCTGAAGACTTTGTTGGAACCATTCAACGAACCTCGAACAAATATCCAACCAAATCTTGTCAGTAAAGATAGCCAGCTGGCTTCAGAACTCGGCCGAATGAGAATGCTTCTGGCAAAGGTGGCCGACAGGGTCAACCGTGTCGGCCAACAACGAGATGGGGTGCCAATAGAAGAGCCCAATTCGCTGGAAGATATGGATACCAGGCTAGCGAAGATCCTGGATATGACTTGAAATCAATTCGAGCACGCTCAGGGTCATTCAATTCCCCGCAAGTCACCTAAAAGCCGTTAAGTATGGAAGTCCTATGTTACCTAGGACTCGCATTCCGAGCAATCCGTCAATGCTGGTGTATCCATAATGCCAACGCAGATAGCGGCCGCCAGATGTACAGCGTTTCTACCTGTTATGGTTCCCCAAGCCGGACTGCTGTTACAGAGGCCATGCTATGACGCTGCAGACATGAAAATTACGCAGGTGCATTCAATACTGTGGTTAGGGGTTTCCCACAGGAAAAGCCCCTCAAATCGGACCCAGCTGTATGTGGACGGGAGGGGTGCCTGCAGCCAGGGGGACGATTGCATGGTAAATGTCTCTTTAAGGCGCGGACTTGGATTTGGAATCTTAGATAGAGTGTTCTATAAAGCAATTCAGGGAGCTAGTTGATAGAAGACAGCAAAGGACACCCTGTTAGTTAACAAAAGCACAAAACAATGCAGGGACATGGTGACAGGCGGTTGTTGCTCAAACAGGGAATGCTGCTAGCAGGACGGCGTACAGTCAGCGATGCGGCACTTTCTCTCACATCGCATTTCTCTTCGTGCTCTCTTCCTACTACTCTCTCTCCTACATCTTCTTTGCAAAGCTGCTCGTCATCACGTTCTGGGCAATCCCGCCCCTCGTTGGACTTCTCGGGACATCTTTTCTCCATACACCAGAATCATTTCCGGCATCCTGGTTGGCTCCTGGTGGATAGTGAGTTACATAACTAAGTTAACTAGCTCCCGGATCGGATATTCAGGATGTCCGAAAGCATGGGGCCTGGTGAAGGTGAGTGCACGCTTGGCAGCAACTCTGCATCAACATTCCACCTCACTTCTCCTATTCTGGACAACCAAATGATGGACCTGTGTCGCGACTAGCTTTTCCAGCATTCGATTCCGAAGTTGCTGTGGAGTCGTCCGACAGCTCCGTTGAGGGTCAGCCTATCCAACGGCGCCATCGTCGCAATCGAGCGTCAGTCACTCAGGACGACCTCGAGCAGTTTCGTGCGGGATACTTGGGCGTTAGCCGCGAAACTCTGCGCGACATCCAGGCTCAACGAGAAGCACAGGAGCAGCTTCCAGCCCTGGATGCAGCATTAGCCAATCTGACGATGTCGACTCCAAACAACGGGAGCACACCCGCTACAGGCACCGACTCTAGTCCCGGCTTCGCCAACCTTTTCGATAACAGCACTCCGAGCATGTCTAACGTTCCGCGGCCGAACCACATCCCGCTTCCACCTAGCCCGGCGGGCAGTCAGAACGGCGCCACCGGGGGAATGGCAGGAATGGCGACAGGAATGCCAATGAATGCAGGTCAAGAAATGGATCTCAACTATGTTTACCAAATGATCACGGAGTTGAGCGAAGTTCTCGCGCACAATCGTGACACCACAAAAAATATCATCCGGGCCAGTGAAGAACTTGCTGTAAGTTCCCGTTCTGTAATATTTTGCGCTTCTTTCCGGCAATTTTTAGCCGAAAGAAATATCTTTATCCACCCATGCGAAACTATACTTTTTATTGGCGCTAACATCTAATCTAGAGGCGTGCTGCTGCTGAAGGAACCGCTCCCAATCTGCAGCAGGTTAACGGAGAGATTGCTTGTAAGTATCGACGTACCGGCAATATCAGAGACAGTTTGCGCTGACCGATCCCTAGCCGCTCGCATCGCTGATCTCGAGAATGAAGTTGCCAAGCAGAAACGTGTCATCGATATACTTAAATACGAACAGATGGAAAATATGAAGTTGATTGGTGAATACGAAACCGCTGTTGGGACCATGACCGAACAGATTCGCAACTATTGCTGCAACGTCAATGATCACTTCCTCGCTCAGAAGCGCCGCTACAATGACCTCCTTCAAGAGGAAAAGGACGCCCATCTCCAGAGCCGTTTGGAGCGCGACTACTGGCATTCTCAGACTTTGCGATGTGCTGAGATGATCCGCACTGCTTATCGCCTTCGCTGCGAGGAGGAAGTGCTCCCCATTCGAATCGTTGCGGGACTTCAGAACGAAGTGCGCGCCCTTCGTAACGCACTGGGTCTGGACCCTGAAAATACTGAAGAAGAATATGGCTGGGAAATTCTCAAGGATGCTCCACCTGGCGTCGATTAGATGACACAACATCTTTGTCTCATCCCATAATCTCTCCAGGCTGGGCAAACTAGATTTCTGGGTTTAAGGCGGCGTTTTAGGGCACCTTCTCTTTTTATGCTACAATGAACTGATACCCCTCGAGCATGGCAGGACGGCGGGCGATTTATGGATCAGGCGCCAGGAGGCAATTTGCTAGGTTCAAGAATCTGATTGTATGTTCTCTTTTAGTCGTGTGTCATCCTAACACTTGTTGCTGGGGAATATACAACGGTCTGGATGCATTATTTACACTGGATGGCTTTTCTAAGCTAATAGTTTTCCCTTTCCTTTTCCTTTTTCTTTTTCTTTTTTTTCCCCTTTAATTGCAGCTAGCTGATTATGAATGAAATCAGTCACCCTCCTGGAAATCTTGCAGCCAGCCCACTTGATACCAGCTCTGAGATAAGTTTTGAACAATGCATATTAGCAACCCCTATGGGACTCACTCTTTTCAATCCTTATATAATATCCTTTTTCCTTTTCATCTGCTTGTCCCAGTGCCAAAATTTTTGGAGTGTCCGGCATTATCGACCGGGGTTCATGTACGCTACACCATGATGGCTCCCAACTGAAAGCCCAAGAGCCCCGGATTGGAGCTCAAACTGCTCAATAACCTTTTGGGCAAGCAACTATACACAACGTTTCAATTTTTTTCTTTTTTTTTTTTTTTTTTTTTTCTCTCTCTCAACGTTTCTTAACCTGTATCAATAGGCAAGAGCAAAGTTTAGTGCCCAATTTATGACAGGACCCTGTCCGATCGGACGGAAAAAGGGAGTTTTTTTGGGCGAGGGACACCTGCACTTGGTGTATTTATTGGCCTCCAGCTGAGTGGCCAACGTCGAAGATCGTTACTGTACGTAGTACTTCCTACATTTTTGGCACTCCCGCGCAGAATTATCTGTTGAATCCAGCCGCTTGCCTGTATGCACCTGGATTTGATGTGAAAGGGGAACACAAATATGCCATCCTGTTGCTGTCTGAGCCTGCCATAGAGGACTTGTGTTCAAGGTACTTCAGTGTCAAAGCGGTAAGCAATTGTGGGGTGTTAGGTATCTACGAAAGTTAACCCTCTTTAACTTAGCGGAAGTCAATACGGAGTAGAATCGTGTGAGGCATGATATCATTCCTAGAACTCTGAGATCTAATGATAACCAAGCTGATATGTTTAAAGATAACAGGCAACAGCCACTGCCTTCATGTTTGGTAAGACTTTCAGACCAAAGGCTATATAGACATTGACCTTCGAAAATTATGGTCGACCAGAAACACGGAAAAGCCGTTCAGCTCAGGGATGCGATCTTACGCTGTACAATATTTTATGCGATCCAGTACCAAATCTTTTCGATCCAATTCTTCGGGATTTCCGACGGCCATTCAACCGCATCAAGAGCGGCTTTTCCGGTAAAGATGTCGGCCTCGGAGGCTGCCACGGCCTTTGTCCTTTTGAAAATTTTCCAGAATACGTAAAGACCAAAGTAAATCGGGATGCCGACATATGCAGTGATGAATGAACGAGTGTTGAATGGAAGGAAGGCATAGAATCCGTTAAACACGATAATAATGGAGAAGAAAATCAGAGATATCCAGGCAACATAGGGTTGGAATGGACTTCGGAATATCAGGGTGTCGCGATCCACACCTTGGGCCTTGAGAGCATTGTGGAACTTGATATAAGCCACGCAAATGGAGCACCAAGTGAAAAGGGATGCGATGGTGGTCAGGTTCTGAAACCATACAAACACCACGTTTGAACCCGCGGTGGTGGACAGGTATGTGAGCAAGGAAATTAATGCTGTGATTAAAACGCAGTAAATTGGGACGCCCCTAAGTTCGAAAAAGATATCCATTAGTAAGCGTGTCGTCTCCAGGTCACTATCATCGTCAATACTTACGATTTGGAGCACTTGAGTAGGAATCTTGGGGCATGGCGGTTCTGGGCGAGGGCATAGAGATATCGACTTCCGGTGTACAAGAAGGCATTAGCTGACGAAGAGGCAGATGTGAGAATCACGGCATTGATAATCGAGGGCAAAGCCGGAATACCAGCTCGGTATATTGCGATGACCCAGGGAGAGGCGGCACCACCAGGAGCGTTCTTTTCTTGAGCATCCAAGAGGCGTTCATCGTCGTACGGGACCAAAACTCCAAGGGCAAGAGACCCAAGGACGTAGAAAAACAGAATACGCCAGAACACACGTCGAACAGCCTTGGGAATGTTGCGTCTCGGGTTCGCCGCTTCTCCTGCAGCACATGCCACTGTCTCCACGCCGCCAAAGGAGAACGCAGCATTGACGAGCGTTGAGAACCAACCAAGAAAACGGCCTTTGTCTCCCGTGCCCTTGTAGACGTTCATTGCACCGGGTTCTTTCCAAAAATGGAATCCGAGCCGTGGAGTGCCAGGAACGCCCCCGAGGTCGATGATCAGAGACAAGATGAGCAATCCGACAATCGTGATAATCTTGATACTGGCGAAAATGAACTCCGCTTCACCATAGACCGAAACGGCGAAGATATTGAGCACCAGGACCAGGACAATGACAATGGAAATCCAGGCGGCGACGTTGATATCCACCGCGCCCTCCCAGAACTGAATTATGACCGATGCGGCTGCAATTTCGACGCAGAGAGTGATCGCGCAAAGATACCAGTTCTAGAAGACTATCAGTCTCTCGTCTTTGCTTTTCGTTTGGATCCACCCAGCTTTGGCGTTAGACTCACATTCCAGCCAACGGCGAAACCCATAGCTGGGTCCACATAACGCGCGCAGAATTGAGGAATGGCACCGGGCAGAGGCAGCCAAGTAGCCATTTCGCCGAGAGACATCATCTAGAACCTGGTCAACTATCTCCTAGAAGTGACTGCATACTGGACACATGTCTTACCATGCCGAAGATAGCGCAGCCAGTCATCGTATAACCAAGTAGCAAACTGAGGGGACCGCCTTGAGTCAGAGCTCGACCGATACCCAAGAATAAACCGGTACCAATCGTGCCACCAAGGGCAATGAATTGAATATGGCGCGATTTTAATCTGTATCTTCGAGTTAACTACAGCATCAAATAGTGTCAAGATATTGGGAGCCTACCCTCGAGCAACATAGCCATATCGATCGGCGGTCTCCACGTCTCCATAGATGTCGGTCGCCTCTCCATATCTCAACTCCTTGACGTCGACTTCCTTTTCCAGGCCTTGGTCGTAGGCTGGCGCTTGATCGAGCCCTTTGTCCATGGCGATTGGAGGTGCTTCACCTCAAGAATATGATGAGAGATGCACCCAAGAGAAGTTATGACGACTGTTGGAAACCTCGAAGATCGCCCTGATTTGCACACACCAGATCGTTGTCTCCCGATGTATACACAGGGGCGGAGTGGGTAAAATTGCGCAGCAGGGAGGAAACAAGAGGTCTTCTAGTAGGATGCCTGGGCAACAGGAGGCGCCATCAGTATATATATATGTACCTCCCTGCTTACGCTTTGTATTAGGGTCTGGCGTCGGCACGGGGGAGAGAGGTGGGTTGCACGCTCTGAAAGGGGGCAAAAACGGCTCCTCTCCACGTTTGCAACACCCGCTTCCCCTCACGCTCCCATCCCTACGCGGTAATTTTTACTTCGCTTTTCCCGAACATTCGACCCCCGTACTCAGAGCGGTCTCATAGCAGAACCTGGTACGCGGCCGACTGGGATTTGAAAATCACACGATTGGATGAAGCTCATCAAAGTGAAAGAGGAGACCGGGGGATCTCCACGAGTCGGCTGCCTCGTTCATTTATCGCCTGCTTGTGTGACGCTAGTTGACAGTTTCTTACCTCGCAAACTATGGAGTACATGCGCCGCCAGGTGCTATTCTTACTAGCCATTCAGAAGCACTTAACTGACCGTCCGAGTGGACGCTTTCCGAGCCGAAAGTCATTTGCTGAGAACGATATCGAAAACATAGTCATCCTAGCTCTGATCATCCAGCCGCTTCTAACCCAATCCCTTTTTTTTTTTTTTTTTTTTTTTTTTTTTTTTTTTTTTTTTTTTTTTTTTTTTGGGGGGCAATTCAGCCCTGAAAGACGTCGAAGTCCTCGGTACATGCAAATAGTGTTCCATGCAGGTGCTCGGGGCTCGACTGACCACGACGTCCGACTGAAACTGTTGCGCAAGCGGTCCGCTCCTCCAGCAATCAGTAACTCATGTCAGCATCTATGTCGCAACCCAGCAAGGGTACTACCGTTAGTGTAGCCAGCAGTTCAGACTCATGATCAATCGCATGGTGATGCACAGCAAGGTGGACCTAGGCTTTGAGAATTCATATTTGCGCAACATATCAAATCCAATCGGCCACTGCATTTGGCCATACCTGCCAATCACGATAAGAACCTGGGCGGAATCATGCCATTGTCCTGGTTCTTAACCTTGACCGGCGTTTTTTGGCCACTTGGATTTCTATGAATCTCCCTCTACCCGACAAGCTAGCCAACTTACGGCTAAAATTCATTCCGAGGTCGGGGCCGTTGTGTTCTCCGGTTTTACCTCCAGTTCTTCCAAACGCGGCAAGCTTCTGGAACGAATCCCAAGATTAGCGACATGTGTCCAATGTCATGGACATCCAAAGTAACCCCAGTCCTGCCAAGCCGAGCGTTACGAGTTTACGAGTCGCTAAGTTTGTGGTCGCTGACCTCCGCCATCAAATCGTCTTTTCCCAGATTAACTATACTCCATACGGGACGGGGATTGGGAAGAATCCACAGCCTGGGGAATCGAATCGACAGTTGAAAACCCCCTACATCTGGATGGAGGAAGTGCCTGGCTAGCCGGGGCGATTGTTTTCTGTGGAAATTTATTTTCAAGGAAAACTCCGAGCGAGCGGACAGGCACTTTAGAGCCGCTTAGCTTTGCATGAAACTCTTCCCCTCAGACTCACTGCTACCTGTGAGCGAAAAAGCAGTGAATACATATCAAACTCCATATTTGCCAAAGATCATCTTCTAGGTTTGACGATCGTTGCTCGGCATGACCCACTCCACCCCCGCGTCTTTCGCTAAGACTTCCTCGACGGAGGACGGAGCACACTAGTTACTGGCGAGTCTGTCGGGCACTTGGGGGCAAACCTGCCTTCTGAGGCATCTCCCTCTTCCAGGTAGTCCAAAACCCTCCGAGCAACTCTCGAGTTGGAGATTTGCGCCTCTTCGAAAACGCGAACAAATGCGCGATCAGGGCTTCATGGATCCCAGTTCATCAGTTAGAATTGCAATATTTTCCAAACCAACAATGTGCCAATTATTTCAGCGTTCAATACGATGATACGAGCTTGAATTGGAAGCTCTAAAAATGGACACGACTTCTGGGGGTATGGTGCCGCCATCCAACGGCACATTTGACCAAGGAGGGTCTCAGTCTAACGACCTAAACAAGCTTGAAGGTAAAGCAAGCGATTTTGTGAGTTCCGGGTATGTCCTGTCAATGGTGAGGTTCGATCTGAGGATGAAGATATCATTGGCGTAGCTGAACTTCCTTTTAGGCCAGTTGATCTTCTGGGGAAGTGGAGAGAGGGATCGGCATGAAGAGGTTCTGTGGAAGATGTGGTATTCGACTTTATGGTAAGTTCTCGACTGGTTCTTCATTCCAATGTCGATGGGCGTAGAAGAATGCAGCAGCGGATTCCATTCAGAAATTGATGTAGGAGAGGTTGGCTTAACTTCTGGCTTCATGCACGAAAGAAAAGCAAGCATTTTTGCCCAGGATCCTTGGCGGAGGCTACTGCATTCAGCACTGTTATTGTTTGCCCAAAAGCGCGTCCGCCGCAAAATAAAAAGTCAATAAGAAAAAAAAAAAAAAAAAAAATTAAATAAATTAAAATGCCCCAATGGGCACCTCTTAAGGGACAATATGTAGATGTTACCAATCTGCGCAGGGACTCCAGATGAGTGGTCGAAAACATTCAGGATATGGATAAAGTCGGATAATCGAGCATCGAAGCTCGATACTGCAGTTGGCCTTCGATGCCCTGGTGGTTGGTTGGTGAAGTTCATCAGTATTTACTTTCTCGGCCTGTCTTTCTTTCATTGCTTTGTTGCCCTCATTACTCTGTACGGAGTATTCCGTACTTACTGCTCATCAATCACCAGGTTGACAGCGGGCGGATGAGCTCACCTTTCGATAATCTCTATCGACTTGCCCGACGCTCCCTGCGCACCGGAGGCCAAATTTGTCCTCCAATCCAAAGGGATCTGCGGAGTGCAGCCTTCGCATCCAGGAGTTCCCTGAATTAGTGCATGAAATCGTTACAATGCTAACACAGACCGGAAAAGATCTGTGCACCAACAGTCGCATGACCCATGCGAAATGCAACCGGAGAAACTTTCGACTGCTGACAGACAACAGGGGGGAAGCAACAAAACAGCGGACCTTGGGGTTGTGAGGAGCCACTCAGCATCTGTACTGAGCACTGAACCCTGGACTATTCCCCCGGCCAGGGAGCCCCAGTAAACAGCTTCAACCGAAAAGAAGCATTTTTTTTGTTTTCTATCTTTTAGAAGCCCTCTGCCAATAAATGCCGATTTGCCTCCCTTCCTCTCTTTTTTTTATTTTTTATTTTTTATTTTTTTTGGAGACGAGTCCCTGCAATAAAGAATAGGCCACAGAGCACATCCATGCCAGGGATGTCTGCACATGAGCAGCCATCGGTACGCATGCTGCCAAGAATTTCATGGTGAACTCGTTACACACATAGCACCTCAATATAAACATATTACCTGCCTTTTCACGGCAAACACATAGAAGCTGAGGACTTTTTCGCTGTCACAGAATATCTCCCCTTACTCGGCGATGCCCTCATTGTCGGCGAAACATTGTCGTGGCTAGTTGATAATTCGGAACGAACGATTCGTTCTTTTCGCCTTGGACTAGTCAATAGAGGCCATTCCCAAGAATCCAGTTGCCGAGCCCGTGGCTCAAGGACCGGGAACAGGTGCCGTTTCCTCTCGGGAGTTGACTTCCAGTCTAGGCGGAACCATGGAGGCTAAAGGGCCTCCGCAATTTTCGAGCGCGTGTGTGCTCAAAGAACTCGCTAAAAGGCGAGATATTCTGCGGCAAAAGATCGACTCGGTACGGCCTCTATCAAAAGGGGACGGGGCTCGAGTTTGTCATAGTGCGTTTTTATTGTGGAGTTGATCGAGTTTCGTTCAAATGATTTGATGTGGCCCTCGATCTTCAACAGAGTCACCAGACTGCATCGGTTTGCTCAACTCCACGATGGTGAGTTGGGGATGGGAGTTTTGTCTGAGCACTCGATCCAGCCTGCGGGGAGGCTCCACACGACAAAGCTCCGTGAACAAAGTTCAATTTGCAAACGGGAACATGCCGCAAAAGCGGGGAGAAGTCGAGCTGAAAGTAGATTCGATAGATCAGATCTGTTGAAGTCCTTTTCGCTCTGTAAAAATGGTTCTCGAGAAATTTCCACGGGCCGCGGCTCCATTGGGTATTAGTTTTGTTTGCTTTCACCCTTCAACCCGGACGCTGGACGGTGAACCTCACGTCTGAAGCAATGAACCGAAAGTGAATCTGAAAGGGGAGCTCTTACAGGGCATAGCAGCCTACGCAAGAGCTGCAGTTTCTCGTGTCGCACTCTGTCACACAATCTGACTTGTAGAGTGGCAGTTTTGTAGCTAATACAGTGATAGGTTATTTCCTCAATTTTATCTGGAATACTACCAGGTTCATTGCCATCTGACTTGCATATCGGCAAGATGGTGACACGGTCGGTGTGCACATCCACTCTTTAGCTGGCATCGATTGTTGTGTTCCCTTTTTCTCTTTCTCGCAATGCATAGATATTGTACAGAGTACCTCCCCCAGCATTTTCTCTGATATACTTGATTTCTATCACCAAGATTATTGATTGATTGCATGGTGAGGATAATATCTCAACAAGCGCCTTTTAATGGTCTTTAATCGCCTGGGTATCACAGCCGTTTAGTCACGCTTCATCATCTTGATAGTAACACAAAACCCTTGTGTTAGGTTATGGTAAAGTGGTACAAGTATATTGCACAGCCTACAACAAAGAATGCGTCTGAAATTTGACGTCGCATATTACTCAGAAGAAGCAGAAGAAGAGGAAAGCCGAGAAGCACACAATAATGCCCATGAAACAAGGCCCGGACATCCACACAAATATTTTTGTTCAAACATCTGTTGTGTGTCGTGCTCCGTAGAACTAAATGATTTCGGAGCTTCAAAGTCTGGTGTATCTTTCATCTTTAAAATCCCCTCCAGAATATTCCGGATGTGACTCTAGAATGTTCTCAAAGGAAAATTTTTAGGATTATATCGGCTGTTCTCATCTCTTTCTCTCAAAACAGAGCTGTCCGTATGACGAAAAAACTCTCTTATGATTCTTCTCTATGATTTCAAAATACAAATGCAGCGGTGTGCATTGCAGCTTATCCAAGCCGAAACTTCACCCGGCGCCGTGGAATATGGAACTTGAACCGCTGCTTCTTCTGTTTAACTCTTAAATCACTTAGACACGGTGCATAAAATAGTTTCTGGGTCATGATGCCTCTTATGGTGCCGAAAGAAACAGTGAGCCATACCACCACAACCGCAACTGATAATATCTACAAGATATCACATCATTAGTCCGGGGGGGGGGGAGCTTTACTTAAAAATCAACATATCAATACGTACCGTTCCAAGCACCTTGAAAAATTTGGATGGCATCACCCTTGATAGTAATACTGTGGCATTCGAATACACCCCCAACGGGAAAACACTGGCCCACCAACCGATCGTGAAAGGGAATGGCCTACACCGGATTAGGGAGACAATGGCTACGAATAGCCATACGAGTCCAAACCCCCACAAAACGAGCGCAGTCACAAAGCCAATCGACTCAAGCATATTTCCAGTAGATGGCTGCAGAGTGTTAGTTATCGCAAAGACTCTTTTGGCCTGTACACCGAGATTTAGAATTCTATTTGTAGGTAGATTGTCAGCGGATGTCTCCCTTGCTAGATATCATAGAAAGAGAGTCACATACGTAAACCCTCCCTGGCCCATTGGACCCAATGGTAGGCAAACGCTCACAATCACAGTTTTGGCGGGGAGTTTGTGCAGTGCCAGACGCTGGAAATAGGTTGCCAGAATAATCCCCGCCAGACATATACCCATACCCCAAAGGATGTAGCTCGTCACGATTGTCCAGAGGGCCATTTGAGGATCGGGGAGAGCTTCCGCGACAATAGATCCCGTAGCTGCCGCTACTATGGTGCTGATTACAGGTAATAACCAAACCGCAGTCACCGATTGTAATTGAATCTGTCTTCCTGGTATCATTCTGATCGAATAAGAGTAGTTCCTTGCGAAACAGTCTGATATCACGAGTCTAAGGCTTATGATCACTCACAGAAGAAATGGCAAGATCAACGCACATAACGCTGCAACGACCGAATCAGCAATCCAAAAAGCCCATGCAACAATAGTAACCCAAGATCCCCAAGCCGGAGCGCAAATGTCTATCATCAGATCAATAATCGTTGAAAATCCCATCGGGAATGCCCCGAGAAACATGGACTGGAACGGTTCGTTGATCATAACCGTCCATATTTCAGGATAGAGCGTGTATCGCAATATACTTATAAATAGCGCGAGGGAGAATAGGAGGATATTCAGCCCGAAGATGCCGACTGAGATCCAATACAGCCAAATGCCGTTATAGGGAAGATTGAAAAGAAGGATGGAAACTATGCCAGTTCCCATCGTTACCGTGAACCACCTGGGCGTTGTCACACTAAAAGTAAGCCAGGGTCCAAAAAGGTTCATTGAATCAAACGACAGCACATAGAAAGGGGGCTTTCAATCGCCAGCTACGCAGTGGGAAGCCTTACGAAGGCGTAAAATTTCGAACTATCTTCCGCCATCCTTTGTTATATTTGTCGACATCCAGGCCTAGAGGAGGCTGGAATTCTGGATCCGTTATCGAGGCATTGTTAATCACGGTCGCAGATGGTGGAGGAGGATAGCCAGCATGGGAACCATTAGCTCGCGTTCTCGATGAATGCGCTCTTGAGAGGTTGGCGAGTTCAATAGACATTGGTTTAACGACAAAGCAGGCGAAAAGCACAATGAGGTTACAGTACCTGCTTCAACTAGGGCTTGACTTTTTTTTCTTTTTTTTGCATATCCAAATTAAGCTTGGATATTTGGCAAACGTGGTATAAGCTCCGTTACGTCATTATTCAAACTCAATGGGATTCCCTGATCCGTAGTCGAGGAACCACTATGAATCGGACGAAAAGCAACCAGAGATAAGGAGAGAAAAGTTGCAATTCTTTTGAGAAATTGGCAACTGTAAGGTAAGCTATGGATTTCTAGATGGTGATTGATCATCTATTTGGGACCAAAAAGAGCTTTGGTCGTATCGTAGGTGTATTTAAGCTCCTTGTGCCAGTAATTTGTGGTCGTGGGTTTTGCCACAAGCCATGCTTCATCCAGCGTAGCCACGACCTCCTCAGGCAATGGGCCCTTCTTAATGTCTGCCAGATTTCCTTCCAGTTGTCTGAGACTGCTAACGCCGACGATAATGCCGTCGTTGCCGCCGTCTTTGATGTTCAGAGCAGAATGGTAACAGACCCAGCGCAGCGCAATTTCAATCAAAGTCAAGTTGTGCTTTTGTGCAACTGGCTCGATGATTCTGAGGGCATCAAATGTGGCATCCTTGAAATAACGGCTTCTATACAAGCGTCCAGTGGGTGCGTTGACGTCGCTATATCGCCCATCAGCTGGAATATCTGCAGTCTTATACTTGCCCGAAAATAGGCCTCCAGCAAGTGGGTTGTAAATGACGATATCTATTCCGTATCGCCTGCAACAAGGAATCAACTCGGTCTCAATGGATCGTGCTGCCATGTCTCGGTTAGATCCATCACAAATTGGCATTAACCCGGTAACACTTACTGATTGCATTGTACATGCCCTGGTAGATAGTTGGCCGCACCCAGCCGCGCTCATTGCACATTGTGACAATCTCCGCTACTTCGAAGGCGGTATAGTTGCTCAGGCCCAATTCTACAAATTTCCCTTCCTTATGCAATTGGTTAACGGCTTCCAAGGTCTCAGCGAACGGAACGGAGCGGTCAGCAGCATGTAGGTAGAAGATATCGACACAGTCCGTCTGCAATTCCTTCAAAGACTTCTCCAAGTTCTGGCGGATCACTTCGGGCTTGTGGTCACCGGCGTTGCGCGGATACCATTTCGTAGCAATCTTGAGGCCTCGATCCTTCCAGCCGGCTTGGGCAGTGAACGCCTCCTGTTGGCCTCCAACGTAGATTCGCGCGGTGTCGATTTCGTAGAAATTGTTGGCCGTCAAGCAATCCAGGCACTTTTTGAATTCATCGAGCGAGGTAATTCGCGCGCCTTCCTTCTCATCGGGGCCAAAGGTCATCAACCCGAGGATGACCCGGGGCCCAGAGTGAGGAACGACAAGGGGCATTTCTAAGAGATCTCGGGGTGCGGTTTTTGGTTTCCGACAGACGGTTTCAAAGAGGGGCAAAAATGGAGAGGTCTCCGCGGTGAACAACAACGCACCAGCGGTGGATACAGTGAAGTGTGGACCCGACAATTCTAGCAGCGGTTTTAGCTCAGTTGGGAGAGCGCATGACTGAAGCTTCAACTTCGGTGGTTGATTAATCGACTGAATATCATGAGGTCACCCGTTCGATCCGGGTAAATCGCACTTTATATGTGTTTTTGCGGCGCGTGCCAACCTAAGCTTTTTTTTGAGTATTTGTCACCAAGTTTTTGGTCTGCCCCGCGATTACGATCAACCCCCACGGCTGTGGGAAGTTTCCTGGTCCACCATAGCTGTTTCATGAGCTGTCTCCGCGGCTTCTCGGGGATTGTGTCTGCCCTCAATTGGCGGTATCTGAAGACCAGCTTGCGGCTCTGGCGGACAAATCAGACATCGGATCTCTTTGGCTCCACAGCTTCCCTATTGCTTATCTCTGAATGACTCTCTCAATCCAAGCTAGCAGATAAATATGTTATGAACCTCAGTATAGCTGCTCAAGTTGCGATGGCGTGGCTACTTTACAGGGGTATAAACGACTTCGAACTTGGCAGCAAAGGATGCAAACAATGAACGGCGGCTCCGTGGCCAATTTTGGATTAAATCTACGACTTCGAATCTAGTATCCATTCCGCCAGGAATCCAGTACTATCTCCTCCAAAACCATCGAACGAGGATATAGACCTTAAACATACCAGGGTTTCAGGTGTCCAACGGTGTTTCGAGAAATAGAGCGAGGTGTCCGAACAATCATAGACATTCCACAGGCCAGACCGTATAGGTAAGACAAAAGGATATGGGGTATGTCTTCGTAAATCGATCCTGAAGGAAGCGGGGGGATCTGCCTCGTCGGAGCGGCCGCCGCGTTAGTAATCTCTGTGAAGGGGACGATCAATGTCAGACCATCATGGTACTAAAGAATAGGCCCTGTCCTTCGAAAGAGTTAGCCAAACTGGATGGTGGGATGACGGCGGCCAGTTGAAGCGCCGTGCTGGCCTCGCCCTTGTCCCGGTCGGGGCCTGCTGTCGTCGCGATGGCCATCCGTCTGGCTGCTCGTTGCGCTTGGGGACCGGCTAGCCGCACACGACATCTGCTGACTAATACCTATCTACATTACATAATCTACCCTAGTCACATGACTGGAGTGCAATGACATAATCGTTGGCGTGGCTGGTTTGATAACTAGTTACCCCTGACGTCCAAAGGCCACTCACCACTGTCGGAGGAGCTACCCTTTTTTTTTTTTTTACTCAACCAGAGAGGGCTGTGGGAGAGAATCTTGATATTTCCGTGCAACATTTCCAATAAACTGGCGCCCTCGATCATTTCCACTTTATTTCAGTTCCTTTCCCCCCAATACTCCTCCCAAACACCTTTATCAAAGCCTTCGTGTTCTGTTATCCAACCTTGACCCACAGCGTTTAGATTATTTAATCACATTACGGAGTACAGAGTACTCCGTATTCTTTCCTCCAATCCGGCCAAGCCGACGACATTCACACTGCTGCGTAACGACAAATGCGCGCAAGGATTTCCGATACAGGTTGAGTGCCGTCAAGGCCAGTTTACGTCCAATAGACTCGTTCGCTCGACGCTCCAGTTCGGACCCTTCTTCCCGCATGGATGACGTCGACTCCGGCCAGCGAGGGTGATATTGGTAGGATTCACAGAGACAGGTCTGTCGGTCCAAGCCCAGGTTGTTCTTTGCATCAACGACGTAGCTCAGCCCAGGAGGAATTTCGGAGGGCGGCTTCCTTGTCCACTTCGTCGGAACACCGTGTAGAATTTGACGACAATCGCCACGCCTTCCGTACAAGTCTATCCGGAGACGACCAGACAGATGACGAAATGGCTCTTGCCCGACCGTCGATAAGTCGCCAGGCCGAGAGCCGGAGCAACGTGCCGTTGTTGAAAGATGAGCGTCGTGGGCGGCAGCAGAATGTACCATTCGTTGGAGGAGCGGATAGCAGGGCTGTTTCCAACGCGAGCAGGAGATCTTCCTTCAGAAGCAAAACTCCAGACTACGATTCTGAGCGAGCCACTCGCCGGAAATACGTAATTGCTTCTTTCTTTCTCGTTCTGAGCTTGATCAGCTTCACTGTTCAAACGCAGACAGCCGTGTTCATTCAACAGGAGCTCGGATGGGATAAACCATATTGCATGCTGTGAGTCGCGGTCACGGATCACTCAAAAGGCTTCTTTCGCCTCCTCCCTTCCCTCCGCGTTTCCCATTTGGACAATGATTTAATCAGTTATATCTAAACAATAGCTACATGACGCATGGCTCTTGGGTCTGCCTATGGCCGGTGCAACTCCTTATCCTTCGAATCCAAAAGCGACATTTGCCATGGGCTGCGTTCTGGCGTCGACACGTCTATCTTTTACGGACCACTGCACAGATGGTAGAATCTCAGGATCTCCATCTTACCTCTCGCGAATCTCACAAGTCCCCTATTCCCTATATAATCAGAACGACTGCAATCGTGACCACGGCTCTCACAGTTGCCGGAGGGTCGTGGTACGTTGCTGTCAATTTGACCACGGGGAGCGACTTGACTGCGATTTACAATTGCTCTGCTTTCTTCGCATATGCGTTTTCGATTCCCCTATTGAACGATAAGCTGCGCTTCGATAAAGTCTTCTCGGTCGGTGTCGCCATAATCGGGGTTATAATCGTCGCATACGGCGGCGGTCACCCCGACGGTATCCCACCCTCCGAAACGGAAGCCGAAAAGGCGTCCAATCGTACTCTAGGGAACCTTATCATCGGCGCTGGAAGTGTGCTGTATGGCCTTTACGAGGTTCTCTACAAGAGATTGGCCTGTCCCCCCGAAGGCACCAGTCCCGGACGTGGCGTCATTTTTGCGAACACATTCGCAAGTTTAATCGGGATTTTTACGCTCCTCGTGCTTTGGATCCCTCTGCCGATCCTTCACGTATTCGGATGGGAGACGTTTGAATGGCCACAAGGAGAAGCAAGGTGGCTTCTATTCATCTCAACTATCTCTAATGCCAGTACGTCGCGCCAACGGGCACCCGAACTCTCTTCAATAATTATTCTGTACCGAGACGCTGACCCTTATTTTACTGTTTTTAGCGTTTTCGGGTTCCTTCCTTGTCCTTATCTCACTTACATCGCCCGTCCTCTCCTCCGTCGCCGCCCTCCTGACCATCTTCCTCGTCGCTCTTGTCGATTGGAAGTGGAACAACAAAGAACTCAGTGGTGCGTCGATAACAGGTGGAATCCTTATCATCATTGCATTCTTGCTATTGAGTTGGAGTACCTATCGGGAGATGGACGAAGAGAGGCGACGAAGATTAGAGGAGGAGGGGTCGGATGCAGAGACCGACGACTAAGGCCCCATGGTTTCATTCCTCATGGGGGCTTTTCGTTTTGCAAAGATACGCGAGTTTATGTGGAAAAAGGTGCATGTCTCTCCTGCTATTTTGCATTTTCAGCTACTTTCCGTCGGCTCTGGGACGGTATTGCATCTGGTGGTTTCTTCTTGATAAAGATAAACTTATTTTCTTCTTCCCTTTAACTCCGATGATTTAAGTTCTTTATTTCTTTATTTATTTATTTTCCTATTTTCTTTGGGCAACAGTCACTGGTGGGATTTAGACTGGGGATTGAGGGAATGTATTTCTGCCTTTTTATACGGAGGACTTATGTATGTGGTGACAATTCTATGGTCCGCGTTATGGACAGTTGGGCTGAACGGAGTCTCTAATGAATATCACGAAACACACCTATGCGGTGCAACGAGCTTCAAATGATATCATATATTGTCAAACTCGGTAAGCTCAGGCTCATGTATGGTATGCTAATCGAGACATTATCTAGGACCAAGTTTCGACAGGATTCGAGGGCCCTGTTCTTGCCATTCCTGCTTGGATATCCACATGTTGTCTTTGTCTGCGAGCTGCAGCAGTGATGGATCTTGTTAGTAAATGAATTTCACGTTTGCTCGAGAATATCCGCTTACAAGATTAGCCAACACAGCTCCACCAAGGAAGACCATATGTCGCCTGCGGGGAGGATCTTCGATGCGGACTTTGAATTTCTATAGGTCATCGTTAGCATCCCTTGTAGCATAAAAGAGAGTTGGTTTCTTACGTTCAATCTCTCAGGGTTTCCACCTAGTACCCTGGTCAACCATAGTTGTTTCAATTCCTTCTCCAACCGGGACGGTAAGCCGGGGTACATGCTGCTTCCACCACTGAGGACGATAGCTTTGTACAAACTGCTGCGCACATCGACATCCGCGGCTTGAATAGTGTTGAAGAGAAATTCGGCGATTCCCGGTTGCTCTACATCGACCAAGTGTGGCTGGAATAAGCATTCTGGGGCCTCGAATCGTTCGCTTCCCACCCGAATCACTCGTCCGTCGGGGAGGGTATATGATTCTACGAGAACGGTGGTATCTTCGGACAGTTGCTGGTCGAGCTCTAGATCGTAAGAAACATAGCAAAGCTTCTCCTTGATTTGCCGGACTGTTTCGAAATCGGCTGTTCGGTTCAGGGCGTAGCCTCGGCGGAGGAGGAGCGCGATGAGATTGCGGGTGACGTCTCGCCCGGCGACGTCAAGACGGCGGGTTAGGTGGTTTAGTACCGTGGATTCGTAGACGGGCACGATGTGTGTTACGCCGTCGCCAGAGTCGACTACGACACCACTGCTTAAACCTAGCGAGAGTCAGTATGGAAGCTACAGAACACTCGTTTTATGCAGGAGTCACTGATGAAAGTACCTTGCGCGTAGAGGGCCAAAACAGCCTGAATAGCAACATAAACTCCGCCAAAGTTATATCCTTCAAACATGACCTCGCACATCTGTTCCCGGTTCTTCAGCGGATTCATTGGTGGTTCAGTGAGGAGGATCTTGCGACCGGTGGGATCAATCTTCATCTTATCGTAAAACGTATAATTCCACAGATGTTGCATGTCATCCCAATTCCTCACAATTCCATTTTCCATCTAGCATCAGCCAAGAGGGTCAGCACCGGAATTCCCATCATACATCACGCACGATCACCCCCGGGGAAGGCGCCCCGATAAAAACAACTGGAGCCGATTCAGCATACAGGATAGCTAATCTGCAACATCGATCTCGCCGCAGCAGCCTCATCGCCACACATGATATCCTTGACAACGATGTCCCCTGCCTGCTCCTCGGACCGGAGAATCGGACGCCCCACTATCGAGGGGAACTGATGTTCTGGGAAGTTCTGCAATTGCGGAAACAGCTCGAGTTAGCTTGCATGGTGGCTTGCATCGATGCGCTGGGGACGTGCCTGTCCTGCATATCCGACTTTTAAGAAACCGGTTCCTCCATCGAGAACTGTGATCCAGGTGGGCCGTCTAGTCAGCAGTGAACTGGGGACAAAGGAGATGAGCTGGCACACACACCAATCGGAGGCTCGGCCGCCATCTTCGGGGGATATTTAGGGTATATCGGATATTTAGGTTTAAATGATAATTGGAATTAAGAAAGGAGAGGATTATAGAAAGCGGAATTTACGTCGGTGTTGTGTAGCTGGCGCAAGTGTATACAAGTCGACGGCGGAGTTGGAGGTGATGATGCGTCGCCCAATGGGGCTTAGTGAGGGAGTGACGGTTTGCCCGTTCCCAGAGCTTCCGAGCTCAGTGCAAACGCAACATTCGACAGCGAACCAACATCTTCACGAAAACAAAGTCTGCAACCCAGCATGTTGGGAAGCGACTATCCTATCATTCAATCTTTACTCTGGCATGTTTATCCTTGTGATCAAAAATCAAATAAGGATTCCCTAATCCTGAGCAGTGTTGACAACAAGAACCGCAATGACTTGGCTATATCTAGAAACTGGGCACTTATGCTAAGAGGTAGAAAAATCTTTTTGAAACCAAAGATCATATCAAAGACAAGAAACCATGTGTCCTCTGGCCTTTCCCGCAGAGAACAAAAACGCCAAAAAGCCGTGAACCCTGGAACCCAAGCCGAAGATTTGGGGACGACGCCCATGTGTGCGCTAATATATGCCAGAAAAACAAAAGAAAAGGATACTAAAGAAAGACGATTAAAGTAAGAAAGTCAAGCTCCGTTTGTGGAGGTGTCCCAAGGATCAGTTTTTATCCGACATGTATCAACTAGATCAGGGTAATGTTTTGCAAATGCTGGCCCAAGGGACCAGTTGTTCAGATTCCGCAGGTGACTTTCAAAGACCGGATTGATCACATATTCTTCCGAGTTTGGGATCGCTATTAGTGCGTCGGAATCAGAGTAAGGCCAGTTTATACTCAAAGTTGTCGTATAAGGGATGAACCAGTTACTAAAATCGTAGTCCGTATGGCATGCAATCATGCGATCTCGCATGCGTGGCCATGGCAGATAATCCATCCAAGGTGGATGAGGGGTGACAAGCTGGGAGACTCGCGGAGTAATCCATTCCGGAAGACGGTCATAGTTTTCTCGCGTCGGATAAATTTGCCAGCGCATAAGTAGGAACATAACATAGACCACGGCAACTTTCTCCGGGAGGTCCCTTATGTCAGGGAACTTGCTAATTATATCGGTGAAGACCTTGGAAAGCGGGTGGGAATTGTCGCTTTTCTCTGGATTCAATAGTGACGAGACACTTGGATAAGGGGGTCCCACGAGGTGACCTTTGGATACACCTTCAGCGGCTTCTCTTTGACGGCTGCGAAGGAAATTGAGAAGTATACAATCGAGCGGACACGTTGGCTCTGCATTTCGGATAGGGATGACAAATGGTGGCATAGTAGTATCGAAAATATTCGTTGAGGTTACCTGCACCTGATGCTGATAGCGCAGCTGCCCCTCATGGGATGGGGATGGAGCGCTGGGGCGCAATTCGTGGACCTTTGAGCCCTGTCGAGAAGAATCAATGAGAAAGTTCAAGCCCAACCTCTCACCTGAGCCGGAAAATTCGAGCCCATGAACAAGATTACGCTTTTGAAAATCAAATGCGTTGCATTTTGGTAGTGCCTGCTCAGTGAAATTTGTAGCTGCAGCTGCAGCTGCAGTGGTCGGTGGCCAGTTCGGCCTGAGTCCCTGCATTGGCCCCGAGAGTGAGGGAGATGGGCTCTGGCCCCTGCGTGGCGACCCGGTATAGGTTGTACCACTAGGTAACGACTCGAGACTCGCAGGAGTTCTGAGGCAATGCTCTTGTGTGTGTGAAACCGAGGCTCGCCGTTGTGACGAGGTGTCCGACTGAGGGGCAGGGGAATGCACGACCGAATCTAGCTGCGATGCCCACACCCCCAGGCGATCCGAGGGCCGGCTCGACTCATTTGAAGTTCCGCTTGTATCAACGGGCAGGCCATTGTTGGTGGCTAAATTCGTGGGGCTCAGGATAGGGTGAAGTATAGCCATGACAGACCCCAAACGCCTGCGAATTTCCTCATTTTCTGCCTGTATCATTTCCTTCTGGCGCTGTGCCTCCTGCAGGTCCTGATAGGGCTGCTGGGAGGTCAATTCTTGAACCCGCTGCTGAAGCGCATCTATCTGTGCCTTTGTCCGTTTCCGAATGGCTCTCTGGGCCTCTCTGTCGTTGGCGCGCTTCTTGGCCAACTGCTCAGGGGTAAGATTGGCGACACCTCTGGACGTAGCCGTGGCCGCCCTCTTCTTCCCGGCAACCAAGCGCAACGGCGGTTCATCATCTTTCGTCGGGGGATCGATCTTAGGTTGGAGGTTGGAGGCAGGATTGAGAAGGGGAGCTTGCTGAGTAACCGTCGAAGCTGGTTCCGGTTGAGCGGCATGGGGGGAGGTGTGCAACGCATGGTCCATTGTGGTCTGGGGAGTAGACGGGCAGGCCTGATCAGCCCTTGCCAGCCAAAGGTGGCAAGTGACCGGCTTCCGAATATCAGTTCCGGGCACTGGAAACTTGCAACACCTGATCAAGCTGCCATCCAACAGCCGTGTGAGAGATAAATTAAAAAAAAAATAAATAAAAGGATAAATAGGAAAAAAAAAAAAAAAGGCCAATTGAACAAACGTCAACCCCAAAGTCTTGGGGTCAATACGGTGCCGGAGAGGGGGGGCGGGGAGCTCCGATGAAGGTCCGGATAGGGGAAAACAGAACCTTGATGTGGCTCATTTATTCATCGTCGACGAGACATTGCTATCGGACCGGTGGACTGAGCAGCACCCCATATGACCTTTGGAAAAGCTCCCGCTGAAACTTCATGGTAGGGCGAACTGAGGCGGTTGATTCGAGGTGTGGGAGAGTTCTGGCCGCAGTGATTGGCCGTCGTGCATGATTCGACTCTCCCAGACGCCACAGCAGCGAAAAGGCCTGGCCGATTCGAGCGTCGGTTGGTGCCAAGGCGAGGCTCGACCAGAACGCTAGTCCCGTTACGGTTAGAGCATCGCCGAATCCGGAGAGCCGCGGTCCCAGAGAGGAAAAGCGCTGTTTTCGCAGTGTGGCGCTTGCGGCGTGACATGGCTTGGCACCAGCCAGCTCTTCCGCCGGTTTTGGCGTTTTCCGCCTGGCTTGCTGTGTGGCCTACCGCGACCAGTTACCGTGCACAGGACCATGCTGCCCTCGATGCTCTCTCTGCCCATCCAAAACCATGGTTGAGAACTTCTTGGGTTGTCTGAGATCTCTGCACTGCGAACTTGAAGGTTGAAGATCAGTCTGGAGCGCTGCGCTGTTGGGTGGCATGGTTGAAATGTTGCGCTTCGGCGCCCGCCCTCCGAGACACGGAGTGGTTTGATTGATATGAACGTAAGAGCCTTCGAGTTATTGTCAGCGGGTTTGGTCCTAAGTTTAGATACTTAGAACCCCTCCATCTTGACTAGACCAGCAGATCAGGCGGGGGTATCTGTGTGATCCGACCATATATATATTTAGACTCCTGGCATCATCCATAAGCCTGAAGGAGAATATATTCCAACCCCTGAGAAACCCAAGGAAAATTGGTGGATATCTCTGTCTCTCCCAGCTCTTAGGACGAACCAACACACAGCACCAACTGGATCTTGTTCAGTCCTCCTCCAATAGCCTGGACTATTGGACAGCGTATGAAGCACTTTGATAATGTTCCCGTAAACTCTCCGAAATGTTTCCGCTTCTCGTACTCCATATGGGGCCCGTGAATGGCTAAAGTACCGAAATAGTGCTTCTATTGTTGACCCCAGCTGCACCAAGCAGTCAGAATCGTTCCCAGAAGCCTAGGCAACAGCCTCATCAGTCTGTGCGGGCGAGTAGCACCATGACATGATAATTACATTGTTGGTGCCCCGCTCCGAGCGGAGTCCGCCACTCCGGACATCCCCATTCGCCAAAGCACTTCCATACCCCCGAAATCCCTGTACACATCGAAGGAGAAATAATTCACTTCATCATCAAGCACGTTCCCTTCCAAGGGTGGAGCGGGACGATCCGCCATGACGCTTAACAGGGTCCGCATGCGATGGATGGTGTGTAATCCAGGTCCAAAGGCCATTAACTAGTAAATATGTCTCCGCAAAGTGTCCGCGATTGCTGCCGGAGCAGGAGATATCTCGAAATCCCTTCTGAACGAAGTGGCCATTACTTGACAAATAATACCTGAAGCGCAAGCTATAAATATGGCTTAACTTCCCGTTGAATCAGACTGGTTCTTTAGCATAAAAAACGACTTTTCCAAGCATCGTTCTGAATTTACATCTATCCCTTAGTATAAAAAAGCAACAACTTTCCTCAGTCCACGCTTGACATTCCAGGACGATAATCATGGCTCACCACCACCACCATTATCACCACGGAAATACAGGAGACTATGCTTCCAAGAATAAGGAATATTGGAGGTATGACCGTCACAGCCAGGGACTTCTTAAAGTCTGCCCTTGAACATCCCGGATAGAGATTACAGCCCAAACATGAAGACCTGGACTTTGCTGATCAAATTGAGCAGCGAAAATGCGGAGAAAGCCTTCGACCACGACTGGGTTCGGGCCCTTGCGGCTCAGATTGAAAGCCATCTAAAGGAGAACTTGTCCTGGATGGGCATCGATCCCAAGAACGTCGGGGAGAGGAAAATGCTTGACTTTGCCTGTGGAGATGGCTTCCTTTCACATGTATGACCAATTTATATTTGTTTTTCATTTAAATCGTCCGATGGTATGTTGCAGACAAAAGGCACTTTTGCGGCTAACGGCATTTTCTGAGCCAGGCTCTCCGTCCCCATTTTACCAAGGTCATCGGCCTCGACCTTGCAGAAGGCATGGTGGACAAATATAAGCGTCGTGCGCGCGAAGCGGGCATCCCCGAATCCCAGATGCACGCAGTCCTCGGTGATCTCACGGGGGCCGAGATCTCTCCATCTCTGATTGAAAACAAGGAGCTATTTGACTTTGATCTAGCTATCAGCTCTCTAGCTCTGCACCACATCGAAGACCCGCAGCGGACAATCAATAGGCTTATGGAGCGACTCCGGCCCGGCGGAACGGTAGTTATTATCGATTTTGACGTCGCAAAAAAGGGCGAGACGTGGGTCTTGGATGATGCACCGGCGGCACATACCATCGCGCACCACGGATTTGATAAGGCCCACATGGAGAAATTGTTAAACGAAGCAGGATGCAAGGATGTGGACTATGTCTGGCACAAAGAGGAATCTGAACTGCCCCCACGAATGGGTGGGAAAAAACAGTTGTTTTTTGCTCGTGGACGGAAGGCGTGAAGTTCTCTTAAGCAAGATATGTAAGTATACAGGGGAGGGAAAGCCAGAAACATGGGACGAACATCGTGTCATGATGAAAAATAATACTTCAACACCCAAGACGCGAGAAAGAGGTATGTAGGGTGAAGTAAGAAATATCTGAAATTAAATCACCAAAGTAGCTAATTCTCATCGAATAATAAGAAATGCTCTATCCGTATAACATGAACAATCAAAGTGTCATGTCAAATGAAAACAAGGTCTGGGTGGGTAGATATAATCGCACACGGTTAATCATCTCAAAAAAGGAAAAGGAGAAGGAGAAGAATATTAGCTCAGTAAATGGCCCATCTTCCCAATCTAAGGAAAAGGTAGCTGTTAGCACCACACTCAAGGACACTTTGTAAGGGCACCCTACCTTCGTCCTCAAGTATCCCTCTACTTCCGTACTCCGAATCCCTTTCTCTCCATTAGTGCTCCAGGCTAATGGCACCATTGGCACTCTTTCTTTCACAATAACCTCGCGATTCGGGCCCTCGACTGCCCGAATCTTGTCGGGGTTGTTGGTAAGCAATCGAATACCAACGTTCTCAGAATCAATGCCTAATCCAAGGTCGACAAGCATTGCAGTCGCCAGACCATAGCTACGCGCATCCGCCGGATGTCGAAGAAGTAAATTAGCCTCCACGGTATCCGAACCAAGATCTTGCAAGTTGTAAGCTTTGAGCTTCTCTCCCAGCCCGATCCCGCGACCTTCTTGTCGCAAATATATAATCACGCCTCCCGTGGGGTCAGTCGACATCAATCTTGCCGCTTCGTCCAGCTGTTCGCCGCAATCGCAGCGAGCCGACCAGGCCGTTTCGCCGGTGTAACACTCAGAATGTATCCTGACCAACGGGGCCTTGACTTCCCCGCTTGCACTCTCTTCCGGTAACGATTCATTTTCCTCTCCTGGATCCTTTATCTTTGGGGATGCAGACGAAGGCTTTTCGGCCGAATCGTCGTCATCGTACCGACTGCTAATTCTTCCTGGCCGTAATCTCCCCACATATGCCCCGCGAATCATCCTGTCCATCTCCGTTTCTCCTTCCCTAACCCGATCAAGGCTCCTACTCCGAATCGTATTACCAAACACGATTGCTAGATGCTCTTTATTATCGACGTCGTTCTGATAGAGGTGCAAAAACATCTCCGAGCCACTGGTGGTGGGTATGCGAGCACGAACGATGCATTCGACATTAGGTAGTCTGGGCAGAAGCTTCGGAGGTTTTGTGAATGGGGGACGGTCTTTCGTTCCGGGTTGCGGAGATAGGAGAGAAGGAAGCAAGCTGCCGGGGGTCAAGGGGGGAGTCTGGGCGGGAGAGATGATGGAGGCGGGTAGAGGTGCGGTGGAGGCGTCGCTTTCGTCTGCGGCATTATGGCTACTACTTCTACTTATTTCATCGTCTTTGATGCTGCGAGGTGCATCTCTGGGGCCAGAGGTCGGGGCGGACGTGGGAGAGTCGGTTGGTAGGGCGAATTCTGTGAATTGTCGCTTTGGATGTATTGGCTGCGGGGCGAGGTATGAAGAGGAGTGGGAAGGGAAGTCGGGCATCTCGGCCACTTTAGATAACTAACTCGCGGCAAGGAAAAACAGAAGGGATCAGGTAGCAACTTGCACGAACTAAACGACCTAAAAAAAAAAAGAAAAAAAAAAGGTTGGTATATTGATATTTCTGCCAAAATAGCAAACCCGCTTGGAGAGAGTCGGGGAGCTGCGAGCCTCGGCCGGAAGCTGAGTAATGCTTGCGGAGATTTCTTCTGCAGCGGAACGGAAATACATATTGCCCCCCCCGGGCGCGGTCTCCGCGCCACTCCACACCAGGCTACTCTGCGGGAACAAAGCCGGAAAAACAAGCTCTTCGCTCCATTTCAGGGTTGGTACTCTTTTAAAGGAGAACTTCTCTACGGAGTACTCCGTAGAGATTCATATATCCTACTCCTTGCCCTCTACCTTCGCTGAAGGCTCTTCACCGCTGCCAATTGGGTAAGAGTTGAGGAAGGTTCAGTGGCTGTTGGTGCACGCAGCGAACAAGAGCTTAAGGTTCAACCGATCAGCAGCAACCGAAGCCGTCGCGCGCTCTCTCTCAGTAGCCTTGAACCTTCGTTTCGTCGTAGAGAGATGTCATAGAAGGTCAACCCATTAAATGAAGTGGATTTCGAAGATCTCCAAGCCAGGAGAAGACTCTAGGCCGCAGACAGCTACGTGATGCCGCCCACAGACACTATTCGTGCCCTCATAGGGCGCTCTTTACGAGGCGCCAATCTCATGTTGATACTTATTTTCAGCTAACTTTTTACCTCTCTGGTGCCTCACGTTGATCCTTCAAGAAGATCCGTCCAGTCTCAAATCGGACCAAGGTATCCCCTGCATTCATCGACGAAGGTTTCCTGACGCCAGTGACAGCTCTTCGAAGGCTGCCTGAGCAGTGGCCTCTGCACAAGCCCCTTTCGTTTCCTTGTCCAAGTTATGCCATCATGGAATCCTTAAAGAGGCCTGTGGAACCTTTACTTTGTGCCTATATGTCCCTGTCTTTGTTGGAACTGTCACATGAGTGTATGAGGTGCTTTTTTTCACGGGTGACCTTTCGAAGAACACTCAATGAAAAGTGTTTGTTAAATATGTTTTCCTTTCTTATATCGACATTGGCATCTTATTTCCGCCGTAAGTGGCCCCCATCACCGGATATACCGTCCGTCTCGGGGTGTGGTGCTATGTTCTCAACCCAAGGGTTCCCCAACGATCCCATGTTCACTCGACTTCGCCGATGGTGCATAGAAAATGCCGGTGTGATCATCCATGACGAGTCTGGGATAGATGCCGGCTATGATCACTTGGTAGCAGACGTCATGCACATGCGAAAAATACTGCAAAATCGACTGCCAAGTTCTTCATTCGACGAGAAAGGGTGTCTGCGACAAGAGGCCGCCTCGATAGCGCTCGTTGTATCTGCTGGATATTATTTTATCGTGAGCTTCCTGGCCATCGCGGCATTAGGAGGTGTATGTGTACCATTGGGTGGGTTACGAAAAGATGTTCATGCTAACAAACAAGTCATTGATGCGAGCCGATGATAGGAAAAACTGTCACCCCAGAAGAAGCGTTATACTTTTTGAAAAAGAGCAAGGCAGCCTGCGTCCTCGCAGATGCAGATACCCTTGAAACGGCCGAAGCCATCGGAGCTTATGCCCGAAACCAGAATGGTCAGAAGGTGCATATAATTCCCATAACACGGGCGGGGTTGCGGCCAAACCTACGCCTAGAATTGGAAATTGATAAGGAATTGTGCTTCCCATCTAACGCTGGATCTCTTATCCTATTTACCTCTGGCACAACTGCGCTTCCGAAAGGGATTCTTCTTCCGCGTCAGCTGTTCTACGAGATAGAAGACATACCGCCCATAACCGGCCTCTATCTCTCATCTAGCCAGCCACAATGGATAGGGGGCGCAACTGGGCTTATATTCAGCGTTATCAATGGGGAAAGAATACATATCGTTAATGGTGGACCTGACCCTAAGAGATACTGGGAAATTTTACGGAAAGGTCAGGTCACGGAAATGGGCGCATGTCCAACACTCCTAAGGACATTGATGGAATACTATAACGAGCATATCCGGGATCTGCCGACTGAAGATCGCGACGCATACATTAGTGGTGCTCAGAGTCTCCGAGTCGTATACTCGAGCGGCTCAGCCCTTAATCCGGCGACTCGCCAGTTCTTTGTGGATTTGATGAACATGCCTATCAGAAATGCGTACGGGATATCGGAGATGGGTGGAGGCTTAATGGTAACTTCAGCTGAGTCGGCCTTACTGAATGTACGTCCCGAATTCTTTTGATCCTTTGTCTTCTATTGACCGCTGACTGCCGTCAAGGGATGCATTGGGACGCCTATTCCCGGGGTGACAGTAAAGCTTTCTGAGGGTGACCACGGAGAAATCCTAGTTAAGAAACCCAGCATGTTCATCCGGTACGGGTGTTGATGTTGCTACACCGCTGCAGGGCTTTTCACTTACGCTCAAAATAGCTACATCGATGACCCAGCCGCCACACATGCTGCATTCGACGATGAAGGCTTCTATAAAACTGGTGATCATGCCCACCGCGTTGGAGATAACTATTTTTTTGATGGCAGAGTTTCATATGATTGTATGTGCCTTCTATATGACCTGAATGATAGACTTTCTTTTAGGGCAAAGCTAACAACGACTGTAAAGGGGTTCGGTTCCATGGGTACAGGATATCTGTCCTGGAGATTGAACAAATCCTGACGGACCTTGGATACATCTCTGAGGCTCACGTCATTCCGGTTCCAGATCACGAGGCTGGCGGGTTAGTGTCCGCGCTCGTTCGAATTCGCAAGCGGAACGCCGTCACAGAAGAACATGGCGATATCACCCTCCAAAAAATACGCCAAGACCTCGCCGCCGCCAATATTGCTGCGTACAAGCTACCTGCACTTTTACGAGTTCTCAGGGATCACGAGCAAGTCCCCCTGACGGCCTCGGGCAAAGTTCTGAAAAAGCAATGTCTCCAAAAATTCTTTGACATATCCGGATACCTACCGGATCAATATGCTGTTGATGGAGTGGAGTACTGGGGAAACAAGCTCGACCTGACCGCTTCGACACGTGTAGACGACTGGGGAGAGCTATAGCGAGTGTTGTTGGCAACCGAAATTGACATGACACGACCTTCAGCGTTCGAAAATACTCGTGTTTTTACGTTGATTCTTTCCGACGTAGAAAGGCTTATGTTCCATCTTCTCCGAACCGAACTGATCCTGAAGAAACGAAACAAGCTTCACACATTGTTTTGCGTTAACTAAGGCCCAGAGATTAATTTCAGCGCAAGAAGATCTATATTTTCCAAATTTTCACATTCTCTCCATCAACTTCACCGGGGCAAGCATGCCGACATATGTAGACATATCCCCAGATGCGAATTTATTGATTGCCTGGTAGGATAGCATACATTGGTTGCAGTCGGGATACCTACTGAGCCACCCTGCGCCGCCGAGTGCTCCTCCCGTCATTTCCAGCCAGGTTGAGCAGGTTGCCTTGGAATCATCCATCCATCCATCAATCCTGAGCGCGGAACAAAGAAGGTCCGATCGGCGAGTGGGGGTGTTTGGTCACGTGATTACGGACTTTATCGAAATAATCACGTTACCATTGGTCAGCCCTACGGTGTGGGGCTGTGTGACCATCTTCAAAACAGGCAGGCAGCTGCGGAAAGGACGGGGAAAGCGGAATTACCCGATCTCATCAAAAACCCATAGATATCAGCGAGATCCACGGAGAGAGCAAAATCACAGCCCATGCGGGATGAGATCTTGTCGATGGGATAGTAACGGACGCAAGCCAAGGGAATAGCTTGTCTGATCTCAACAGGGAGAAATGCAAACTTGACATGACACCAGACACTGGACCATGTTGCTAAATGTAAATGTACAAGAAATTGAAGGTGGAAGTGGGGGTAGCTGTGATGGTCTCCCATTTGAATTGGTAGAGTGTACGGAGTACTCCGTACAACATAACTAAATAAATAGTCCCTGTTTGTGGAGATAACACCCTAAACTTGCAGAAAGTGCTCAATCGGGTGCATTTTGACTGATATGGGGCTTTGGAGTATGACATGTTCTTACAAACGAGCTGAGCAACCTGTTGTCGGTAGTCAACAACCGGCCGATATTGAATCTGCCAGTGTCCGAATCACCACCACCACCACTCACCGTCAATGCAGTCAAAAACCACTTAACCTTGGGTTCCATGTAGTTTGTGCCAGTCTAAGTGGTTGCTCGCGATGCTCGTCAATCCCTATAGCTGATAACACGACCCTTGGTGAGCATGGCAATGTTTATGGTAGCCTTCGGTTGCTGAGGGATTTCACCCCTCTCCTGATAGAGGATGATGATTTTACATTGATAATAGATAGGTTGTCAGCACCTCGCCGTCTATCGCTTTAACATTCTTAATTAATTAGGTATGGCCCAAAAACACCTGAGTGTTAACAAAGGATACCGACAATGCTTATCCAAAAGATTTTACCAGCAATTATCAATCCTGAGCCACCAACACCAAACATCAACTTGATTTCCCACCATCCCCAAAAATATTAAACGCCAACGCATCAGGTCAAATGTCAAAAATACATATAATAATAATAGAGGCTAACAATACCATGTGAACAGCCTTATTTCCCGGGAATGTCGAGGACAAAACGGCGGTCGACGTCCATTTCTTTATCATCTTCCTCGCCTTCAAATTTCAGTCGATAGACGTCCTTTTTGGAGCCCATGACCTCAGCTCGATAGAAAGTGGTTGTATCTGGATATCGTGCGAGGACCTGCTTGCCAGGCGGAAATACGGGAAGAGATGTTCCAATCTGTGGAATCGGAATGAGAGAAGCAGCAGTTGTCCGGTAAACTGCGCCCTCCTCTCCATTTTCAATCGGCTCCGGATCCTGGACGTCATACCTAAGCAAAGGGTTAGAATAATTTTTTTTTTCCCCCCTTTCGTAAGTCGATGCTGTAGATCGGCTTCTTACCGCTTCTTGTGCCCGTCCCCGGTAATGTTTTTGATGATGCACTGGATGCCTTCACCTTCAACGCCTTGCTGTTTCTTGTTATGCTTGAAGACCACCTCAGCGCCAACGAACAGTTGCCCTCCTTTCTCAGCGGCGGTGCCCTTGGTACCCTTGATGCCTTCGGTGCCTTCATCACCTTTAGCAGATTCGCGGGTTTGGGCGCTCGACACGCTTGCACTTCGCTGGGCACTGCTCTTGAGGCGGTTTAGCTTTTCGGAAACGGGACCCGTACTGGGCCCTGGGGAATCCGGAATACCGTTGTCAAGGTCGGTTTTCCTCTTCCGCGGTTTCCCAGAGGCTGCACGACTGTGGGGATCGGCTTCCGACGCTGAGCGCAAAGCCATGAGGATTTCCACATTCTTGATAACATCTGCTGGCTCGTTTGTGAGTATGTCTTTCTCTTCTTCGGCCAGCTTCATCAGCTCGCGGTGCCACTTGTCGAGTTGGTCAATTTCATCCATGCTCGGCTCTTCCCACCAAGAGTTAGTCGCCGAGTAAAATTAGAGTAGAAAAATGATTAAAGCAGCAGAGCGACATCCTTTGCTTCTCAGTAAAGAGGGATCGAATACACGAGCAATGAGAAACCCCCCCCCCCCCCCCCCCCCCCCCCCCCCGGGGGAGCACAAGGGAGGGGGAAAAAAAAAAAAAAAAAAAAAAAAAAAAAAGGAAGACTGATGTAGCGAGATACGGGAGACGAGGCGAAGAGTCAGCAATACTCTGAGCAGCGACTTACTACTACCGTTCTTCCCAATCTTTTCGTTCAAGGCCCCAATATTCTGGCTGAGCACCTTTTGCCGATCATTTTTCTCCTTCGCCTTGGTCAGGTCGGCGACGATCTTGTTCCACATATCGATCTCCTCGTTGGCGGCCTGGCCATTGTCCCTGGCGGCGCCTCGTGGTCGGTTTCGCGACATTTCTATCTCATATGCTTCCCATCTATGCCCTTTGTCATAGACGATGGCAGGCTTCTTGCTGCGAGTGCTCAGCGCAAGAGGGGTGTGAAGTCCTGCAGGCTCCTCCGGTGGGTCCTTTAAGCGAGAAGCAGCCTCTGGAGTGACACGAACATCGCTACTCCGGTGTGTTTGTTGAGCCCTTTTGTCTTGCTTCTGCCTGCGGGGAAGCTTTGACGTCGAGGTCGATGACGATGTCACTCCGGAACCGAGACCACCCACCCCAAGCTCGGGCACCCGGCGGACCGTGGATCCGGTGGCTGGGGAGACAGCACTGCTCGGTGCACGGGCCGACCCAGTGCTTCTGTCGCCGAGTGCTGGCGGCGCCACAGCTCCGCTTCTCTGATTGGCCATCTGCCGGTGCGGGCTTAGGGCTGCACGTGAATCAGGGGTTGATCAGTTTCGTTACGGTGTGTTGGGGGTTGAACAAAGTGTTAGCGCGGGGTTTGACCTGGGTATCACCGAGATGCTTTGAAGCTCGCCCCCTTGATCAAAACTAAAGAGCTGCAGAATCAGAAGAGCAAACTGGTGGTTACAATCCTCTATATAACTAGTTAATTCTGCTTTCCATTCATCTTTGGTTGTAAATAACACTCAGAATGCAGGTGCCACTCTTTAGGTTGCAGTGCGGTGAGTTTGTCCAGCTGTTTGCTATGAGTTGCTTGAGAACTGCCGCCAGCTTACACACTATTTTGCGCGCTTTTAGGAGTGAACAGCTACGACTGGGGTACGTATAGAGAACCTAGAAATTTTCTGACGATACCAATTGCTCAATCCCTCTCTGTCTAGGGAAACTTGGAAATGAATCCGCTGCTGCACAGTTTGCTGCCGCCTCTGCTGCTGCTGACTTCTCCGTCCAAAATGATAAACCCTACGCTGAGGTCTGCTTTACTTGCTCTCTAGTTTTACCGGGTTTTATGTAGTGTGCTGATTGATATTTCCTTGAACCAGCTGTGGATGGGGACTCATCCTTCTCTCCCCTCCAAAGACTTAGAAACCGAGCGAACGCTCCTGGATCTTGTCCAGTCAAACCAAGCCTTGTTAGGCCCAGAGATATACGAGAAATACAGCGCAAAGCTTCCTTTCCTATTCAAAGTCCTGTCTATCCGAAAAGCTCTCAGTATTCAAGCGCACCCCAACAAGGAGCTCGCTGAAGTGTTGCATAAGCGCGATCCCAAGAATTATCCTGGTCAGTCTTTAACCCCCCCGCCCCGCGGCGCGGAGTCCTCCTGGAGACTATGTGAACGAGCACCTAAAGTTGGATTTTGTTAGATGACAACCATAAACCTGAAATGACCATCGCTATTACTCCATTTGAAGGACTGTGTGGTTTCCGTCCCTTGGCTGAAATTGTTCATTTCCTTCGAACGGTCAAACCATTCCGCGAACTGGTCGGCGAGAAGGCAGCGCAGGATTTTGAAGCAGCCGTAGAGGGTGATGACACCGACGTGAACGACAAGAACAGGGCAGCTTTACGGGCTCTCTTTACAACCTTGATGCAATCGTCCCCGGACGCTATCAAAGACGCAACAAAGAAACTTGTTGATAGCGCTCAAGGATCACCCGACACTTTTGCCGTATCCGAAGCCTCGCCGTCTACGAATCCCAGTGACCCGGCCGAAATGGCAGCGCTTGTTGTCAGGCTCAATGGCCAATTTCCAGACGACATTGGGCTTTTCGTTCTCTTTTTCCTCAATTTCATCAAGCTTGGCCCCGGAGAGGCTATGTTCCTCAAGGCCGACGACATTCATGCCTATATCAGTGGAGACATCATTGAATGCATGGCTTCTTCCGACAATGTCGTCCGTGCTGGTTTTACTCCAAAGTTCAAGGATGTGTCGACGCTGACCAGCATGCTTACCTACTCATACGCGCCGATTGAGGAACAGAAAATGCATCCTACAGAATATCCATACGCGACACTTAATACGGTTTCATACACGAGCGGATCGTCGGCGATGCTCTATGATCCACCGATCGAGGAGTTCAGCGTGATCAAAACCGACCTGAACACCGCGGGTGCTAAAGTGACCTTCGAGCCTATTAGCGGACCAAGCGTCATCATCTGCACCAGTGGCACTGGGCGCATCCGGATTGGAGATGCCAAATGTGTCGATGTAAAGCCGGGCTATGTTTTCTTCGTCGGGGCCACAGCAGAATGCGTGATTGAGAATACCGGGGAGGAAGGGAAAGACGTTCCAATGATTACCTTCAAGGCGTTTTGTGAGATCGGTCCGTAGGATCTGATGAAGACGGAGGCGCTTGAGACCAAGGGTTTGACTATGGTCTCCCATGCGCTCCGATGCTGGCTATGACGTGATGATGATTTTTTTCTTTAACGATACATCTATCCTTATAATAACGAATCTTGCACAGAACGATGAAAAAGAATGTACGCAGCTCTACTTAGATTGCCAGACACGGCGATATACAATACTTAATATGACCTATCCCAAAATAAAGTAACGGCTCTCGATGTCCAAAATTGTTACATATCGCTCTTCTAGCCATGGCCTTGAGCGCGGCGCCTGCAGGTCTGGGCAGCCGTGGACGGTGTGGGCGGCGCTACAAAAGTCCGGGCCAAGAAATTGAATTGCCTGTTTTGCGGCCGCTGACACCCAACTTGCCGAGGATCAGCACGAACCCAAGAGAAATTAACTATGTATGTAGCTTCATATTTCCCCGGCTCCGGAGAACAGGACAACAAATGCTGGTTACACGGCAGGATACGGTCAGGGTTCCCTTGGTCTACGCATGTCACTCTCGGTGACATCCAGCGTAGGTGGCGCCCAGCGCGAGCTCCTTGGAAGGCTTGGGTTTTGATCGCAGCCAGTTTTGTTTGTTGTCGTATCTCGGCTATCCAGCTAGGCGGCCCCTCTGGGTGAAAGAGTCTCGGCTCAAAAAGGATGGGTGTTTTTGGGAAAGATTCTACTTGGCTCCGTCTTGGAACCAATTTCCGGAGCCACATCCCTTTGTAAATACCGAAATGAGCGGATCCATGCTCATGGCGCTATTATCAATGCGGGGGAGCGCTTAAAGAGCGCTTTCGTCGTTTAATGCAGAAGATGGGCCTCTTTCTTCCTTCTTCTGACCTATGCTTTCTCTTACTTGCCCGTTGACGAAAGAAACCATCTTTGAGGGATATCCTATTCCTTGGTCAAGAATTACCACCTTATTTGGCTTACGTGGACATAGGCCACCGGGAATTAACTAGCTACAAAAAGTCGCCATGGCTAACACTTTTCCTCCGAAGCTCACTGTGCTCGAGAAGCTTGATTTGATCCCTGCAAACATTTCTCTCGTCGCAACCGCGATCTACGCAGCCATTACTGGTATATTCCGAGGGCAAAAAGGGGCCAAGTCGTATATGAAACACATTAACTATGCTGTTATTCGCAAGATGTTGCAGCGACTTTCCACTAGACAAAATCAGTATGTCGGTCGTTTGAGTTGGATATTTGGCGCGTGTTATCTGATCGGCTACTGACAAACGGACGTCAAAGAGCAACAAATCCTTCAACAAGTGGTGCTTATGAAATATTTGCGAGGCAGAACAAGATCGAAGCCCAAACCGTGCAATTAAATTATGGTGGCTTGGGCCATTGGCTTGGGAATAAGGATGCAAAAAATGTCCTTGTCTATTATCATGGTAAGTTAAAACAGCCACACGCGAATTCGCAACTTGAGTTGCTTGCTTTCACATCATGCTAATGCCCCTTTTCTTTACCCAGGCGGTGGATTTGCCATCTCAGCCGGTACCGCATACTTTCAGGTATTAAAGGGAATAATGGAGGAGCTCAACGCTGCAGGGAAAGATATTGCTATCTTTGTACTCACGTATACTCTCGCACCACATGCCCTATACCCAACACAGGTGAAACAAGCGGTTGAAGCCCTCCGCCACGTCATTCAAGCAGGCCACGATCCTTCAAATGTTGTCATCGGAGGTGATTCTGCTGGTGGAAATCTCACACTCGCGGTCCTTTCCCACATCTCACACCCGCATAAGGATATTAAGCCGCTGGAAATCTCATGTCCGCTAGCTGGTGCATTCACGATTGCCCCGTGGGTTTCATTTTCCCAGGATTTCCCTTCTGTTAAGGAGAATGCGCTTAAGGACATCATCATGCCTGAGCTTACCGAAAGATGGAGCTCAAGTTACCTTGCAGGCCAAGAGACAGACAATTATAACCAGCCACTTCTTGCCCCAGCGGAATGGTGGAAGGACATCAAGGCAAGAGATTTACTCATCGTTGCGGGCTCTGACGAAATCCTGCTTTCTTGTATCGAGGAATTTGTTGAGAAGCTGAAGGTACGCACATCCCCTTTCACATTCTTCGATCCGGTATCTCTACTTCTTTTGTTCCTTTTGGAAGCCAGTATTTGAACCGAGGGGAAGCCGCTGCTAACTCATAGTGCTGGAAATATAGTCTGTGCTTCCAAATGTCACATATATTGTTGGCCAAGATGAACCTCACGTCGCACCTTTCATTTACCTAATGCTCGGCGACAAATCTACAACCCAGCAAGACAGTGGATTGCGGACGTGGCTCTCGTCGCGTCTCTAAAATGATACAAGATACCCCTCTGTTGCCGGTTCGTTGATCGCGGTTGTTTACGCTTTGCTATAGTCGCAAGACATTGAACAAGTGAGTTCGGGCTGGTTCTTTTGTTGTATATAATTGCGTAATTTTGATTTGACTTCAAATTCATTGCTTCTTCCCTGTTAGCCTCTGGATGCATCAGAAAATCTAAGGGGCGAAATTATCTCGCCATCTGCGTGTATTACGCTGCTTATCCAGGCTCTAAACGAGGTCATCCATGCTCCGACGCACTTCAAGCGGTATCAGTATAATCGAACCAGCTTTGCTTGCCTCTTTATTTCGCCGTCGGTATTTCTTTCACCAACTAAGTTGCAGCACATTGTAAACTAAGTACTCCGTAAACTTCGATTGAAGGAAAGTAATTGACATCTGTTTTCGGCCATCGATTCTGGCCTTTGGAATAATGAACCTTCAGCATGCTACTAGTGCATTCCGTACAGAATCATCCAAAAGGCAAGCTTCAATTGTAGTCAATGGTCATTCTGCTTGGTTGACATCCCGTTCTGGCGCGGAAAAGTCGCGCTGTGGTGATTGCAGCTGTGCAATGGGGTACAGGGTTGAACGTGTTGGAAAAGTCCGAACGTGGAAATTAACTAAACTACAAACTTTCCACCCAACCACGCGACGACGCGTTCTGCCCCGGTCCAACTAGACTGCATCCAACGATGAGCTGAACACGATGCCTAGGTGCGATCACGGAGTTCCCTCCATAGCTTCTGGGATGCTAATGCCTTTTGTTCTAGGGAGATAATCACCATCCAGGCCGGCCAATGCGGCAATAACAGTATGTTACCTCCGACCCCTGGACCGATATGTTTGCAGGTCCTTGACTCGACCTCGACCTGTGTCCCTCAAAGCAGCTCGGACCCGGGCTATCGAAGCACCTTTCGGAGCTTCTTAAACTGACCGCTTATTGTTATAGTTGGCGTACAATTTTGGCAACAACTATGCCTTGAACATGGAATCAACCAGGACGGAAACCTAGAGGAGTTCGCTACTGAAGGAGGGGATCGCAAAGATGTTTTCTTCTATCAGGTATGGGAATGACATGAAGCCGATCTTCGTTGTTCTCAATATATTGACTGGCATGTTCTGTAGAGCGACGACACTCGATACATCCCTCGCGCAATCCTCCTCGACCTCGAGCCTAGGGTACGCAGCTCAAAACCTGGAAAGATGGGACTTGATCAGGGTCAACCGGACTAATTTGGCCTTATCGTGATACAGGTCCTCAATTCCATACAAACCGGTCCGTATAGCAATATATACAACCCGGAGAACTTTTTTGTTGGGAAGCAAGGTATTGGAGCCGGGAACAACTGGGCAGCGGGGTACTCTACCGGAGAAACCGTGCATGAGGAAGTTTTCGACATGATAGACAGGGAGGCAGACGGAAGTGATTCCTTAGAAGTGCGTATAAAACTCCCTGAAGTAATTCCGAGCCTCTGCTTACAAGACGAACAGGGATTTATGCTCCTACACTCCATCGCGGGGGGAACGGGTTCTGGTCTCGGGAGCTTTCTCCTTGAGCGAATGAATGACAGATTTCCGAAGAAATTGATCCACACTTACTCCGTTTTCCCTGATACCCAAGCCGCAGATGTTGTTGTCAATCCTTATAATAGTTTGCTAGCTATGAGGAGATTGACGCAGAATGCGGACTCTGTGGTACGTTGGGAGGCCTTTGCTGCTAATTTGTAGATGCTTACTTTCTCCCCAGGTGGTACTTGATAACGGCGCTCTGTCTAGGATTGCAGCGGACAGACTCCATGTTCAAGAACCCTCCTTCCAACAAACTAACCAATTGGTGAGTCTTTAGGATCGCTATTTAGCCGTCGTCACTTGTTTGCTGACGACAATCAGGTCTCTACTGTAATGTCGGCATCTACGACTACCCTACGTTATCCAGGTTATATGCACAATGACCTTGGCAGCGTCGTCGCTTCTCTCATTCCCATCCCAAGGTCCCATTTCCTTATAACCTCTTATACGCCATTCACCGGGGATAATGTTGAACAAGCAAAGACGGTTCGCAAGACCACTGTTCTCGACGTTATGCGTCGATTGCTCCAACCTAAAAACCGCATGGTTTCAATAAACCCCAGCAAATCAAGTTGCTACATCAGCATCCTCAACATCATCCAGGGTGAAGCAGACCAAACTGACGTGCACAAATCTTTGCTCCGTATTCGTGAACGGCGTCTTGCCTCCTTCATTCCATGGGGCCCTGCCAGTATCCAGGTCGCGATTCCGAAAAAGTCTCCATACCTTCCCAACACCCATCGTGTTAGCGGTTTGATGCTTGCAAACCATACTTCTGTTGCAACCTTGTTCAAGAGGATCGTAAGTCAATACGATAGACTACGAAAGCGCAATGCGTTCTTAGAGGCATACAAAAAAGAAGCGCCATTTGCGGATGGATTAGGCGAGTTCGACGAAGCCAGAGCTGTGGTTATGGATCTGGTAGGGGAGTACGAGGCTGCAGAAAAGGAAGATTATCTGGATGGTGGAGGTGTAGGCGCGGAAGAGGGCTAGGTTTTACCCCAATTGTTGTTTTCTATCCTGCACTTCATCTGTCTTTCCACCATTTCGGCCTACGTACGACTTTATGAGAATAATGAGAATCCAGCAAGAATATAGTTTTCCTTTCGCAAGGCTCTGTAGCAACTTAATATTCCAAACTTGATCTTACATTTGACCCGGATCTATGATGATTGCGGGGTAACGAGCAGGGTTGCTGCGTGGAAGATGACATCAGTGGAACCAGAACAACACCCTGTCGCCGGACGATTTACTATATAAAGTGCGACAAGACGGGGCGGAAGTTACCATCCATCAAGTTCAGAAAAAACAATTTTTACTCCATTACATATTAGCATTTTTACTCAAGGTATACTTATGTCCCACTTAGAGCCCATTCCAAGAACAAGAAGTGATGCTAATGTTGCTCTTCTAAGGCACAGAACTTCCATTAGACAAAGCATGGCTGATAAAGGAGAACATTTCCCGGGCAGCCAGCAGCCTGGTCCGTCAAACCACAGCTTTCAACGCTTATCCGTTCCCGTTGTATCTAACTGCAACTTCTAGGTGACACCAAGAACACCGCCGAGAGACTGTCTGAGAGCACGAAGTCCGGATCCGAGGGCGCCAAGCAGAAGGCCCAGGGAGTCATGGACCAAGCCAAGGAGACCGCTAGCAAAGCGACCGAGTCGATGTCCAAGTCCATGGGAATGGGTGGTGGTAAGTGATAAATGGCGTGGTGCCAAAAATACGGCGCTGATAGCTTGTAAAGAACAGAAGTAAACGCTTCATACCGTATCAACTGTTCTTCTTTTGGACGCTCGTTTCGTCAAGGATGCTGGTGCTCGTTGGTGGAGATACGGCCTAGCTCAATGTCGAATAATGGAATAAGATGGTTAATACCGTTATCTGAAGTAAAAGTTCCTGGTGCTCCCTTGCTTCCTTATATGTAGCATATAGTAGTCTCTCCGAAGCTTTTCAACGGGGCCATGGACCTCGAAATATGACCAGGCCACGAGGCAACATATGGGAAACATGAAGAGCCAGTATATTAATATCTTGATATATCTCGCTCATGATTGGGTATCGATTCAACAATGGCTGTATCATCACGTCGCTTTTAGATGCGACTCTATACGAAAAAAACGCTCTGAAATGCAAAGATGTCTCTATGACGAGATGGAATGCGGCCCCAGAATCAGCGATGGGATCCTCCGCCTCCACTAACCCCACCAACAGAAACGTCCTGCACGACGCATAGGAGATATCTCCGGTCCGGAATGATAATAACCTCGTGGATTTTCGTCCTCAGCCGGAGTAATTTGACTTCGTCCTCGTCTTCACGATCGTTTCCAGCTTCCTTATCTTGGTTTTCTCGCCTCCCTGTGTCGGTTTCCATGTCCATTCCGTTTCCTTGCAAACCTTGAGCTCCATAATCTGGCTCGTTGTTATTCGCCTTGGCCGATGGACCGGATAAGATTGCGCTTAATGCTGACGCTGATGAAACAAAGGCGTAGATGTGCGATGCTAACGTCTCTGCCTCACTGGGCTTATACGGGGCGTTGGGTATGGATGTAATTGATACTGCTGTTGTGTCCCCATCTATCGACGGCGCAGTCGGTGTCTCTTCTGTGGACGAGAGCACTTCTGGCCATGGCGTCGGATTTAAGCTGGTAACCGGACTTGATTGCGGAGCTAATTTGCCTGTGACTTGGATGATGGATCCATCCTTTCGTGATAGTATCAATGTCGATTGCACGCTCGGGCGAGATGTAAGATGAGCAAGTTGGGCAGCGACATGCTGGGGAATTTGAGAAGCCTGCAATGTGGTGTCAGCCAAAAGGAGATCAGCTTTGGAAGGGGTACGACCCCTGGTCGACTAACTGGTATCGTTTCGGTCATATTTGAGCTTTCAGGAGGGTTTGAAGGTGATGCCAGGGGGGAGTGCTAGAATGTCCTGTGGATCCCGACGTAAAGAACGTGTAATATAATCAAGTTGGCATATGTGCCTGCCGGGTCTCATTCTCCAAAGAAACCCGGCCGCCTGGGGCCGCGATTGTTGTCGCAAATGGTGTTGCTGACTCATCAAAAATTTCCGTTGCTGATGAGCATCGCGAACTTTTTACGAAAGAGGATCAACTATTGCCGTGAAATACATAAACACAAAATTCACAATGGGCTCCAGCCAAAAAAGGAAGAGGGAGAAGAAAAAGGACTTTCAGGTAAGCTGCATTGACTCCTCATCGCACTTTCAGCTCATACTAACTAGGGCGCATAGAAACCAAAACTGAAAGTCGGCAAAGAGAAGCCCAAAGCTTCGAATTTTACAGACACGAGTTTCAAATCCAAATGTACGGACCCCGCTGCAAATGATGACTGCATCTATTTTCAACCTTGCTTATTCTTTAACTGCAGCTATCGTTCTCAACCAACAGTCTCTCTCCACAATCGCACCCTCTGCAACGGCGCAGTTTTCTCATTCGCTCTCACTTCTGAACTCCAAGTCAGATACCCAGCGGAAAGAGTCGCTGGCTAACTTAACGACTGCAATTGTTTCTCGTCCAGTCAACTCACCATTGCCCCAGCCTGTCAGTGTGATGTTGCCATCATTGCTTCCGTTGATCTTAGATGGTAGCAACGGGGTGCGGTCCCAGCTGCTAAAGCTTCTAAGAGCGCTTCCAGGGACAGACATTGAAGGCCATGCATCATTATTGCTCCCATATATCCGTGCGGGAATGACACATCTTGCCGCTGGTATCCGGCTCTCCGCGATAGACATACTTTCCTGGCTGCTATCGGTTGCAGGCCAAGAAGTTGTCTCCTGTGCGGGAGGATGGGTTAAAACTCTCAACTGCTTCCTCTCGGTTCTTGGCTGGCATACAGAAGAGTCCGCAAAATGGTCTTCAAACAGAGCATCGTTTGGAAAAGCTGGTAGCGACGGGAAACCAATAGCTACAATACTACAGACCTTCGCCGATTTTCTGCGTGCCGGAATTTGTGCTTTAGATTCGACGGATGGGGCGGAACAAGAAGGCGATAATAACTTGTCCAGTGTTCCCTTTCCCCTTTTCCATACATCACAACATCTTTTGCCTACGAAGTCCTCTGCCTTTGCTTATCTCAACCTATTTGGCCGACCAAAGGATGAGGAGGGAGAAATGTATGAGTCTCGTGAAGATAGATTGAGAATCTTTGTTGAGAGATTCAAGCAACCAGTGCAACGAGGAATCGACGCAGCCAAGAAGGATGGCGGTGAAATCGGACGTGCTTCAGCTAGTATCAGCAAGGTTCTGAAGGAATCTAGAAATCAGCAAGCTCCATCATGATGAACTCAGACAAGGGGGCTAGTCTGTTGGTAGAAATTTTAAAGTCAGGGTGGATGACTTTTTTGTGGGCTTCACAATGGATTGGCCGGGTTAATCACGATGTCTCGACGTTGTCGGCTGAACCACTATAGCTCCAACCGAGTCTCAGGTTCGAACATGTGTGCTTATGCATCGGGACCTTATTGTGGAAAAAAAAAAGCAACACGAGGTTGGCCTTAACAACCGGCAACCATGAGTCTCCTAAACCGAAATAAGGTGTGAATTTTACCTGGGGGAAAGGCTAGGGGCCAGCAAGCAAGCAAACCGTGCTCGGGATTTGGAAACCGAAACTCGATACCATTTCGGCGTTAAATCCGACCCCACCAGGCATTCAACCACATATCATGACTCTGACTTCCTTGGGCTCTACGGGCTCTATATTCAACCTCTTAGTCTGCAGATGGGGATGAAGAAAATCCTCTCCCTTCTGTAATCATTTCATGCTATTAGTTGTATATCACACGATGTTGGTTCAAGCAAGCATATCTCGAGGAACCTCGTTGCTTCATTCGTTTCGAGGTTTGCTCAATGTGTGCACCAATATCATGTCCCATGAGACTTCCGAGCGAAAAGGATGACTCGCAAGCGCACTTTCTCTGTGTCCGGAAGAGGAAAAGCGTCAATGCAACAGCCGCAAACATCGACAGTCCGCCCAGCGAGACCCAACGCCATCGAGTGACACCGCACGCCATTAAACATTGAAAACTACCCCGAATATCTTGATAGCAAACAACTTCTCACTGAATTACGTTTTCCCCTTAAAGCTAAAATGTCTTACAATGTTTACCGTCTGTCCTCTGCCGGTATGCCGCGCGATCACCACGCTATTTTCATCGAAACAAACAACCCCGCCATCGGTTGCGGCCATATCTATCAGGTCACTGGCAATATCCAGGGTGGCATGCTGTATGAAGACAAGCCTACGGCTTTCCCACCGGAACACGATCCATCCTTTCTAGACAAAGTACTTATTGGCACTGTCGAGGCAGCAATGCATCCAGATACGTTCAGGAGGGTTTGCTACAGTGTATCACCCCCAAAAAAGCAATTTGAAGGCCCGTATCGGCTGTTTCCGCAAGAGCCGATTAGGCGTTGCCAGGAATGGACTTCTGAGACCATAGACGCACTGACCGATGCCGGTATCTTGAAGCGATAGTTGGCGGCATTGCTCGGTGCTCTCCATAAAGCGGCGCAGTAATTTCATTAGGTGGGAGTTTGGGTTCTTGATGTTAGCTCAGGATCTTAGACTCGGTACGGAGAGTACGAGGTCGATGATGATAATCCGTATAACTCTGCGGAACAACGGCTATGGGAAAGCTATTCTCAAATACCTTCACGACATCGAGGTGCTCCTTAAGAGCTTTTGCAAGGTGGATGTACAAAATATTCATATCAAGCCGAACATCTTTTCTCTTCATCTGATCAAAAGACCCATCCGGGGTAGAATATTCAGCCAGTCGACGGAGGCCGTGACGCTGCATGTATAGTTGGTTCGAAGAGATACATAGCCAGAAAACATTCTATCCGGTTTAGATGTGAAAAATAACATGCGCCCCGGAGGCTACAACGCCTGGTGTGGCCTGGACATCGATCTTTCCGTTCGTGCGTCGATGTGTTCAGCGCAAAACCAAAATTTGCCTTTCAAATGTTGTGATAACTCTTGGCAACCAAGGTTGCCCGTTAATCAGAACCGCATCCGAACTACTCCGTATTTAAGTCTTCACCCTGAAGGGGTTCTTCATTTATTGACAGGAATATACCGAATCGTGACTCGAGCTACGAAGGGAGTAAGCCACAATCTGAATTTGAAGCGAGGCCAATCCAGCGACAGGGTCAACAACGAGGAGACAAGAAAAACATCTGTACAAAATTAGCCGACAGTGACCATAGTGGATGCCCACAAAGCACCCCTGGTATCGGTGCTAAAAGAATATGGGATCTAGCTAGCTCAAATGCCCACGATCTATCCGTACGGACGAATTTTTGGCGAGGAGCCGCTTACCCGTTCGCTTAGCGTCAAGATAGGCCAGAATATGTCAAGTCCAAAATCCTTGTCTTAAAAAAAAGACAGACCGTTTCTGCCCCTGTCAGAGATAGTGTTACTGGTGAAAACGAGGCGAGGAGCGCGGGGCTCAACGCTTATCTACGCATGACATGCAAAACGATACCCCAAACAACGCTTCATCCGACAACGAGGCTCTCGAACGGCGACAGCAAACTTTATAGGGGATAAAATGGGGAGCCGGGCCGAAGTTGCAAGCGTACGCAGCTGTATATCCCTTGTCTAGGCGTTTTATACAGGTTAGACACGATTATCTATGTTCAAACAACGGTGTATCTACCCAGGATGGAGGTTCAAGCCAGCGTTTAAATGGAAAACAGGAGCCGCGTCAAAGAAGTATTTAAGGGAACAGGGTGTAACGGAAGCCACCCACCCGGTTCATCCCAATGTAGGTATGCATCACCGCAAGAGAAAATTCGGTGATTATACTGATCAAGTTGTCGTTTCGAATCCGCTATCGCCATGAGGGTCTAAGTCATATGTTGTTTTGAGTCACCCAAACTTGATCACTCGCATTCTGCAGCTGATGAGGGCAAGAGACCTAGTGGTGAAACCGAAGATATAGGTTAATAGAATAAGATAAGTAGAAGAGCCTGGGATAATATATCATCGTTTTCTTAACTGTTTCGACACACAATTTTTCGGACGACTTTTCAATAGTGACGTAATTTTGGATAGATGCATGTTCGTACAGTAAATACACAAATACATTGCACCTACGATTCGAAGGGTTGCAATTTTTTTTAAACGTTTTCTTCATCAAGGCGTAATTCATAGGTAACTATGCTAGAGAAAGGCACTTAAAGAGCCAGTTCACTTTTATGTACATAAGGTTCTTTTGTATGTCCAGTGTCAACCTAGTCCTTCTCCTCTCCAGGAAGCCTCACATCGGCCCATCCTCGCTCGCCCGATTTCCCGTGCTTCCTGATATTCCTCCAGTCTCCAATGTCCAGCCATCCAATCCTCGCCCGGTCGCCAAATCCTCCGATCCAAAGGGCTTTCTCCACAACCAATCGTGCCCAATATCCCCTGTGGGCAGCGTTAGGATCGCCGGGCAGCCAATATTTGGCATCCGGATGAGCAGTCAAGAAACACTGCTCGATCGCATGCCTTGCATCATCAGGGAGGGGAGTGGACAAAGGTTCGAGCCAGCCGATCAAGGATAGGCGTGGGAAGGCAGCTGGTGCCTTGTCGAGGTCACCATCTTCATCCGGCGGGGCGTGTTGCCACCAATCCACCGACAGGGAGATGTTGGAGCCAGCTTTGGTGTTTCGAAAAGAGGTTCCAAGATTCAACGCCAGGACGAGCGGGTTTCCGGAGCCCAAGAAGTCCTGAAGCTTTGAATTGTCGTCGCAATTGGCAAAGTAATCTGGCAGACCGATTGGGACGCCGATGAGGGCTGGATCCCGGTTAGTCCTTGGGAATACGGTGGATAGGACTCCCGTGGTGGAGAGGCCTAGCAGTCTCCTAGCCAGAAGGTGGGTGGTTGGCCACGAAGGGATGGAGAGACTGGAGTCCGGTTCATCGTCGGCATAAGGAATTGTCATGCGCGCTTCAGGTGGGCTCGAGTCGAATGGAAATTCGCCGGCTGGGGCAATAGGTTTCTGATACAGCGCATCTCTCTTATCGCCTCCCAGAAAGACGGGAGATGCACCCCCAAGACTGAGAGATAAGGATAAGGAAAGGAGTGTGGAGAGGGAGAGGAGCTTCATGGGTGGTTGAATACTGTCTCGGACAGCGCCGCCAATGGTTAGCAGACGATGTCTGGAGAAACGTAGATTTAGCAACAAAGGGAATCCGGGATCCAAACACTGTTTATTATATGCTCAACTAGTCATCCCACTAACTATGCAATACGTCACAAGGAATACTGTGGATACTCTAGGGAATTCGCCTCACGTGGAAACCTCGAGAAAAAGCGCGGCGTCGGGCGGGCTTGGAGCCTGACTACTATTCGACTCGGCTGACTCCCATTGCAGAGGGGGAACGGCGAAGATGGCGGCTGCGGAGAAGCAGCCCATTCTGTCAGCATGCGGGCGTTGGCCATCCGTTGCGGGCGATGTCACCGGGAGCGACTTTTGCCGAGCGCAGCAGGAGCAAGTTTGATTCACTGCAATTTGGCTCGGCAACAGATGATCATCAGATAAGATTTGATCAGATAAGATCATACGACCAGAACCCTGCCTGTTTTGGGTTCCGATTGGCCGGTCGGCGCTTTCGAGGGCTTGGGAGCGGACCGAAACGGAATGGCAGCCCATGTTGGTTGCGCGTCGTGGATTGAAGCTGCTTTTTGAATCTCTCTGGATAACTAAACTAAAGTACTTAAATGGCCGCTGGAACACTGGAGTTGTATGCCATCCGCTGTAGTCACTTCTTACTGCCAGCCACAACCTCAGCTATCAGTTAAGGTCCAGCAGGTAATCGTGCAGTTTATCAGAAAGCCACACAATATGACTATTCGGAAGCACGATATTGGTAGGCTCCATCCTTGCTTCCTCCCTTTTTTTTTCTTTTCGAGGAGGATGCGGGAATGTAACCCTGCCATGTGCAGTATTAAAATCCCGGGATGCCTGCATGAACGGTGAAATCCGTAGGCTGGATCTCTAAAAACAGTATTCACGGCTCTCCCATCAGTCGAGAGCACAGATGGCGAACTACAGTATGTCAGAACGGCCCAGTACATGTAGCATATCAACGTGGTTGACCGCTGTGGATGTGCCTGTACAGATTACTCCATCCAGCTTAACTAGTTAATCCCTTTCTTACTTGTTGGACAAATGGCAGCAATTTTTCTCCCGCAAATTGGAATCCGATTCGCTCTCATAATCATCGTCGAACTCCTGTCCTTTTTAAGTGTTTTACTCAGATGGCCAAAACTCCGTACAGTGATCGTGCAGACCAGGGCAAGAGGATGCGCTGTCCTAGCGAGCTAAACGAAGAGGGGTAGATGTGCAACTCGAAACGATCAGGCTCTCAGCATATCACACAGAGGCAGCCAGATGCTGTAACGCCTTGTCCATTCACTGGCAGGACTCCATTCCCCCCCCCCCCCCCCCCCGCCGAAACAGACGGGTTTCTCGGGTTTATCATGGGTGGCATCCTTGCTCGATGCATCCAAGGCTCGTCCTCAACGGTGAGGCTGTGAGGAAGATCGCGGAACCAGTGGAGTTGAGTAAAGCAAAGTGTCTCCGGAGCGGCGGGCGGCCGGTTGGGAATAATGATGGTGACACAATTTTTTTTTTTTTTTTTTTTTTTTCCTTTTTTTACCCCTCCCATTCAGATCTTGAAAAGAGGGTCTTGCAACACTCCTGCGGGCTGTTTCTAAGAAAAATAGGCCATGTTCACCTGGGGTGAAGATAGCTGAACCACATGCTTGAAAGATATGAAAGAGAACATACCGTCACGTCCTTTTTTTTTTTTTTCTTTTGCTGACAACGGTTCCTGCGTCGTCGCGTCAAGGAAAGGTCATCGAAACATTGACCAGATGGTTTCTGCGCGACGCTTTGGCCCCGACAATCACCGTTGTAGCAATTACTGACACCGGGCGAGATGGACCAGGTCTTACCAGACCCATCGATGCTATTTCTGACTATGCCCCGGTGCAGCAGGATGCTCCGGTTGGAGCCCGAGGAGAGCCCCATCATCGAGGTCCGCAGCCAGTCTGCTCAGAGGTTGCATCTTTCCTCCATCCAACGGGAATTCCTTTTTTTTTTTTTTTTTTTTTTTTTTTCCCGCTTTCGAAAGACAAGCCTCGAGAAAAATTTCCGCGCGAGCCATGGTTCCACTCCTGTTGGTGGGGAGATCTAATTTCATGCAGGGCTCCTCAGGTGGAGCAACTAGAGACGCAAACACGTTAAACAATGCGATCGCCACCAAAGAGGGCGGTGAGTCGCTTCATGAAGCGTCCATATCCAAAGGCCCCCAAGTCGACTAATATGGGGAATTCTCTCGCTCAAGTTAACTTCGCTAGCTTGCGCGCACCCCATCGGCATGATGCAAGATAATGCGGTGTGAAAAGAAAAAGAATACACTCTGATCCGCAGCCACTTTTTATTTTTTATTTTTATTTTTACTTACTTTGATTTTTTTTTTTTTTGGCTAAGTCCTCTTTGGACCCAAGAATTTGCCTTGCCATGAATCCGTCCTCCGAGCAAATGAAAGTCCGTTTCAGCAAGCCACCGAAAAAGATTGGTCACAAAGCCTGGCACGTTTAATTGGCCTTTCCCAAACAGCGAGCGAACCACGCGTTCAGCAGTCGACAATGAAGCCCCTCCGTCCGGTGCATCAACAGACTCGAACATCATGCGGCTGATGACACAGCTACACAGATAATAGATGTCGAAGTTTTTCGATGACGCCAGACTTTGTTGAGGGGCTGCGTTTATGATTTCGTGCCTTGGATGCGGAGCCCGGAGAACTCGTCCTGGCTAATTTGGAATAAAATTACACCAACCCACACTCTTAGCCTGAAAACCCCCGTCAACATGTCACAGTGATAGGCGGCAAGGGGTCCTCATTTTTTCCTAGTCCATCAATTAGCTGTTTCCAGTGGCTTTTCTGTGCCTTCAATCTCGACGATTTTGACTGGTCCCACGTATCCCCGGGAGCTGAGAACTTGGTTGATGGCTTACTGCCCAGGACGGAGACGGGAGCCAGTGAAGCTCTTCTGTGCCTGTTCCCACTTCATGTTGATCGATGGCTGACATGGCCAGAGTGAGGGCGTGCGGTGCCTCTTATCTCTTTCTTAAAATACGAAGGGCAGAAAATATAACAGCTCTTCAATCGCCACCATGATAGCTGTCACCCTTGCTTCTCTTCAATGCTGACTTTTATTTGCTTTTCATTTCCTTAACCGTTTCTTTTCCTTTATTTTCTTTTTTTTGGGTCCTGGGAGATTTTGTTGCATTGGTGCGACTCCATCCTTCGCTCTATATAATCTAGGGGCTCCCGTCAATTGCTCACCAGGAGCGGGCAATATTTTCTTTTATTGAAGTTTTGAATAACTTGCCTGTTCCCTGCATATAGTTATATATTTTCCTTTTCCCTCCCCCGGCCACATTTCACCTTCTCTGGCAGATGGACCACCCGGATGTTTCGGTTGTCGCTGTTGAGCTATCAGGTAATCGACCAGGGAAAACGATGGTGCTGCGAGGTGAAGGCCTTGGTTCTCCTAAGTTTCACACGATGCAGCCCCGCATGATGAAGCCAGCCCGGATGGATGGACAATGGGAGAACACGTTGCACGGCGTTCACCCCGCGCCTCCAAGGCGAATATCTTCACGAGAACCACACTGGAACGATGCGCGTCGCGAGGATGCCAGACCCCCGCAAGACATACCATCATCTCCCTCGCTGCCGAGCGGCAGTGAATACTCGAGTGACAGCAAACATGGACAGCGAAGAAGCAGCCAGAACTCCGGAACGTCGAACACAGACGAGAAGTCCAAAACGGAGTCCGACGAGGAGCACAGGGAGTGCTCGCCTCCGCCGATCGTGCAGGTCGAAGCCGTGCCGCCACTCACCAAAGTCCACTTCTCTTGCTACCAGTCTCATCGATCGTTCATGGTGTCAAAAAACGCGTATTACTCGGTGCCCTGTATGACGTGCCTCAAAGCTGATCAGCAGCCTCGATACCGCTGTACGTTCTGCTGTCTGCGCGTGTGCGGAGACTGCGCCAAAGGGATATCTAACTGTAAGGATCGATCTCTGATGGAGTTCCTCGAAAACTTGGTCCAAGGTTTAGAAGGCTCGTGACCATCGCGATGTCTTCTTTCTTTTTCTCTCTCTCCTTTTTCGTTGGACACCCATTCGGGTACAACTTATTTCTGTACAATGTATTTCCGCCGGAGGACCGAATGCCACCGAACCTGCCTGCTGTCTATACTTTCTGCACTGGCGCTGCAGAACTATCAGAACATAGTGGCTTATTGCCTCCTCTTCTTTCGGGATTTATAAACGGGTTTATTTAAGCTGTGCTCGCGCGCGCGGCTGGGGGGTTTGACGATTAATGTCTAATGCTTAATGCGACGTTGACATGCGGCTGGGAGGGGTCGGGGGGGAGTTCTACGGAAGGGAACTTGGGCTGTCGCTCGAGGCTGCTATTGGAACCGGAGAGCCTGCCATGTGTGATACACAAGCTGCTCGATACGTGCTGTTCATTTCTACATCGACTATGACAAAGCTTACTTTTTTCTTTGTACATACATGCTTTTGGTGATTGGCTGGCAAAGGCTGGATCTCTTGTGGTACTGCCAGGCAGCGCCAGGCGACCTTGTCTCCAAAACGGAAGCCGAAGTGACACAGGGAGAGGGGTGGCCACTCGTGCTGTTTATCTGGGACCTTGTTGCGCGCTCATCCTACCACTCTCATTCCTCCCATCCGGCCTGGGTCTCGACTACATACATACTCACATATTCGCCGCCTGGAGAAAACGGACGGAAATCCGGGGACTGTTTTGTTTGGCTGAGATTTCTCCTCTTCAAAAACTAAAATCCAACCAACCCCTTTGGGCGAGGTGGGAAATGCAGAGTCGCAGCCCGATAGCCGAGTTAATAATAACTGCTCAGGTCTCGAATGCTTCCACGTCCGCAGAGAGGCGTTGACGGGGTCCTGGGGGAAGTCACTTTGCGTTCTTTTTGGAGGGATGGTGCCGAGCCTCCCATCGTCGTCCTTTTTATTTCTTTTCTCGCGCGCGCGGGGGAGGGGAGATGAGGCCTCGTTCAGCCAGTCCACCAATTTCTTTTTTGTTTTTTTATGCTTTGGCTTGGGGTGGTGGCGATGACTCACATTCGGTCCGCCACATCCGTCGGCACGGGGGGGACTTCTACCAGCGAAAAAGTGAAAAGCGAAAAGCGCCGAGGGGGGAGGTTTGGTAGTTTTATGGAGTATATCGAGCCCTCTTGTTATACAGTTATTATCAGTTGCTTTGGCAAACTCTGTCATCCATCCAAGAAAGCAAAGAGATCAGAAACTGTAGGATGTGTTCTTCGATGAAGATGTCGACGTGGTTGAGGATCGGCCAACGTTGCTGCAGCGGGATGAGGAGCGCGGTCTTTTGATTATGGCCCCAAATGCCAATGCTGTGGTGCAGCCATCTGCTGAGATGGAGGAATGCGAAGCGGAGCATCAAGCATAGGATCATGGCAAAAGGGGAGCCTGGTCTTCTAAACTATGTTGATCCTTCTGGTCGTTTTCTCAGTTACCTCTCCCTTTTTCTTTTCCTTTTTTGTTTTTAATTTAAATATCATTGGCTTGAGCTTCTCTTTTAGAGATAGTCCTTTTGCTCGTTTGCCAGTTAAGATCCATTTCATCTATTTTCATCTCTTTCCATTCGACTATTTAAATAACCAACGGACTCACTTAGTAACTTAGCTACGGAGTAAATACCTAATTGATGCACGTATTCTCGACACTCTTGACGTTGATATTTCGTCACCTTTTCGTCCGAAAATCAAACTTCCTTCTGACACCCGACGGTTCAGCTCTGTCAGGCTGGTTGATGATTTCACGTCAAAATTAGGTCCAGGAGTTGTCAGACGATCGCAGGTATGTCACGAGCGTCGCTCTCAATCTCTTTTTCTTGATTATTTTTTTTTATTTTATTTTTTTTTTTTGCCCCCCCTCTTGTGGCTCATTTTGCCCGTGTTCACGGCGCTGAAACTGGGATAATGCATCGCTGCCTATTTGGCGTCTGGTTGGAGGCACTCGATGGCAACCTGAGCCGTTCTCCTCTCTCACCACCCCATATTTGCCTTCTCCCCATACCTGGTGTTACTTAGAACGATTTTTGGTTGTTCTTCTTTTTTTTTACGAAGCATTGAAGTACATGCTCTTGTACTCCGTAGATGATTAATATTTTATTGTTTGAGATAACTCCGTATCTTGAGCGAAGGTTGCTGCGCTTTTTTTTCCCCAGCCCCCACCCCCCTTGACGCTTTGAAGCCTAAAAACCCGCCCGGGCAGCAGAAGAGAGCAAGTGTGTGTGTGTGTGTGTGGTGAATAACTAATCATCGCCGACAAGAAAACTGGCGTCAAATCCCCAACCCCGTTCGACTCATCCTGTCCCAGCCTATCACTGAACTAACAAATGGGCTTATCAGGACTTGCAGTAGAGAAAAACGGGGATTGTCGAGGGCCAGCATAACGGCCTGCTCTCCATTATAATATTAACTCACACTCCTTCGACATCGGCTCGGTCGCTTTTCTTTACTTCTCTTATCACTGTAAAAAATCGAAATCTGAAAGATATCCGTTACTCACCCTCGCCACTCCATCCTACTTATCTATTTTTTTTTCTCTTTTTTTTTTTATTATTGTGTTCTTCTATAACTAATTCCCGTCCTTTGATTTGCTGTTCCTTTGTTCTGTTGTGATGACACTGGATGAATTTGCTGTGATACACTCATAACTGCCACTCCTTTGTTATCCCCCAAGTGTGCCGATTCAAGGCCGATATCCTTTCGGTAGAACTTCTCAGAAGAAGCCGGCCTGACCGATAGGTATGTAACCACTTACTCTGTTGTTGTTGTTGTCGTCGTCGTCGTCGTGTGCGCTCCTCCTTTGTCGCCTTAAAGCACTCCACCAGCGTGGACCCCGAGCCAATTCCCCCCTTTGCCACCACCTCGCCACCACCTTGTCACCACTACCCAAGTAAACGGCTGTTGGCACAGAGCCCGTGCAAAGTTACCACATCCCATCCTGAGAAATGGAGGAGTCATCGTTGCTCTTGAACTACTAAAGTTTGCTCTGGGCGGCTGACTTAACTTACTCAGCGTCGTGGGTTTTTTTAAACTTCTTCAGCTTGCCTTTTCGCCGCTGCCTCTGACTCCTCCCGCTTTTCCGGTGTTGGTGGCATTGCCTCGAATGTGTCATTGAGCTCCCGAACGTCGTCGGGGTGGAAGCTCAACACACCCGCCATCATCCTCCCTCCCTTCACCCCTTTCCTCCTCGCCATCCTCCCCGATCCTCCTCTCGATTCCTCTCTTCTGTCGCTCCCGATCGACTCCGGACAGCCGCCTGGATAAGCGCGTCGCTTAGCTGGTGCTGCCTGGCCCTCCCTCACCAACCACCTCCTCCTGTCTCAGCAATGATGTACCCTGCGTGGAAGCCTGCTCACGATCCGATCACCACCTGCGAAGATTCCGAGATTGCTGCTTTTCATATCGTTGTCGAGATGACTGCCTGCGTCTAGAGGGACCTTTTTTTCCGTCGCACCTGAAGGGGAGTCACACTGCTAACCCGGAGTTGACTACGCGCCGCCACGCCACATCGCTCCTCCACATTAATACCGGCTGTGCCTCTCCTTCTCCTGTGAATTTGATACCTTGCATACCGACCCTGTCCCCTGACGCTAGTCATCTCCTTTCCCTCTCTCTCTCTCGCCTGTTCTGCTTCCTCGTTGTCTTGTTTATTACTCTTGGAATCCCCGCGGGTGGTGATCGGAGTCATCCTCTCTGTCTTCCCCTGCCACTAGCTTCTCATTCCTCCGCCGCCTCCTCCACAAAGCTACCCAAGCTCAACACGCCTCAGCTACCTCTTCCTCGCCTCCGCCATCACACACCTCACTGCCTTCCTGCTGCTCCTCTGACGCGCTCCTCTGACGCACTCCGGTAGCTACGATCACGCCTTACCTTCTCATCCTTCCATGCCCATCATAGGGTGACTCATCCCTTATATCTACATAAACTTTCATCCGTCGTCATCACATTAAACCTGGCTATCTGCTGAGTTTAAGAAGGTTCCCCGTCGCCTTTATAACTAATAAAGACGGGTCTTGTCCCCTCGCTGCCTCTTCACGGTTATTATCCAAACGGTCTATTTCCCCCCGGCAAAATTAACCCGGATCATATATCGTCCGTTACCTCTGTATCCCCCGTTTCCGCGTTTACCTCTGTTGGTTTGATATAGAGTGAGCGCGGCCGTGCGTCGGATATATCAGTAATGGACGCCCTGGATTTCAAGTTTGCGAATCCAGGCATTCAAAATTCCTTCCAACAGCCCTACCCTTACGCCTCGTCGATAGCATCCTCCGCCTCCTCGTCCTCCTCTTCTGTCTTTTCCTTCGACGGCCTCTCTTCCTCTCAGAGTTCAATCTCGTCTTCCACCTCTTCGGTCGACATCATCTGGGAGAATGAGGCGTCCAGCCAATCAAAATGCAGAGGAGTGAGAGTTGAGTCTGGTTCACGCTGCATTCAAGGTCAAAAGAGTTACGCTGTTAAGGCCACGGAAACTTTGGTGGCGCCTGAGCTTCGCCAACATCCCCGACGGAGCTTTCGCTCTGATGCATCAGCACTCGGGTCGCGCTGTGCTCGACCACCACCTCCATTAACACGCGCATCTCAGCGGAGAGTCAATTTTGTTGATCACCTTGTCGGTAAGTGGGGGAAAAACCATTCCTATCTTCTTGCTTTATGTTGTGGTTGTTGTCTGACTGGGATTTTCTCTTTTTTTTTCTTTTTCTTTCAAAAGACTCCGCTGCGCAAATCGTAGAAACCATATGGCCACTTTCCGTCGTGGCTGCCCGTAGTGACTCCGCTCTTGGCTGCAAAGGAGTCCTACCCCTCCGAAGTTTTATTCAGGAGACTCTCCGCCGTTCTCGTACCAGCTACTCTACGCTACAAGTCGCGCTATACTATCTTATCCTGATCAAGCCACGCATCCCAACGCATGACTTTACTGTGGAGCAGTCGGGAGCCCAGCAATGCTCACGTGCTATGCAGTGTGGGCGACGAATGTTTCTCTCGGCCCTCATTTTAGCTTCAAAGTATCTCCAGGATAGAAATTATTCCGCTCGGGCTTGGAGCAAGATTTCCGGTTTGAGTACCACGGAAATCAATCAGAACGAATTGATTTTCCTCAATGCAGTTGCATGGAGACTACATATTTCGGAGCCTGTCTTTCAGCGGTGGTCTGATATCGTCCTACGCTATACTTCTTCTACCGATGGTGCTTTTAACGGTGACGGTCTTTCTTGGCGGTCCATCATCCCGTCTCTCAACCCTGAGCTTGATACCATTGATTTGGACCCTGTTCGGAACGGGCCCGTTTCAATTCAAGATCTGCTCTCCCCCGTTACGACCCCATCTCCAAGTCGCTCTCCCGTTTCTGGATATCAATATCAACCTTCGACATACGATCAAACTCCGACTTATTCGCACAGTCGCGGTGTCCGGAGCACTCTGGGTGTGGAGTCGGCACAGGAATTGCGGTTGCCATCTCTCCCAAAGCTTGGTGTTCTTCCAACCCCACAGATGAGCCCACAGAGCGTTTCCGACAGCACTCCTGCAGCGGGTGCTGTTTCATTCACTCCTCGTGGGCCGTCTATGACTTGCGCCATGCGACAAGCACAGAGGTGTGCTCAACGTACAACTCTCGACCAGCGACCACCGTTACGTGCGTTTAATAATAAACCAGCTTCCTACGAGTCGTATCCTCTCAGCACTCGGCGTTCGTCTCTTGCTCGCTCCTCCACGTCGTCTCCGGAGTCGATGATATCCGATGTTCCATCCTTGGCTTCGTCACTGTCCAGCCGCTCCTCTCGGTCCTCCTCTATTTCTTCTGTTGCGTCGGGAACCTGCGCGCCCACCCTGCCTCGCTTGGCTACTCGGGCGATGCGTCGCGGGGCAAACAAGGAGAATAGGAAGCCGCTCGCTATCGGGTCGCCAATCGACGAAGGATCTTACCAGGATATTATTTATACTTCACCCGAGCCTATGTCCGCTTCCAGCGTCAACGTTCCAGATCTGACCAACTTCTCTCTGGGCACGCCAGTTGACAAGGCTCATGAAGCGGCTCAGAGCCTTTGCGAGCTCTCTGCCGCCGTTCCTCGCTCCACTCCATCTCTGTCTGCTTCAAGCTCGCCTAACCGGATGTCCCGAAAGCGTGGACGTACTAACAGCTCTACTGGGATGGTTCTACAGCACCATGTTCGTAACCTCATATCTTTGGATGCCAGAAAAGACGAGGATGATAGCACCTATGTCATCCCGGACAATCGGGTTGCAGACTCGTTCTTAATTCCACAGCCCAAAGCTGTGCAATCCCCTGCGCGATGCTCATTTGGTGGTCTCCGGTTTCCCCTGCCACTGTCGTTCCCTATGGAGACTGGGAGCGTGAAGCGTGCATGCTGTGGAACAGAAGCAACGCAAGTTCCCTGGGGTATGAGCAGTGCATCAGCAGAGAGTGTGGTGGATATGGTGGACTAGACCAAGCCTGTCTATCCATCCACCTGCTTTCATGTGGATGCGTGTTTAATCCATGGGGATGGCATGTCTTGATGGTCAAGGTACAACATTTCCACTTAATCTGTAACCTTGTTTCCCAACTTCCCTGGATTCTTTGGTGTTTGTATGATGGAGCATTTTGTAAACCTTATGGAAGGTTTGCTTGTTTGTGTTGATTCTTTTATCTAGCATTTTGTTTCGATCCCTTCTTTTCCCCCTTTGTATCTTTTCCCTATTTGTTCCTCTCGCCATGTGATCTCTCAATGAAGTTGCAAGAATCATTGCGCCGTGAGTGAGCGGACACAGGAGCATGAAGGAGTATGGGAGTCCCTATGGAACTGAAAGGAATTCCCCGGCACGATGAGATGCTACTATCTCAATTTCGTATTGTATATAGCATACCTGTGGCATCTTTTAGGTATCTACGTACCTGCCTGCATGCTTACTGGTCACCCTGACTGACGAACCGAACGAACAACAAACAAGCATGAGACTTAGCTGTCTAACAACATATTAACCTTAGTATAGATAGCTAGCCATCTACCTCAATGACACTACTAACTTTAGATCTTTGTTCTCCATGTCAGCATGAGAGACTGTTTCATCTTGTCGCTGGTTGTCCAGTCTGGCTCAGCCACCAAGCCGTGAGCCCAGCCCAAAACAGCATAATATTCTCAAGTTTCATCAGCCTGCTGCTTGATGATACCTGTAGGCAGCACTCTCCTCTCTGGTGGCAATCCTCCTTAACCGCAAATTGCCATCATGCTTGGCTTCAAAACCACCCGAAGGCCTGCCGCTGAGAACTCACATGACATCCCCACTGAAAGTGACCTCTCAGATGGTTTCTCTCTCGCCACCAAACCACCCACAACTCACACCACTTTGATTTGTGACATCCCAAGCAAAAAAGGGGGTGCCTAGATTTTTAATCCATCATATTATTGATAATATCAAGCTAACTTGACTCGAAAGACAACTTTTTCCGCAAACATCATCCTCCAAAACGGGATAATAAGGGAGAGGAGGGCGGGGGGGCGCGGCTTGTAAATTTGAAGTCATGGATGTGCCAGACTACCCTCGGGTGATGTGTCCTCCATAGAACGAGGACGGTGGAAAGTCGTTCAACGTTGGCGGCGAAATGACCAATCAGGTGGCGAAGATGCATGTAACCACGCAAGGCCTAGCTTTATCTGCCTCCTTGGCCCGAGCCTTGGTCGTTCACGTCGTATCATTTTGTGCAGGAAAATCCCCAGTTAACGAGGACGGACTCCTTGGCGGTGGTTAAAGAATGCTTGATCAAGGGTTGGTGTGGACAACTTCGTTATGAATGATAATGGAGAAATGGCTTGTGAGATGACTGCGGAGTACGGAGTACAAGGCCACGGGTATTCCTCTGGATTTTATTTTATTTTTTATGGGGAACTCTGGGATTGTTGGTTCTGAAGCACGAAAAGCTGAAAAAGCAGCTAATCTCTGAGCAGATAGCCGGGATGAAGTTTTGACGGCTTGCAGCTTACAAATGCAGGTCATATCCTGCGTGAAATAACAGAGTATCCCGGGAGCGTTTTTTCTGATCACGAGTTTGGCTAAGAACAGGATATCTGACCCTCGCTTTTTTCCGCAATCAGGCCACAGTTGTGAGGTCAACATGGGCTGATTAGTCGGGTGCGCGGATCATGGAATGTTTCTCTTAGGTACATCACTAGGGGATATCATAAAGATAGGTATCTCGATTTTTCGCCAGGTAAACAAATGGGCTTCCGTTTTTTATTATCCTTCAGGCTGGCTCATGCAAAGAATATGTCTCTCCTTTTCGCTCAGTCCCGGAGCTTCGTCGGCGAGTCTTAACAATGTGGCGGATGCAAGCATGGGCTTACTTCCGTGGCCAAATAGACGATATTGTGCCGGAGAATTTATTCCAAGGTACACTGCCTTGAGCACCTTGACTGCTGTGACAGGATTGGAGGTGAAGACCTTAGAAAACAGGCGACAGAATGTCGGATTAGCGCCGATATCCCTCAGGAGATCATCGCAGTAAGGTAGGTAGCGAATGGTGACAGTGTGTCGATCGGAATTCACCATCTCGGGCCTTTGGGTTAGTTGTTGTTATGGCGAAACCGGTCGATGCTTGAACGGGTCAACTTACCACGGCAGCTAGGCGCGCTTGGTACGCGGCTATCGATCCATACATCATCTTGACGGAAGGCAGCTTGATCCTACCGGCAAGTACCGAAGTCGCCCATCTTGCCTGTGTCTCTGAGACCGGGACCAGAGGGCCTGCGAGCTCAACGAAGCCGATGAAAAACACGTTCGGGAAGGTTGGAGATGCGACTAATTTATAGAGTTCCATCGAATTGTTGGTGTTAAGGATTGGATTATGGTTATTTCGGTAACTCTCCTCGGGTACGTACGGAATGCTCATGTGATATCCAGTGCAGCAGATGATAACATCGACATCAATGAATGTACCGTCAGTTAAAATCAAAGATGTCTCTGAGACTCTTTTCACTCCAGCTCTGTGAGGGATGATACGACCGGTTTTGATGTTTTCAAGCAGGTCACTTCGCATTGTGACATTTGCTTCCATGAGCCCATGCTCTGGCTGCAGGACATCCGGGAGCTTGCCCAGAACGTGGTTGCAGAGCTGCGTTTGGATCCACTGGGAAAACTTGGATGGCAAGATTGTTTCTGCGACACGATCTGCGTAAAGGTAAGCGTTTATCAAGAACGGTTTGACGCAGTGAACTCACTGTCATATGCCTCTGCCGGTTTGCCCAAAACGAAGCGAGGGACGATCCATCCGCCTCTGCGAGTAATAAGATGCAGCTCTTTCGCCTGCCAGCTCAACTCAGAAGATAAATCTGCGGCGGAATTACCGAAACCGATGATGGCGATTCTTCTTCCTTCAAGTGCGCCTGGGCGCCTATAAATATGACTGTGGAAAACGTCACCTTTGAATTTCTCCAGTCCCTCAAACATGGGAATAACTGGGTCTGCAAGCGCACCTGAACACGCGAAGATCGCATCGTAAGTATCTTTGACAGGGGATCTTCCTTTCTGGATTGTCTTGACACTCCATTTCCCTTCCTTGTCTTGTGAGCAGGAAACGACTTCGGTGTTCAAACAGATATGCTCTCTGAGTCCGAAATACTCCGCATACTCTTCGATGTATCGCAAAAAGCGCTTGTGACCAAAGTAGTCGGGATAGCGGCTAGGGTCCATAGGAAAGTCGCTAAAAGTCGAGGTGTCACGACAAGAATTCAACAAGACTCCTTCGTACATCGAAGAGGATGTTTCGCCGGTAACTGGATCTGGCTCCTCATAGCACCACTGGCCTCCGATGACAGGACGAGCCTCGAAGATTGTGGCATCGAAGCCCTCCTCGAGACACTGTTTCAGGGACGCAAGTCCTGAGAGACCTGGTTGCGGTTAGTGCCGTTGTCTTTGGATATCCTTTTGGGAGATCTCGCACCGGCCCCGATGATTGCAACCTTTGGAGCCATTTATTCGATGCTGGTTCGTAAGGAAAGAGACGGTGAGAGGGACGCGAAGTCAGATCGTCACAGGCACAATAGACACAATAGTATCACAGTCTTATCGTTCCCATGTGATACAACACGGGTCTTTCGGCGCGTCCGGGAAATTGCCGGCAAGCATAAGGATACCTAAATAGATCTCTGTGAAAGTACATGGCTCGCGTTGCTGAACTACGGGTGGATGAGTTGGCGGTTGGAAAGGGGCTCTTTCCCAACATCAGGGTAGTTAGAGTTACCCTGGTAAGACTTAGCCGGATTCTCAAAGAGCGTGCAGGCAGGGATAGAATTCAATATCACGAATACAACAGTCTGTGCTTGAGCTGCATGCATTCTGTTCAAAAGCATGATGACCAGTGAGAACAGATACCATTGATTCAGTTTTTGGCGATAAGTTACCCATCCTCTGATAACACGCAAGCTTGCGTCCTCCAGCAACGCATCACTATAAATCAATCAAATGGAAAAAGATGCTTTGATGTTCAGGCTTGAGGAGGGTGTGTGTATAGATCACCACAAGCCAACGAAAAAGCTCCTAGGATTTGTTGAATCTACACTACATGAGAGAATCAATGGAGTCAGAAGAGGAATGACAAAGCCCATGGGAAATAGAAGCAGTGATCCCAATACCAAGGGGAATTTCCTGGTAGGCTTTTGCGAACACGACTCCAAGGGATATCCCACTAACCTCTGAGGCCAACATGTTTGAGACTGACAGTTCAAACACTTTTGAATGGCGATACCAGTTCATTTTGAAAGAGAGGGCATCTAAATTCCCAAAAACATCATTATTATAGAGTACGCTGGAACAGGACGGTTGATTCCACATGGCTTGCATATCCCCTAGTCAATCTTTTTTTGATCCGGAAGTCTTTCCTTGACCCTGAGCTTAGCTCCTGGGTGGCAAGTTTTTGGAGGCTGTCAGCTAGTTAGTTACATAAGCGTGTTTGGTCCCGCGGGATATACTGAAATGCCGATGACTTGGCGGAGAAACGCCAGAGGGTTTCTCTGGTGAGGGACGTGGTTCATCGGATACGCTGCTGCGGGGCCAAGAATATATCGTTGTTTGCAGAAAACAAGGCCTGGCAACAGCTTATCACTCCTCAGTTTGGGCGAAAGATACAGAGTAACCACCTTGAATATGACGGCAACTGACCAGGTGAGAATGCACAGTGCTGAAATAGAGTCTCCACTCACGAAATGCTTACATGGCAATCAGCAACCAGCAGGAGATCCTGCTCTGCACAAGCTAAAACCGGGGGTTGTCTATCAGCCTTTGCTCAATAGCATTCCTCCCCAGTTGCTCCCACGATTTGATCCTGTGTACGTCGAGCACTATAATCGCTACAACGTTGGCCGGCTCCATACACACCAGGTTCCGATAGAAGAATTTAGAGCCAACCCACAAAAGTACCAAATTGTATACGGCCGCGCCGCTGCACCAGATATATACAAGATCACAGAGCAGAAATGCTCTGTAAAAGGAGGAGAAATCACGATTCGGATCTTTGAGCCCAAGCCAATACAAGGAGCTGACGGCAAACCTAAGAAGCGAGGGTCATACATCAACTTCCACGGTGGAGGGTGGGTGTTTGGAAGTCTCATCGTAGATCATCATTCCTGCAAACGCATTGTGCATGATTTAGGGGGAGATGCTGTTGTTTTTGACGTAGATTACCGTCTGGCCCCTGAATACAAATACCCCACCGCAATTGAGGATTGCTGGGCTGCTTTCCAATGGGTATGATCGAAGATTTCCTTCGCACATAAAAGCGGCCAGCTGACCCTGTGTTCAGGTACGCTCGAAAGCCGAAGAGTTTAACCTTGACACCAACCGGATGGCTGTTGGAGGAGCTTCCGCTGGTGGCCACTTGGCCGCCGTGGTTGCCCATCTCTGTCGAGATAATGAATTTCCACTTAGCCTTCAAATCCTCACGGTACCTGTGACGGATATGCACAGCTCCTTCACACCTGGTGGCAAATTTGACCGTGAAAAAACTCCGTACGAGTCTTACCGCGAGATGGAGTTCACTCCTGCCCTTCCTGCTGAGAGGATGGCCTATTTTCATAGACATTGGCTCGGTGTTCTGCGGCCTGAAAAATCTGACGATGTAAGTATGCCTGGGATGAAGTTATGTGACTTCGTCGTTCACATGGGTCGTGGCCATCCAATCTAACATTATCCACGTAGGATTGGAAGATATCTCCGATCCTTGCGCCTAATTTTGCTAACCTTGCTCCCGCACTGGTTTGGACTGCGGAAATGGATCCTCTGCGTGACGAGGGTGAGGCGTACGCTGCGAAAATGAAAGCTGCAGGAGTTCAAGTGGAATTGATTCGTGTGCCAGGCGTTCCGCACACATTCAGTGGCTTGGACGAGATATTGGAAAGCGCAAAGATGTTCCGTCGAAAATGTGTTGAAGAGCTGAGAAAGAGCATCGGGGGATAAAAGGTACCGGGCAGTGAAATGGATCGTTACTATGCGCCACCACTAGTAACAATTCCTCTGGTACAAACACCCGGTAGAGAAGACTTTGAAACGATTCTGGTCTTGAATATGCACCTTTTAGTGAGAGCTTTAGTCCTGGCATTCAGGGATGACAATGCGTCAAAAGATAGCCGTTTGATGCCAAAAAAAACCCAATTCTTCTCCGACAGCATGGAAGATCGTTTTACCGGTATGATTGCGTTACACATCATTACACCCGTTATTGGTGGCGCTGTGGAAGAATTGGCGGCAGTGCGTGGGGACATTACCAAACGATACCGTATCCGCACCGGCGGGAATACTCGGGACAAAACCTGGGAGCTTCCCCAACGGCGACACAAAATGGAAATCGCTCATCGTGGCCAAAACTTTTCTCTCTGTCAGTTGCATTCTTCTCCAGCATTTGCCAAAAGCGATTGTAGATATCCTTAGACCTTCTTGATATTGTATTAGACCTTTTACCTTTTTATCTGTTCTTGTCTCGCTATTTAGGGTTTTGAATTCCCTCATCTTGACTTTCCTCCCCTCACGCCATGCTTAATTCCACATCCCGCAGCTCCCTCCGGGCAGCGGCATCGCTGCCACATGCTTCTAGATCCCAAACCTCGACACTATGCCGATGGAGCCCCTCGTCTCATCTTGCGACGCTCTGTCAATCACGCCGTGCCATTAGTTCTCTCCGCCCACCCATCTATCGTCCATCATCGTCGTTTTCCATTGCGAAGTCTGGATTTGGCGCAAGAGCATTTGGAAGCACAGCAGTGAACATGGTGGGTTTGCGGAAGGTGGCGGCCATATTTTTGGGAAATACCGCTTGCTAATAGGACTGGGCTTTGATAGTCGTCTGGTACTCGTACCGAAACCGATGCGTTCGGTGAGATTCAGGTTCGTTGGTCTTAGGATTCCGTTCGGGTCGACAACCGTTCCGATGATATTGACTCGTCCTTGTGTAGGTCCCTTTGGACAAATACTGGGGTGCTCAGACGCAAAGGTGAGGAGACGCAAGATCGAATATCTTAAGAGATGGTGGCTGGATGTTAAACATGGACTTGTGAGGATATAGATCGTTGGGCAACTTTAACATCAACCAGCCGCAAGACCGGATGCCACCAGCGATTGTGCGAGCCTTTGGTATCCTCAAAGGTGCTGCGGCAACTGTCAACATGAGATATGGGCTCGGTATGGTCGTCTTGCCTTATGGAACATTGGTGATCGGGAGCTTATGATAATCTAGACCCAACCGTCGGAAAAGCCATTCAGCAAGCTGCTTCGGAGGTCGCATCCCTCAAACTTATTGACCACTTCCCTCTTGTTGTTTGGCAAACCGGCTCTGGCACTCAATCCAACATGAATGCTAACGAGGTTATTTCGAACCGTGCCATCGAAATTCTTGGTGGAACTAAGGGTAGTAAGAAGCCTGTTCACCCCAACGATCATGTCAACATGTCTGCTTCCTCCAACGATACCTTCCCTACAGTCATGCACATCGCTGCTGTCCTCGAAACCGAAGAAACCTTGCTTCCGGCTCTTAAGAGCCTTCGAGATGCGTTGCAAGGGAAGGTTGAACAGTTTGATAAGATCATTAAGATTGGTCGCACCCACTTGCAGGATGCGACTCCCTTGACTCTAGGACAGGAATTTTCTGGCTACGTAGCTCAGCTTGACCGAAACATCACGCGCGTTCAGAATACTCTCCCCGACCTGCGATTGCTTGCACAGGGTGGTACCGCTGTCGGTACTGGATTGAACACATTCAAGGGTTTCGATGAAGCTATCGCTGAGGAAGTGACCAAGATGACCGGCACTGAATTCAAGACCTCTCCCAACAAGTTCGAGGTGCTTGCTGCTCACGATGCTATTGTGGAGGCTTCCGGCGCTCTCAATACTCTTGCCGGCTCTCTCTTTAAGATCGCCCAGGACATCAGATATCTTGGATCTGGCCCACGATGCGGTCTCGGCGAATTGATTCTCCCTGAGAATGAGCCTGGATCTTCCATCATGCCTGGAAAAGTCAACCCTACTCAGTGCGAGTCTCTGACGATGATCTGCTCCCAAGTCATGGGCAACCATGTTGCCACCACCGTTGGTGGAATGAATGGGCAGTTCGAATTGAACGTGTTCAAACCTCTGATGATCCGCAATCTCCTCCACAGCATCCGTATTTTGGGCGATGGAATGAAGTCCTTCGAGAAAAACCTTGTTGTTGGTCTCGAAGCTGATGAGAAGAGAATTGGATCTCTTCTCCATGAAAGGTAAGTGGTCGTCTGACGTGCCAATTCGTAACTTAGTGCTAATCTCTTCCCTCGCTCTCCAGTTTGATGCTTGTTACCTGCTTGAACCCCGTTATTGGGTACGATATGGCCTCTAAGGTGGCCAAGAACGCACACAAGAAGGGGTTGACTTTGAAGCAGAGTGCGATGGAGCTTAAGGCCCTTAGCGAGGAAGATTTCGATAAATATGTACGCCCCGAGTTGATGATCAGCCCCAAGGAGAAGAAATAGATGGACTGTTGGTTTGCTGGCTCAACCAAGTAGAAAGTCTGGCGCTTCGCCAGCATGTTCCGATTTGGAGGGGATCCTGGCATCTCCTTTGTATGCATAGACAAGCATGCATGTACCCATGCACTTTTGAATATAGACAGACAAGACGTCCATTCACAAAATCCCATTGAAAAATGCATTCAACTGCCATGTATGTACGTCATTTGTGACGGTGAAAAGCGCCCAAGCCACCCATCATGAGCCCCACGGGCCAAGCCGTGGCTGAGCGGTTGAAAATAGCAACCGTATCCAAGCACTAGTCCTAGAACGGCAAGGCGTCAATTAACCCCTGCCTTTCGCCAGGAACAACCAGGGTGCAGATCAGGTGGGGAGAAAAGTTGGCCGCCGAGTTGAGCCTCCTCTCCTTTTGGTCCTTTAAGCTTTGTGTTGGGTTGTTTGTTGCTGTTGTTATTGTTGTGATAATATTATTTATTCAATATCGTCCAGTCCTCTCGTTTAGTTAGGTGTTCAGTGTTCAGAAGATTTTCTTCCACCTGTTCCCATTGTTAAGAAACTCCTTCTGGGCAAACTGGCTTCGACACTCGCTTGATTCTTCTTTTAGCGGTACCTTTCGAGACTAATTTATTCCTATCCAAACTCAGATAACTCGTCGTCATGGTCATTCCAAACGGCGTCAAGCACGATTTGCAGTTACCTGCTGATTGTGACGAGCAGCCCCTCTTCCCGATGAAACTCATCTCTCCGGACGTTGCTGCCCAACTCCCCGAGGGCTACACCATCCGTCCTCTCCGCAAGTCAGACTTTTCTAATGGCTACCTTGAAGTCCTCCGCGTTTTGACCACCGTTGGAGAGTTTTCCTTCGAACAGTGGAGCGAACGCTACGATTGGATGGCAAAGCGAAACGATGAATATTATCTCCTTGTCATCTGTGACGAGACCGGAAGAGTCGTTGGGACCGGTAGCTTGATCGTGGAGCGCAAATTTATCCATGCTCTTGGACTGGTTGGACATATTGAGGATATTGCTATCGAGAAAAACCAGCAGGGCAAGAAGCTGGGACTAAGAATGATCAATGCCTTGGATTACGTTGCGGCGAAGGTTGGATGCTACAAGGTATGATGAAAATGTCTTGTTATTTTATTTTATTTTATTTTTTTGCACTCTCCTTTAGTGCAGATCCACCGAATAAGTGCAGCTGCTGATATGGACGTGCAGAGTATCCTTGATTGCTCTGAGGCCAACGAGGGTTTCTACATCAAGTGCGGCTTTAAACGCGCCGGACTTGAAATGGCTCATTACTATAATGTCTGAGATGCACCCTGACCTGCTACTCTCGCCCTGACTGTCGCATCCACTGACCGTTGGCTCAGTCTTATGGAATCTCAGCAGACGATTGTCGCTTTCTAAACCCCTAAACACTGGGAGTCATTCGTTTTTGAATCATCGGCTGAATTTGGACCAAGCCATTTCCTCTGATATAGAAATGGGTTGCGGCGAAGGGCATGTCGGAGTTTTAAATGTTACAAAGCAAGATTGCTGACTAGATTCATTGAGGAATTGTGGTTTGCACCCTGGTCCACTTTATGATCATTCCTTTGGTTTTAGGGTTGGCAAAGGTGTTTGGTTTTGAACTCATAAGGTGGCTTCTTTTCGTCCCAAGATGTTGCGACTGGGTGATTTCAGTTCAAGTATTCTTTAGAACCTACTCTGCTGGTGTGATACACTTAGGTAACATCTACAATCAATACCAAATACACACAAACAAGATAACTAACCTCATGCGTTCTTTATAAAACTCACCGCATAGCTACTGTTGCTCACAATGTAAGCCCCTTCAAATCAGAAGAAAGTAGGCATCAGGGTTCAGAGGCTTCACGGAGGGACCTACGTCATTCACATTTACAACGAATGTCACTATTATCACATGAATAAATCTACAAGCGGAACAAAATTCATACCCATGCTAGCAATATCTTTCGCATATACATCAATTCATTCCAAAGGACAAGAAAAAGAAGAGCATGCAGGAAGAAGGCCTTTCCTCGACGAATTTCGAATTCCGGATCTGTTTATGATTTGCTGCGAGAATGGAATATTTTCTTTTATCTTTTCTTTCCGTATGCGTCCCGACAGCATTTGAGAGAGAAGTACTAAATCATATTCATGATATCCCATGACAATACGCCCTCCCCATGACCAGGATTCCATGTGTATATCAATAAACAACATTTCCCGCCATTTCCTTCCGCCTTGAAGAACAGCATCCTGTCTGGTTTCGCCGTAGAGGTCGTTTTCTCACCTCTGTGCGTACGGCTGCCCCCCGAGCAAACCAAACCAACGGAACCGCGTGACGAAAACGTAAGGAAAGGGAAAACACCGTAACGGCCTTTACGATGTTGGGTTGGGGTTCATCTAGAAATACGAGAGTAATTCAGTTAGGTAAATACATCCGATTTAAGTCAAATGGGCGTAGCTCCCAATTTCCGATCTTCAATATCGGCATCGGAATCGCACGTACCTTGCGCTTGCCACCGGTCATCGTAACATTGACAAATCGTCTGGTGTATTGCAACCGCTTCTTAGCACGGCCCTTGGGAGTCTTCTTCTTCTCTTGAGGCTCGACCTATATTCGATAATCATCTCCGTCAGCCCGCCCCGCATATATTCAAATCGCCATCAAAACTCCCGCTTCCATTATGTCGCGGCCGAAATCAGCTTCGTATTCGTCGTTTTTCTTCCAGAAAACCTCTCGATAAAAAAAAGGCTTTTAAGCGATAGATGCCGGCGAGAGACATGGGTTACGAGCGTTTCCCAGAAAGGATTTCACCACTAACCTTTGGGGTCTGAGACTTGACTTTACCCGCACGAGCGAGCGAACCGTGAACCTTACCCATGATGTGCGGTCGGTAGGTAGTCGATGGAACTGTGAATTATCGACGACGTGGGAGTCTCTTCGAAGTTGGCGGTTGTCGAACTATCTGTGTGAAGATGGGGATCGAGAAGTTAGCGCCACTTTCTCGTTGAGTTGCTTAGGTAAGGCGGTTAAGCGAGGGGGCCAGTGCGACGCCTTTACGAACGCAATTATTGCTCGCCTGGACACTGACAAGAAGATGATGAAATGAAGAGGGTAGTACTCACGGCTTTTCTGAAGTTCGAGGAGTTGCTGAAGCTGCTGGATGGGGGTTCTCTCTTGAAGGCGACAGCAAGAGTTCTGAATATCAGGCGTTTAGCGAATGCCAAGACCCTACTTGACAGTCAGCGGATGAGTCAGTAGGGTTTTGCCCTATTACCGCTTTTGCTCTCCGCAGCCGCATCATGGCGTCTAGATAGAGCCCAGTTCGAGGCCTTGCGAGCTTACGATGGGAAGTCTCACCGCGGGGATAGGCAATGGTAGCTTACCGCCTGAGAATGGGATCGCGCTTTTTACTGTCGAAACGGATTTTATAATCCCGGTAGATAATTTCTTTGGTTCGCAGAATACGTATGAACAGAGGAGTGAAGCAGAATGATATTACTGATAATTGATAATGGCATCTATCCATTAACGGACCTTGTACTCAACAAGAGCGTCTCGGGGTTCATTTGCCCGTTGGAAATTTCTTTTCCTGAATTCGATAATGCGCGAGTCCTCTTCTTTGCGAGACAAGAGCGTGTTAAGCTACACAACATAAAGGAGCATCGAGAACCGAATTTCGCAAAAAGAGAATCATGATCCAATCTTTCAAGTCGTAGAATTCATCATCCCACGGGTGCCCTTTTGCAGAGGAATTAAAATCCAGTTTTATTTAGACCATGCCAGGCTCATAAATAAAGAACAAACACCAGATTTCTGACTCCCTTGTGTCATAAGAAACAGTAACACCATCCCATTTCACTACCGATATTCACCCATGCTTAACGGGTCTTGGCGGCAACCTTTGGTGCTGAACCCTTAGCGCCTTGCTTGCTCTGGATTCTGGAAGTCTGACCTCTGGAGGCGGCGGCGGCGGTGCGGGCCTTCTCTCTCTTCTGCTTCTCAGCGGCTTGCTTCTTCTCCTTTCCTTCCTTGATGGCGGCCTGGCGAGCGGCGAGACGGGCCTCAGGGCGCATGGATCGGCGTTCCTTGATCACATCGAGGGAAGCACCGACGATAGCACGCTGGTGCTTGACGGTACGGCGAGTACGCTTCTTGGCAACTTCCTGTAGATTGTGGAAAATCACCATGTTAGCCCCAGTCCTCATGCTTTCAATATTCCCGTCTTTGTTCTCCATATCGTAATCTGTTTGCCTCCTCAAATGTAGCGTGACTCGCGACTCTCAATGTTCCCGCACAGCCCATCCATATGCTCAAGGGATCGGGTTGTACTAACTTCAGAGATACCCTTCTTGTGCTGTCTTCTGTAAAGGACGGTCCAGGCGATCCGGCGAGGGTTCTTGCGTTGAAGGAAGAGGGATTCGGATTTGCCATTCTGGAATCTGAAGATCTTGCTGTCTCCACGGACATACAATTTACCCTATAATCATGAAATACCGAAAAGGTAAGCTTCTCCCTTCATATGCGCATAGATTTCTCGAATTGGCCCGAATTCTTCGATTGGACCCAATGCACAGTTGGAGTGTAGCGCCGGTTCGCTCGTTTTAAGGACTTTGGGCCGCAGGTTTCACGTACCTTTCCAGGGTAGATCTTCTCACCGCTGAAGGTATCGTCGTAGGTCCGCATCTTGGATCGTGGGGATGCGCAGCGGTCGTGAACGAGGTTGAAGCTGTTGAGTTGGTCGTCGAATTACTCGTTGCGTCAAGGGCCCGCCAACTTCGATGAGGTGAGGTTGTTTGGTGTGGTACCCATTTTCGCTAATGTGTGACACGTGACCTCGACTGCCCTCAAAAGCACGGGTAACTCCCAGCTCAGAACCACTGCAAAAGAGACCATCACCAGATCAGAGAGATCATAGCTACATTTCGATACTGCCAATAAGGCTTCTGGGTTATTAATTGCCCAATGTCCCCTCCTTCAAGTACCAATTCTGACCGTCCTCGTTGCATCTGGCTTCCCACTGACCTCGCAATGGGGACCCAAGCTGCCTCGATTGCAATGGACAGGGCTACAGACATGGATTCTGTACACCAATTTTAGATCATGGGAAATGGGCAGATGGTCCTCCAAAGCTGAAAACGTTGGAATCAGGCACGGTGCTTAGGCTGGTTTTTCCTCGGCATAATTTATGGGAAGACGGTGTTTACCTACTTTGCTTCATCTCACGATATCCGGCCGCGAGGCACGTTGATGTTGGGCTCCAACTACCATGATTGTCAGGTTGAGTATCGGGTTGAATAGCAAAGAAATTAGTATGATGTATCCGCTCTATCCGGAGTTTAATCTCGGAAGCTATCTAACACAATGCACCTGGGCTTCAACGCCTCACGGCTCGTTATCAAAAATAAGGGTCCCATGTTATTCAGAAAGGGTTTAAAAGATATCCCATTCGAAGTTTCTGCGAAGTTCGCGTTTGGACTTTGTTAACTCTATTATTAGCCAAAGATCTATGCTGGAGTAGCATATTTTCTTGTCCATTCTTTGGCTGTTTCAATAGCGGCTTGCTCATCTTCCTTCCACCGCTGAGCGACGTCATTTGCTAGTGGATCATCCGGATTCGGTGCACCTAATAGAGCCTGAATAGACAAGAGGATTGTTCGGATTTGAAGGGCAGGGGACCAATTGTCTGAAACGATAGAATCAGCTATTAGCAACAGGGAACAACGTGGAGCGGCGAGGGCGACACTCACTCTTCAATACATCAAGACAAATTCTACCCAGTCTGTCTATATTCGGGTGATATATTTTTGTCAAGAACCGGATTTTCGGAGGAGTCATCGGATAATCATCCGGCAAAAACAATTCTAACGAAAAAATACCACCTGAAGCCGCATTAACGCATTGCACCGAGCTCAAGTTTCTTCGAGAGCAACTACCTTCATATGGAGATTGAGAAGGACCATGTATTTTAACGTCAAAGTATCGCAAATTATCTTCATGAGGAACTGCATTGATGCCAGCAACACTTTAAGATACAATTCAAAGTTAGCATAGGCATGCAACTAATGAGGCTTCCGTTTATTGCTTACGGTTCCGCCATCAAGCGCTCAGTTTCCTTTACTATTCTCTTCGGAAGTGCCATATTCGCTGAGTGAAAGATGAGAAGAATCGCGATCCGACCAGACAAGTCCGGGTTGTAGTTCGTAAACAAATCCGAAGGTCACGTTTCCTAGTGCAGATTGATTCGTAGCTATCATAACAAGGGAAATATATGAGAAGACGAGTTGGCTTGGGGACTGCCTTTAGTGGCCCTTCACGAAAAGTGGTGAAAATTAGCTACTAAGGTTCAGAGCAGCTGCGAGATAATTCGTCGACGCAGCCAGCTAGGAGCAAAAACCAACAACTGGGAAATGGTAAACCCAAGGGATCTCCTCTGAACACAGCTAGTTTACCGGCAAACTTTGAACCACTTCAGTATTGACTGGATATCAAACGGTGATACAAACTGACCCCGCCATCAGTGCCAAGACAGGTCGTGCAAGGTTGAGAGTAGGTCATCTGACTGTCACGTGATTTAAATCCCATATCGGGAATAGAGCTGTGGTAAGGCCGACAGAGGTACTTACTCCGGACCCTGCTCCTGTCAACATCCTTTCAACCGGCAGCATGCCTTCAAGAGCTGCGTTTTCGAGATATCCATGCGCTTCCGTTTTGGGATTACTCCTGTAGCAGCATTCGAATTTCTTTAAGCTCTATCCGACCATTCTTCTTCGATGTTAACTACAACAGCGGCCACACGCCAGGATGAGACCAGGAGTAGCTCCTCAACGTATTATTAAACTGAGTTCTACGAGCCAGCCTTCCTTTGATATCTTCAGTAACTATAACTCTCACATGAGCGCTAATCTCCCTTGCCGAATGTTCTCTGGCTCCGGAATTGCCACTTCCCAGAGTCAAAATGTCAAGCCCACCGGTGTCAAGGGCTCCGATCTCGGCCTATGATAGCCCTACCTTCGGGGAAGATGGCTCTTTTCATGTCGAGCAACCTGTTGGATCTATGTCAATCTCCCCGTGTGGGAGAGATGTTGTCCTCGCCTCGTAAGCAACTCGAAATGCCTTTGGTTACTAGTATGGTTTCAACTGAAGGATGTCAATAGAAAGGAGGGTCTTCATGTTATAGACTTGGATAATCCTTATTCTCCCCCACGCTACCTTTCCCATAGAACTCCATGGGAAGTTGCCGATGTCCAATGGTCGCCATTTGCTGCTCGTGACTCGTGGGTCGTGAGCACGTCCAATCAAAAAGCACTGGTGTGGAATCTTGCTATGCGGTCGTGGGAGAACCCAATTGAGCACGTTCTGCATGCCCATTCAAGGGCCATTACGGATATTAATTTTTCTGCGCATCATCCGGACGTTCTTGCAACGTGTGCAGTTGACAGTTTCGTACATTGTTGGGATTTACGAATACCGGCCAAGCCTGTGGTGTCGTTTTCGGATTGGTTCGCTGGCGCTACGCAGGTGAAATGGAATAGACAAGATTCTCACGTTATTGCCAGCTCCCATGATCGTTTTTTGCATATTTGGGATGACCGCAAAGGCGCCTTACCAATCCGTACAATAGAGGCGCATAATACGAAAATCTATGGGGTGGATTGGAACCGGATGCGTCCGGAGGGCGTGGTAACATGCTCTCTGGATAAAACGATAAAGTTCTGGGATTGCTCAGTCGAAAGTGATATTCCAGAGAAAGTCATTCATACCCCTTTCCCGGTCTGGCGCGCCAGACACACCCCGTTCGGATGGGGAGTTCTCGCCATGCCTCAGCGTGGAAATAGCGACCTACATCTCTACAGTCGTACTTTCAAAGATGCACTAGAAGATGTTGATGTCGTCCCGCTAGTCCACAGCTTTCCAGGTCACAAAGGGCAAGTCAAAGAATTCCTCTGGAGACCTCGTGGAACTGTCATAGATGGGTTAGATCACCGGGAATTTCAATTGGTATCATGGGGAACGGATAAGGAGCTTCGCCTGCACAGAGTGGACCCGGAAGTATTGAAAGGAGTAGGCTATGAGAAAGGGAGATCATTCAACCCATCCCTTAACCTCACACGCAAAGGGGCAGTTTATAAGTCTTTCCATGATGAACCACATGGAATCGGGCCTTCTGAGCCACCTGACACTGCTTCTAACCGTGATTTGGAACCATCTCGCCAACCGGGCTCTGGGATGGGCGGTATTTCTATGCCTTATTCCCGTAGATGGACACAAGGAGGGCCTATGGTCCGGTTTGGAACGCATGGGAAATCGCCTCTTCGTGCAGACATGAACCCAATATCGTGGATGCGGGGTGTAAAAGTGTCAAGATGGGAAGTTGAAACCCTTGGGGATGAAATTACTCATGTTGGTGAACGATTTACGAGAGTTGCCTTTGAGTCTGTCAACGTTGGCCAGAGAAAAGTCACAATTTCCCTTCATGGGCCCTGGGGCCCTGAAAATGCCAGTGTCTTCCTCCGCATTGATATCAGGTTTCCCACGGAATATCCAAAGGCGGCTGCTCCGGTTTTCAATGTGCAAAAGACCACATCCGTAACTCCGCAACTGACGAAAAGTCTGACGTCGAGCTTACAAACTATATCTGAAGCATACCTTTCAAAAGAGCGAGGATGCTTAGAGGGCATCCTTCGGTTTTTATTGGGTGAATACACTCCCAAGGAGATCGTAGCCATGATCCAAGAGGAGCTAAACGAGGCACTTAAGTCACCCGATATTCTCGAAGATGTTGAGTCAAGCGATGAAGACGAGGATGTTGGCCAGTATCAGGGCAATGATCTCACTATGAGCTCGTCTGAATTGCTTCGTCCCGTGAATGCAAATGTTATGGTGCCTGTTAGAAGAAGTTGTGGTGCGCTTTGGGCTAATGACGGTCGCCTTGTTTGTTTCTTTCCACCTAAAGAAGAAAAGGTCGCTTCGTTTTTGGATTCGATAGGTCTCCGGGAAATGACAAGACTATCACGTTCTAACAGAGTTTTCGAGGCCTTTGGCAGGTTCCAAACAAAATCGCCTGGCCCAAAGAACATTACAGGGACCGGAGCTAGTACTGGCCCTTTGACTGATGATGATGCTTCTGATTATTCCGATAATTCCGATGAATATTCAAGTTCGTCTGGCTCTTCGGACCTACTAGGTGCTCTTCCACAGCATTTCCATGTCCACAGAACAAGTCACCTAGGCTTAGGCCGTGCAAAATCCACCGACAACTCGCAAAAATCTACTACCGGTATTTCTACTATGAAGTCATCAAACCCCAAACGACATAACACAATTTCTATCCACAAACTTACCGATCTTCTTCCGGCTAGACGGGATCTAGCTCAACAGTACCGCACCCATGGAAACGGCATAGAGATATGCTCTCACAATATGGCCGTAGCAGAAAATTTCGGGAATCTCGAACTTGCCCATACTTGGGGTCTATTAAAACTATTGATAGAGGAACAGCCACAGGCTGATGATGCCGCGCAACTAGAGGATATGTCTCATATGGCTTGTTTGTCGATGGGTCATATCAAAAGGAGAGATAGTGGCGTAGACCTCGCTTACGGCAACGGCATGAACACCATGACAGGCGGGATTGTTTGGGGTTCACATCCCTTCGGAGTGCACTGGTTACTACCGGCCCTGTAAGTGTAATCTGCGTGTCGGACAGTTTGATGCGAATCCTGTTGCTGACCAGCCTGCTCAGGCTTGATCATTTTGAACGACTCGGTGATGTTCAGATGTTGGGCATGTTGTCATGTCTTATAACTGAGCCAAACGTGAATGGTTCCAATTCTATAATGGACCACGAAGACCTCTTGTCAGATTCTCACGGAAATCCCTCGTTTTCGGCAGAGTATATATCACCACCTTCACTAATGCAACAAGCGAACTCAAGCTCAGGGGGCCTCTTCGTGTCTCCGGTAAAAGAGGGACCTCTCATTTCAGCATCCTACGGTTCAGCATGTTCGTCTACAGACCTATGGCCGTCGGAAACCCCTCCGTTGTATTCCACGGGAGCCACTCCGCCCACAGTCGTGCGAAGTAGCAAATCTGATCTAGAACGGAAAGCGCAGAGACTTGCTACACCAGTTTCTGGCTCCCCAGACCAGCCTTCTGACCCCCGAAATCTAAATATCGTGTCTACCCTTCCATCGTCGTTATCCCGGTCGCTACCCAACGAGCCATTGGCTGTGTCCTCTCCTATGAGTGGAAATTGCAAAAGGCGACCCAGTCCTGTTGGAAGTTTAACTACTGCTGGCCCTAGCGGGTGGACAGGAAATGGGGTTCCTGGCAAGCCACCTTCTGCAATACCAGACCATATGCATGCATCTACTGCTCCTCCGTCCCAAGCGCCTTCTGATACTGAAGTCGAAACATGGGTCTCTCAAAAGTCGACCAAATCCTCCGCAAAGTCGTCGCCCGAACCGAACCCTTCAAAAAAGTCTTCAAAGGAAATACGAGCGGTTTTCAAACATCAAGAAGACTTTGACAGCGATCATCTAGGCCATGCACCATCTTTAATGGATCATACTCGCGAGTCGCTATATCAAGCATATCGTATCACATACGCCAACCTACTTTCTGCCTGGGACTTGCCAATTGCCCAGCAAGAAGTGCTTGGAGTAAAGCATTTGCCATCCATCCAATCGAGTCACCGTGACCCTTGCCTGGCCGCTGTATCCTTCGATCTAAAGCCCAAAGTGGCAAGCGAACTTAATGGTCTAGGATTGCAACGACATTGTATTACGTGTGGGTCTCCTTTACGCATTTCAGTATTTTCCAAGGCAGAACCCAGAAAGCTTCCATCAAGAGGGCAGACATCTGGTGATCAGTCAGGCCTAAACTGCTCCGAATGCAAATCAGGGCAACAAAAGCGGCTATCTTGCACGGTTTGCGGTGGGCTGATAAACGGAACATTTTCTCCTTGCTTGGTTTGCGGGCACATTAGCTGTCGTCAGTGCCACGAAGAGTGGCTTATATTCAGTGAGAATTGTCAACGTGGCTCAACCCCTGCCTGCCCTGCTGGCTGTGGATGTAGATGTTCCGATCATATCACAGTTCATGTACCTTTCCCTGAGCGCCCACAAATAACGGTCACTATGGAACCCCAAGCACAACCTGACAAAGCTAAGAGTACTCGCCGGAGGCGCAATCGTACTGCTGACCTTAGGCATACGGTGTGGCCTTTAGCCCAGGTAAATCCTTACGAAGAGCAGGAATCCGTCGGGGGTTCTGCATCTAGGCGCTTCCCTTCCCTAACTCGTAGCCGGAGCAGTGTTAACCTTGAGCGTGGGTATCCGAAGAACACTACGAGGCGATGGAAAGACGACTTGGCGGAGTTGATGATGGATATGTCGTGATGAGCCCTTTATTCTGTTATCATATGTGGCTTGACTCATTTTAGCACTTCTTTTGTCCTGTCCCCTTTGCATAGCGTGGAGTTCTGGAAACATTTTCACCTATGGTGTTGATTATTATCGTCCCTTAGGCAGGTCATGACAAAACATGTGGGAGTTAGATACCCACAATGTATTCTGTAATAATATGAAAACAGTGCAATAGCCTTCTCTATACCCACCAATTCAAGCGATATCTCAATTCACTATCACAGCAACATGGTCGTCCATATACTTTTCAATATCGCCCAGGAAACACGCCGCGATGATACTTAACACGCCGAATGCAACGCTCGTGTAATACACCCATTTGTAACTCTCCGCAAATGCGACTTGGCCTGCACTTACTACCATCTGGTAAGCCGTTTCGTTTCCCGAAATTCCAGGGATATGTTTAAGATCGTTAATTAGTGATTCTCCGGTGAGTTTTATTGCTTCTTCAATCAGGGCTTCGTCTTTTATTTCGAGTTTGAGAGACATGGTACCGCCGATGTACTTTACGGCATTGGGAATAAATTTGGATATGAAAACGTTATAGTATATTGTGTAACCGATAGAGCCGCCCACAACGCGGATAGAGAGGGTTACAGCAGCAACAGTTGCGATTAGGTCCTTTTTGGAGATTAATAATTTTATAATCCTATGATTTTAGCCGGGAATAACGTACATCAGGGCATATTATTGTGGTTATGATTGAGGCCGGGACGACGATGCCGCCAATTCCAAGGCCAGCGATGATGAGAATTATCCATAGTGTGCTCATATTGTCGACGTTAGCGCTCGCCATGGCGCCGCAGCCTGCGGTAACCCGATTAGTCAGTCATAAAGGCGGGAAGTAGGAATATGGGGGCAACATAGATGAATACCTGCGGTCATAAAGACGCTGCTAATAACAAGGAGCTCTCTATTGCTACCTTTCAAGACACTGAGCAAGTAGAGCACAATGCAAGCGCCCGCGAGAATGGAAAATCCGACGGGAATCGTTCGAATGCCAACTTGGTAGGGGTCATGGCCATATACATTGAATGCCTGCGATGGCCAAAACATAATCAGAGAGAAAAGGTTGGTGCCAGAGATAAAAGTTATCACCAGGGTGAGAGCAAATGTACGTCTCTCCTGCTGCAGACGCCGGGGCAAAATCGGATGCTCTGCACCGTATACTTCCCAAAAAACAAATGCCACGAGAAGAGCAAGGCCAATAATAAGAGGTGCGAGGACATGTGCGCTGGCCCATTGGTACTGTCGCTTTGATTAGCGTTCCCTTTACAAATCATCCAAAAAAGGAGAAACAAACTTGATGTCCACCCCATTGAAGACCAGCCAGAAAGATTATTACGCCAGCAATGCTCAAAATACCACCGATAAAGTCAATGTTCCTTATAATTTCGTTCTTGCTAAGACCTTCAGAGTTAACCCGGGGAGGCGGATGGTAGAACACGGTCGTGACAACAAGACCAAGGCCATTCCAAACCCCACAGAAAAGGCCAATGTATCTCCAACCTGCGTAATATGCAATCAATTGACTCCAAAGACCAGATGCGGCAAATGGAAGAATGGTGAAAATCAAAATAGCAACATATTTTCCCCTCTGTCTAGTTGGTGCCATCTCGGACGTCGCAGCGAGAGCGGTTAATTCATTTACGCCGGCACCAGCGCCAGCAAAGGCCATTCCAGCTGTTCAAGATACGGTAAGGAACGGTTGCATTGCGGCCGGAAGGAAGTATATAACGTACCAATGAAAATATTCATAGATTTTGCAGTGCCGCCCACGATCATACCCAAACATACAAGTGATGCGCCAATTATGGCAACCCAGCGTCGGCCGATTAAATCGGATAGAGAGCCGACGAAAGGGCAAACGCCAGCCAGAGCCAAAAGGTTCGCGAGAACCTATCAAGTATTGGTGCTTAATATACAGCTTGATGCATAGTCAGGACCGAACAACTAACAAACCACACCCAGCGGTCACTGCCTCCAATATCCCCATAAATGTAGGGCGGACAACCACCTGAAGTAGATTTGAGTATTTAGTATCTGCAGTCAAACAGACAAATCGTCGCATATGTGCAATGACGAACCGAACAAGTATACTGGAATCTGGCTGCCAGTCCAAAGGAATGCCATGGCTACGAAGCTCATGAATCTCCGGGCGGTCATCTATATGGGTAATTGAGTATAAGCTCGCAGATACTGAGGTCGATAGTAAGTACCGAAGGCTCCTGGGTTTCTCCTCCGGATGCCTGGGCATTGGCAGGCAAAACATTATGGGCACCCTTCTCCTCATCTGGGGAGATGGATCTCGATTTTGTGCTAGAACACATTTGAAACGCTTTGTAGTGGTAGTATCGCAGCGTGACCAACTCTAGCAGCTGAATAACTGCTTCCCCCGAAACTGAGGCTGAATTGAGAAACTCAACCCCAGGAAAGTGTGTTGACAGAGGAAGATAGTTGTATCAGTGAATAGGAAAATAATAGTTTCCAAAAGAAAATAGGAAAGAATAAGGCATAGCAAATATGGTACGGGTTCTGATTGGGGTCGGTTCAGAGGGAAATCCCAGCATTGTCCGCGAACAATGTAATTGGGTCTGATAAAAGAAGTGAGAAACAGCGATTAAAAGCCACTCGAAAAAGGATCTTGACACTGCATGGTTCACAGCCAATCATGTAAGCCATGGGGTCGAACAGATCTGAGGGCTTTATCGCGGATACGGAACATGCGGGCATGAGAGCCGTTGTTGCGTACATGTGTGTATATATACAACAAAGAAGATCATCTCTTGTGGTATCCTTTGTCAGTCGCGACGCAGCGGCCAAGGTACTTCCACTGGGCGTGTTGCTGACATTGAAATCAGTGTTTCTCTGAGAGCTGATAGGTTCAGTTAGCTGTATGTTCATACAACACGCTGGACAGAATGTGGTAACTCGACCGCCTCCGGAGAAAGGGTTTGCAGAGCAAAGTTTTCAGCTCAGGTTAAACAAAATCGTCAAGTGTGCCAGGATGCACAATTTACAAATCATCAATCGAGTGTCAATTGGGCTGTATGGCGACGATCGCGTGTCAAGGTCAAGGGAAAGGCGGGGCTGAGGATGTGGTCATGGACGCAAATCCTACAGCTGCGGTTAAAATTTAACAGTCAAATTGAGAATATCGCACCAGTACGCCCGGTAAAAATAAAGCAGGCGGCATTAATCGCGAACAGTCAGCTGTTACTGCCAGGACGTGATGCATGCAGAGGTAGCTAGCATGTTGATTGCCGAGATCCGGGTCAGTTACCAACGGCTAACGCAACTCGTCCGTGTACTCTGTAGTGTTCAACGAACCAGAAAATAATATTTTTGTTGTGTATCCGTGGACAATGCATTTTCAATGGCCAAGAGTCCAGTTCTACTAAGAATCTTCGTTGGGGCCACAGTGAAGGGATCGACGGAACACCGCCTCCGTGCCTCGACTTGCATCGACCTTCTCTAGTTGTTCTAAGACCATCATTCTTGACCTTGGGTATAAATACCAAGGAATCGCATTTTGCTCACTAACCCGGTGATGGGAGCCACACTAGGTTAGGGTTACCTTGAACCCAGCTACCCTCGCATGTCTGGCAGATGTGGAGAAACAAGAGCGCACTTTGATACCATCATGCGTGAGAAGTTGATGACTTTGTATCAAGTGCCTGCAGAAATCTTGAGCCGACTTCTTGTTTTATTGTAGGACGAAGAGCTGGCCGGCGCCATTGCGCCCATCCTCTACCGACGAGGCATCGCACGATTGTACGCACAAAATGAAAAAGTGGTGTCTGAATTCCCTAAAAAGGATGGACGTGATCTTGGGGTCTCACGGCCTTTTATTAAGGCTTTCTATCTTTTGACCAACAGCCGACATTTTCATCCTAAATGTTGGCATTGGGTTTGTAAGTCTGATCTAGCCGCAGTTCCACTGAGTGAAATGATGACAATTTGTCATCTAGCAGTGCAGCATTGTATCTTGAGTACGGAGTATTTCTCTTCTAAAAAAAAAAGTGATGTCGTAAGCTACCAGCAGCCGTCGCGCAAGATCCATGGGGTTCATACACTGTGCCGTGCGATTTGTGTTGCTATCCAATATTTCCTTCCAGCTGGAAACATTGCCCAGAAAAGACCACTCAAAGCGATGCAAACCTTTTATAATCGTTTTAACTTACTTCAAAAGCCATCGCCAAGCTTTCTCAGGGTCAGGGTGCGTGGGACAACGAACAGTGCGCTCGCTTCGGTGCATAGACGGCCCATTGAATCTCTGATTTCCCCTTTTATCGCAGCCTTCCGATCGTTGCTTTTCTCTGGGACATATTTAGCAGTTACAGTACAGAATTGGCCTGACAGAACTGGTTTGCGGTAGTCTATGTTAAGATTGGCAGTGAGACCGGTGCGCGCTGGAACACAACGAAGAGCGACTCGACCCATGCCTTCATCCAGTAAGATAGCCAGCGCACCACCGTGGACTACTCCGGGCCATCCGTCAATTCCATTACCAAGGAAAAGGACAGATATGGCGGTTTTGTCCTTTTCGTTCCAAAATACGCGCTAAAAAGAAAAAAATCAGTTCCCCTTGCGTGAGCCTTAGAGAGGAGAGAAAAAAGGAAAAGAAAGGGAAAAAAAAAAAAAAAAAAAAAAAAAAAAAGGAGAAATAGAAAAAGAAAACGTCCAATTAAAGGAATTATTGATACGGTAGAATTGATACCAATATTGCCCAGGCTAAACGCTGAGTGATAACGTCGATATACTACGGAAACCCACTAACCTGCGACGAGAGGGCTCTACTACCCCTGAGCCCTCCGGTTGTAAGCCTTTTCCTCTTCTCTTCAGGCGAAAAGTTCCCGTATGCCTCCCATTCCACAAATTCCGGGTTTTCTCTTAACTCCTTCACAATGTTCAACTTGTCAAACTGTTCACGGATTTGTCTCTGCGCCTCCTGATCCTCTGGTGTGTCCGGCTGGTAAACAGGACCCGCGAACTGATCCACAATTCGGTCAATGCTATGATAGCCAAATAAGCCGAATATTATAGCGTAAAGAATTGAACGGAAATGTCGAGGCCATTGGGCGGGTTTTCGTGCCGGAGAAGAAGAGGATGTTGTCGTGAGAGAGCGTGTCGCGGGAAAAGGGACAGCCAGCCGGAGGGGAGAGGTAGAAGCCGGTCTTCTTAAGATATAAGAGAGAGGGGATGAGAGCCGCACTCCCCTTAAACGAGGCATGGCTGTCGTCATTATCTCAGGACAGAGTCGATTGTTGCAAATGTTAAGGAGTTCTCCCAGCGCCTCGAGTTGGTTCAATAATTAAAGCGGCGAGCACCCGGGATCGACCGAGGCACGCCTGTGGGCCAATTAACTAGTCTCGGGAGCTTGACGGGCAACATCACGCGTAGCTACGGAGCAGAGTCAACACATATCTTTGAAAGATTGACCACTTCATAGAGATTCGTTCACTGATATCCTGAATTAGAGCGCTACACGCGGAGTACATGGAGTAACATGTTGTTCAAATATATATATATATATATATATATATATATATATGAAGTTATCATATATAATTTTCACTGCGAAACACGCTGAAACACCTGCAACCATGGCGAGGCTGAATCCACCATTCCACCAGAAAATCGAAGTTGCACCAGATATGCTCTGTGTTGAAGACGGGACTCCTTCATTTAGCTCAGCTGGCGTGCTCGAATCGGGCTTATACTCTGTTAAGGAAATGCTATCTATGCCACCCTTGAGTTCCTCCGAAGGTGCAGCAAACGCCATTTGACTCCAAGAGAATAGCGCATTTCTTCTCCACAAACGAAGAATTCGAACCTCCCAGCAAATGAGACTGCCGCTTAATATGTCTATTTTAATCGTAATACTTGCGTTCAGAGGCACTTTGACTGGTTCGTGACTTGAGCTACTGGCATTGATCCAGATACGGCCTGGGTGACCTGGATCAAAACCATCCCGTTCGTCGACGTGGCACAAAGGATAAGAAATCCCGTTGGCTAATAAACATAGGCTTCCACTGTCATCCAAAAGGAATATACTATCGCTTGAAGAAAGGGTGAATGGTCCAGTGACATCGAGCATCAGTAGGTAGTCGATACCCTTGCTCCCGAGGCCCATGATGAGAGGGCCTTTTTTTGGTCGAAATGGCTACGTTTCCAAGAAACTAGGGAATCTGGAAGATCAACGCCATTCATTTCAACTGCCAGCCACCTTTCTAAGCTTTGAGCCGGCGCCGTGTCGCTGAGAATCCGCAGAGATTCGGTAGAGCCTGCTTCGTCGAGTTTCACACCACGGCTACCGCTCCAGGATCTCGAGGCTAGAAGTGAAATACCCATTTTCATGGTGTAATATGCTTCTAGCTGAGTACTGGCATCGTATCCATTGTCGTACCAGGCAGCCATGGTCGCCCCGTTGAGCCCCTTGGACTTGGAATCTAATTGCTCTTCGATGTTGTATGGGTCAATGAGAGAAGGTTCCCATTGCCAGTTCTCCCTGTCTGAGAAATGGAAAGATCACGAAACGTTGTAGAACTGAGGGTAGCGGGCTGGAAAACATAGGAGTGTGATCGTTCTTAATAGACGTATACACAAACTAATCCTCAGAATTAATGATTTTATACCCAGCTAGTTCAAGCTCGTACAAGTGGGATTGGTTATACTGCCAGTGTTGAATGATGGTAGTTTTTTGTCGATGGGCAGATGCTCGGCTGGCTCATAAGTTCCCCAGATCCGAACGGCTTTGCCTGCGGTGAAATTGATAAACTTGGGCATAATATACACGTCTGCCAGTGTCGGGTCGTACTCGTCGGCACCAATATGAACCTCCTTCGTCTCGAACCACGGGAGAAACTCTTTCCAAATAGCTTAAACCGTGGCAATAGAGTTTGGATGCGTGAGATTCAGAAGATCGTTCTTCTCGAGAGCAAGCTCTGGCTCCATCTCGTAATTACGAGAGCATGGCCAGGTGCCTCGATCTCTGGGATAACGGTAACGCCGCGCGAAACGCAATGCCGTTGGAGGTCCTCGAATTCTCGTCGCGAGAGGGTTTCATTTCGTCGCTCCACCAGAGGACTCAACTCCGGATCTTCAGGCCTTAGGGAAAAGTGCGAGTACACCCTGCTCCAAGTCTCGTTAGGGCCACGGTTAAGTGGATAGTTGTCCATAAGATGATATTGAAACTCGGACATTTGAAGAACGAGGCGAACGTGCACATTTCCCTGAGAAACAACAGCGAGTACCAATTTGCGACCGCAGTCGGGCATATAACCCGTGGTGAATAGGCGGAAGCGTCTTCAATACGGCCTACCATTAGCCGGTCTTCACCAGAAAGGACAAGCTGCTGCAACAGTGTTCGAGTTCCCCACCACATGCCACGTGCACCGGTGCGGTCGTTTTGGACTTCAAGTTCATACGCTTCTTCCGTAACTTCTCCGTTTTGATAAACGAGTTTGCTCGCAGATCTGGCGGATTTGCCGAGATAGATGCCTTTTCCACCTTTTGAAATACGATCAACCCGCTCCAGTTTCCATGAGGTACGAGAAATCCATTCAAGATCGCTGGCGAACGTTTCACCAAACTCGTATGCCGAGGGTGGTATATGCGTCAAGCCGTCCTTGTCTTTTATTTGCGCAAAGCTGGAATAAATATAAATTGTTTTTGGTACCGAAGAAAGAGAGAGTCTTTTCCAGGTCCCTTTGTCAACTCGGTTGGGGAAGTGTCTGCAAACCAGACACCACTGTAAGAAAAACGGCAAGCAGAGCAAACATTAGAGTCATCATGTTGCTAAAGGCAACCTGTGAACCAACAAGCGAGGTGTTAATATTCCTGTGTCACTCTCCAAAGAAATTGAAGCCCAGGCCAGTGAGACTCAAGATGTAATGCTCACTGTTGCATTTCATAACAGTGCAAGGAAAAGATACAGAGACATGCTAGCTGGATCATCCCGACGATCATCACAGCCGAGAGGCTAAGGCAGATCCCCAGTATTAGGATAAAATGCGCCGGAATCTTCTGGGCCGACAGCTTCGATTGTCATAGCGATAACTGGGGCGTATTATGATCCTGTGTCCAATTTCCTTTGTGGTAGGACAGAAACATAATATCTGGTGGGCTTGCAAAGTTGTGCATTAAACTGAGCATACGGTGGCAGATTGACAATCTTAGTATGTGGAATGTAACTGGGGCAATGGAGCACAGGTACCTCTGTATTTTTAATGTCACATACAACTATACATATCCAGCGGCATTCACAAACCCTTCATCGCATGGCACCCTGGAAGACTGGTAGAGCATTTTTAGGTTTGAATATCATAACAAGAACCCCTAAAGTTTGTGGTCCAATTCCAGGTCCAAGGAGTAGGCATATATGATGGAATTTAGATTCCACAGTGAACATAAACTTGTTTCATTCACTTGTCAGTAGGCTATCTATAATGATAATGTAACAGTAGTTCGTGCTTCTCATCACCAATTTTTGGGCCAGAAAGACATGATTTACCCCAAAGAGATCTATGGGCTTGATATGGGCTGACGGCCATCCTACTCTTGGACTTCCTCAGCAGTGGGTAAGTCAATGGCACGATAAAGCAGGATGAGGGCGGAATGGGATTCACCTAAAAAGTTCGCATGGATTAGCAAGGAGACAATCAAAATGGAAAAAGGAAAATAGCAGCCCAGAACGGACGAAAATTGGAACATACCTCCACCGGCAAGGGTCTCAATTTTCTCGTCTCCAACCTCAGATACCTTCTCGTCATTGAACCACCACCATTTGCCATCCTCTTCCCGCCTTTTTCCGCCGGGAGCTTTGGGATCATCCACAAACTTTCCTTGCTTTTTGACGTAGGCCGTATAGTGACCACTATCTGCACTAGCACCTTGGTGGGTGATCACACCGCGCAGCTCGTAGAGTCCAGACTTGTTGGCCCCTTCATCGCCAGCCAGAGACTTATCAATTAGATTGAATAGCTCCTTTTTCGCGGCGAGAAGCGACGCTGCTTTCTCTGCCTCATATTCAGCATCAGTTTTGTAAACCTCTGGTGGGCCGCCGTCATTTCCACTTTCACCGGATGCCTTTGACTCCGCCTCCTTCTTTTTCTGCAACGGTTCGCTTGCGGTTATGGTAGCCGCCTGCTCTTCTTCCTGGTGTGCTCGCTTTTGGCGCTTGCGAGCTCTCTCCATGTCCTGTTCGTCTTTCCGAATCTCCCGAACCTTATCTCTAACGGGGACAAGGTGTTGTTTTAGTTCATCTGTGCAAAACTCAACTACATCTAACTCAGCGGGGAAAGTGACTTTGCGCATGATCTTTGCTTTCTTCTGTGTGTCGCGTTTCCAGAAGAATCGCACGAAGTGGACAGTAAGATACTTCGGCAACCTAGAAATTCGTGACTTCTTGGTATACATGGCGTTTCGATCAAGTACGTCCGAATGTTTCTCAATCTTTTCTTCTAAACTGGCCATAATGCCGTCCCGGAGATGGTTCGTATCCTTGCCAATATGACAGTTTAATTTGAAGAAAACATCGGTAGATTCTATTGGAACTTCTCCCGCATCTCTTGCAGCCTGTTCATCGCACTCAAGTATAGTATCGAATCTCCCAGAGAGATATTTGTCAACGAAAGACACCTCTTTGTCTGAGCTTTCGGCGTTGGAATCTTTGATCACCAGTTTCTGGCGGAGTTGAGTAATGATCTGTGACCAAGCTTCTTCCGCATCTTGCTGCGCATAACCCCGACCATCCCTGGCTTTTTGTGCAAATTGAGGAAACGCGGATCTGAGGGCATTCAAAAACATCATTGGAGGGAATCCTTGCTGTGTTTCGGACATCTGCTTATATAAGTCTCGGAGTGAAGCCGTAAGGTCTGTGGTGCTGGAACCAAATATACTGGGCTGAGGTTGTCGCGAAGCTTTGTATTTTAGTAGCTCCTCTTGCAACTCCGGAAGAGCTCGTAATGTTTGCAAAGTCGAGTTCAAGTAGCAAGTGTTCCCAAGGTTTTGGAGGCCAGCGGGTGTGGCGCCTTCAGCTTTAGCAGCTTCAGCTTCTGTCATATCCTCCAGAAATTTAGGCACTTCTTTCGGTTTCTTCAAAGTTAGGTCAGCCTGGCCTGAACTTGGTGTTCCCATCATGATGAAGGTCTGGCCGGGTTTTGCCCCAAGAGAGGAAAGTTCTGTATCATCTTTGAGTTGTCCACCCTTCACGAGGATCTTCTGGCGTTCTGGTTCAACTCCTGTGAGAGAATAGAGTTGGAATTTGAAAGTCTCGCCGTTCGCAGCAGGGTCGATCTCGACCTCAAGGCGCTTGCCTTGATGCTTCACGATAACTACGAAAGAGCGCATGTCAGCAGAAGATCGGCACTAGTCCAGCCAAAACCCAAACACTCACCGGGTATGGTAGCCATGTTTCAAGACTCTTTCGCGGAGAAGACTGCAAGGTCGATAGAATAGCGGGATATCAGCATCGGAAAGTGTTTTGCCTCATTACATAACCGCCGTTCGTGGTTTGGAAAGGTTCAGGTCAACAGACGGATCGATGTGGGGGTACAAGCAAACAGTGCAAACTCTCCACGGCATCCGACGTCGTCAATCGGCGGGAGTCGCAAGGCCAGAAGCGTGCCCATCTCCTAGTGATTACAAGCTGCATTGATAAACGAACTCGATACCATAATTTGCTGATCACTGCTCTATGCCACACATAAGGAGATAAGTCCCAGGTTATCATAAAGCTCTTCGATTCGGTGGACGACGCGAACGCGGCCCCTCCAGGCATCTATCCTCCAGCAGGATGGTAAGGCACCTATGAAATATAACATCGGGCGGATGATTAACCGTAAATTAGTCTCAATCCTTACGGCCATACCTTCAATGCGTTCGATCCTCCTTGACCGCCGCTCTTGCTGTATCAAACTTTGCCTCACAGACCTCAGAAAGGCACAATGTCCCTGAAATCGAAGCCGCTACTTCGCCGGAGCTTCTCCTCAACCCCCTAACGATTGCACGTAACGAGAACGAGAAGGTTCTTATCGAACCTAGTGTGAATAGTGTTCGAGTCAGCATTCGAATTAAACAGGCTGATGAGATTGAGCACATCTTAGTACACAAGTTCACTCGTTTCCTAACGCAGCGAGCGGAGGCGTTCTTTATCCTGCGAAGAAAACCCGTAAAGGTATTACATGTCCAGAAGGACCTGTACGAGGGCAAGCCATTAACTCTATACATATAGGGTTACGATATATCCTTCTTGATAACGAATTTCCACACCGAAGCCATGTTAAAGCATAAGCTGGTAGACTTCATCATACAATTTATGGAAGAAGTGGACAAAGAAATCTCCGAGATGAAACTTTTTGTACGCACCCAACCGCTGTTGCGCATTCTCCTTAATTCTCAAGCTGTGAAGTACCGTATGTCCGCTAATAAACTCATAGTTAAATGCAAGGGCGAGATTTGTCGCAGAGTCCTTTTTGACACCAGTGAGTGTTCCCTTCAAGTCCTCGATTTATAGATACTAAGGTCTTTGCAGTTCGATTAGTATTTTTTATGATTAGCTATTACCTCAGCGCAAATATTCACGGAATTTATGCAACCATAAGTGTCCGGGCAGAGATGTCCCGGGTACCGATATCTGTGATCTGCCACATCTCTCTGACTATGTCCTTTATTGAACCGCTTGGTCAATAATGCCAGGATCCCATGTCAAATTTCTAGTACCAAATTCAAAATATTCGATAAACTGATATCTTCGGCTTTCCATTCTCCCGGCTACATTATCACCAGGGGCAATCTTCCACACTTGTATAGGCCATTTTGGCGACTGGGCACATCCTTCCTGCTCAACCTTTCATAAGTCATATGTCTTTCTTAAAGTGCAGTTCTATCAAAATAGATAGAACTTTCTCAAACGTAGTGCTCTAGAGCTCCGTTTGCACAAGTATGGCGGCTTTTCCCAACACTTTCAACTAGAATTGGCATTATTCTAAGAATGTTCGGATTTATCCTCTGGTTAACCACAATTCTTTGACCTTTAATACATATTCCGGTCAAAGAAGTCCCTTTTGTATACCCACAGACCTTTCTCAGCATCAAGCATACTGTGATATCAATTAGATATAATCTTTTTTCACCCTGGCAAGAAATATAACAGCTCCTGAGCATAGTCTTGAGGTTCATGTACCTCTGCCATTCTATTATTTATTCTTCTTATAGTACCTCAGTCCTCTTTGCCATCCCTCAGGCAATGTGCTTGATGGCGGATTCGCTCTCACAACTCAGAGCTGCATGGCAATCAATATGAGAAAAGTATCTCTCGGCGTCATGTCTTGTGAACATTCCGACTAATCATGCACGACTCAGCGGCACCTAGGCTATAGAGTTGTCGTTGTCGCTTGCAATTTTTGTTTCTCTTTCTTTGCTTCTCTTCATTTCATCACAGTCTTCTTCAATCTCATCAAGCTTTTTGTCTTGTTTCAACTCATCTAATCATAACCCTTTTTGCGTATCCGCTCTTGATCTCGGCATTTGACCTGTTGCAGAAAGACGCTCTCGTCTCTATGTAACTGGCACCCTGCTCGGGCTGAGTTGGTCCTGCGTGTCCCCTAAGGAAAGAAATCATGGCGAGACCCTCCTCGTTCCGTCCCCGAAGAGGCTGGAATAGAGCCCGCGGGAATTCGTTGACTATTGTCGATACCATCGATATGCCGGCTTGGACTTCACGAGCGACGGCTTTCAAACGTCGGCCGACCTTTGACGAAGGAAAACAACCTAAATTCTTCCCGAAAGGGTCCCGGAATGTTATCAAAAGTCAAGATGGTAAAGATCACGGATATCTCCCTGGGAAAAGTCACATGAACCCAGAGGCTCCTCCTTTTATCCCTAGTTACCAGGGACGACAGCAGCAGCAAAAACAACACGTCCAGGCTCCGTCTTATCAAGTGAACCGAGTTCCCACAGAAGGATCAATTCCTTTTCCCACAAAACATTCGCGTCCCCCTGTGTATACGTTTCCTGCCGCTCCGTTTCCATGCACCCATCAACGTTTCAACCCTCAGCCCTACGCTTCTGGATTTGAAATTTCATATTCTTCTTGCATGCCTTCTTTTTGGCCTTCATTCTCAGCAGCTGTCATTCCAAACCTTCCTTCTGGACCATATTACTCTGTGTCAATGGCTGGTTCTGCTGGAAACAACTCTAACAACAAACACTGGTCTTATGCTCCGCCAACTCAGGCTCACCGTGGTCCAGAAATAGGCCATCAGCTGCCAATTCAGCCGCCTATTCAACACCACGACAGCCATCGAGTTATGAACCCGTTCAACGCGAATTTCACTCGTGGAAATCAGGATCATGGAATGCAACCTCCAATCGGCCCCCCATCTCGTAGTGGCCCGATTTATCAGAACCCTGGATCTTATCATAACACGTTCCAAAGCTCCGCAGCACCAATCCAGCAAGATTATAGAGGTCCCCTAATTGTTCCCCCGTCCCTGAGACCAGCCCCCATGTTTGGTGGAAATATTCACCCTGCAATTTCTCAGAAAGAGTCTCATAGGAGAATGGAGCCTATTCGAGAGCAACCAACATCACAAACTACACTTGCACCTGCGACACCACCGTTGGCAACAACCACTTTTACTAGCAACAATAAAGATGCTTTGGCTCAAGTGAAAGATATCTCAGTTGCAAACAACATTATCACAATTCAAGGAAAGCCATTTGAAATTCCTATTGATGATGGAGCAAGATACAGTTCTCCTCCCACTGGAGGTGTTCTAAAACTCATGAATGTAAGTGTCACCCTGATATACTCTGCAACTTTTAGGGCATCTTCAAGTTGAGTTGTTGTTTCCAACGCGTCATAATACTGACTTTGATGAAGATTCCCTATGGTATCTCTAAACAAGAGGTTGTCCACTTTATGGGCCGCAGAGCAAAGTTGCTTCCCTTACATCTTGGAACTGCAGTTCACATCATCATGGACCGATCCACTGCGAAGACAATGGATTGCTATGTTGAGTTTCTCACAACAGCAAATGCGAAAGAGACCCTTGAATGGTTGAACAGAGGCCTACCTGGAGCTCCCCCTCGTCTTGGTGATCGCCACATCGATGTCGAGTTAAGTTCTCAGGACGAGCTTCTTAAAGAATTATTCCCCCGCGCGAAATGCATTGTCTGGAGAGATGGGAAACCAATTCTGACTCGCAACAATGACCCTTATTCTGTTGGCTTTCAAAGCTTTCTCACTGCAGAAGAGGTTTTTTGTATGATCCGCAATGCGGAAATGCCCAGAAGAGTACGTTTCGCTTCGCTTGACACCAGCTCGTCCAGGTGAGCTAATAGGAAATAGGCTCCATTCGCTACTAAATGCCCTCAGCGTACCTACGAAGCTCTGATTAGCACACTTTACAAAGTGAGCTTCCTCCACATCTTAGTTTTGAGAATATTGATTACTTACTGCACTTTCTGCTTCAGTTTCCATGGCATGCAACTACACTTTATAGCGTCGAAGATCGCAATGCGCTTCATTTTGCGTGTTTTTCCCAGCTGCAGACTCTAGCTGCACGTGCTTCTGAAAAACGGACACTTGGTTTAGATAGCCGCCTCCTTCTGGATCTATTAAACGCTGGACTCCGTTGCCCAACGTTCACTGAGTGTCAAAAAGCAGCTCTCTACTCTGCTGCCAACGATCAGACCTCATATAAGGCTACCCCAGAGACAACAAAATTTTGGCCCTTCGACACATTGGTTCAGAAGTCTAACGCTACTGAAGACAATGTGAACGTGAGTCTTTACATTTTACCTTTTCAGGGTTGGTTTAAATTCTCTCAGCTAACTTAAGTGATGCTTCAGAAATTTGCTAGCCTGATAGCCAAAGGTATAGAACGCAAGAATCCAGGAACAGGGATTCTTGCAAACAATTGGATTCCCCGCCCTGGAATAATGTCTCCTTTTGGCCCTGTTCGGCTTGAGTTTGTGGCTAGCCATACTCATCTTAAGTGGAACATGGCCGTCCAGTACGAAACTAAGGTCCTGCAGGGGATGGTCGCAGAGGGCCTTAAGGCCATCCGTGAGGCGCCATCACGGAGAAACGCAAGGGCGCCCCTGGCTCCTTAGGGGCTGGGAAATGGGGCCCTAGGGCTGGCTTTTTGAGCTTCCTTGGGGGTTTCCCCTTATTAGTTGTACTGTTTGTGCCTTCGGGCATTAGATGGCTTTGGTCGTGTCCCTGGGTCTGCTTCTTTTCTTTTCCCTCTTTCCTTTTCCCCCCCCCCCCCCCCCCCCCCCGCCCTTTCCCTCTCCCTTTGCTTTTTCTTTTTCTTTTCTTTTTCTTTTTTTAACGTCTTGTTAACTCCCTTGCCCTAACCCCCTAGATGGCTGTTGGTACAGACTAGTGTTGACAAGGAGTTGAGGACAGATTGGAAAGTCCATCTAGGGTGTTAGGGCAAGGGTATTAAAGGCTGTTGCGGTCTGTTTTTATCTTTTTTTGTCGGGGCGGGCCCTCCCCTTGTTACTAGCCCAGGTTAAAGGCCCTTAATATGCCTGGGTGGAAGAATAATATATGAATCAAAAAGTAAAAGAGGAGTTAAAATGACAAAAAGGAATCTCGGCCATTTTGCTACCGTATAACTAGTGACGCAATGGCTTTTACCAGTATTTCACCCTTGGGCGTCAGGGAAATCAAGAGGCATCTCATCCTCGCTTTCGGGTGTCTTATCATTCGGTTTGGCGGCTTTTCTTGCCGCTTCTCTCCTTTGTAGTCCTTCAGCACGTTTCCTCTCCCTCCTTCGGTCGGCATCCTCCCACTCCCTTTTCTGGGACGATAAGTTGGATGGAGATCCCGAAGATAGGGCTAACAATTTGGTCCGAAATCTGTCCATTCGAGCGTAGTTGCTTTGGAACCTTTCATTGGCGATAGAAACGAGCATGCGGAGGTATTCTTCGCTCACAAGACTCCGGACAGTGGACTCTTCCGGACAGTTCCCTTTCTCTACGTAGCCAATAATGGACTCCAACGCCAATCCAGATGACCTCACGGCCACAATGGGGCAAGCGTTCGAGTCATCAAGGCAGCGAAGGCTTTGGATGCCGCTTTCGCGAAAGCCGGCACTTGATGCTGCGGCCAGGACAGGCTGGGCATGTTTGAGGGACTCTGCCATGATATGGAGGATCTAGATAGAGATCAACAATGCACACTCCTTTCCACGACACTTGCTGCTTATGGGAGGCAATGTGGCTCACCATTGGCTCAAAATGAAAACGCACAAGCTGCGTCTCTCTGTTTTTTCCCGCTTTCATTGAGCCGTTTCCAGGTTGGAGGCCGAAGAGCTCGTGGAAGGAGTGGCGAGATTGGTCGATATTCACAGGATCATGCGAGACAAATTGCCATTTTCCGCTGCCTTTCCCGCCAGTCGAGGCAAATTGTCTCGTTTGAGCACTCGACAACTCCCCGCCAACTTCTTCTTCTTCTTCTCGTTCCCCACCGTCCTGCGACGGCTCTGCGCTCAACCTTGCCCCTTCAAGGAAAACGCTAATCCGGCCAGCGCAGCTGCTCGTTGTCACAAGTCCTTGGAGCCGGTTAATGTCCCGAATTAAACCTCTAATGCCGACATCTACAGAGCCCTTGGGTGACAAATCCGTGTATTCTTCGTCAGGGAGAGATAGAGAGCCTAGGATCTTCAGCTTCTTAGCCTCAAAGGACCGTGCAGATGTCATCGTTTGGAAGAGAGATCCGGAGCAACGTCCCATCAGCGTCGGCATGAATGGTTTCCTGCTGACTACTAGTGAAACAAATATGAGTGAACCTATTGTCAAACCCCGTTACGCCGATCTGCAGCGGCTTTCAGTTCCTGGGATTTTGTTGCAAATGATTTCTGCTTAAATCGCCAAAAGGATACCGACGAGAAGGGCGATTTCTTGCTTTCACCAAACTGGCAGACGGACGGATGCAGCTGACACAATGCATGCAAGAAATTAGTTAGACTTTTGAAGACGAATTCGATAACGCTCTATGCTACTCCGTACAATTGAGAAATAAAATCATAAAATACTTCAGAGGATGATTCCAACTGCTTGTGGGGGGCAGAATCGGCGCTATCTTAGGAACCAGTTGACGAACTCTAGTTAACTAGTTAAGCTTAGCTGCTCCTTAGCTTCTCCGTAGCTCGGCCAGTTCCAACGTCTTTAATATAGAGCCGGAATTGCTTCTGAAGAGAAGGATACTTGAAGGCTTTCGAGGAAAAGGACCGCGATCCCAAGTAGCCAAATTGGTCGAACTGGTGTCCCTATCTTATCGATATCCCCAGGAAACCTACGAATCAGACACGATCACAATACTGCCATGCCTCGCGCTGCACGTCGCCGAACTGCTCCCAACGCGTCCGCCAAGCGCCAAAAGAATCGGCGAGCCGACGCCTCTCCCGACGCACAAAGGCCGGGGAAAAGGCAAAAAACTGCGGCGAGTTTGCCACAAGAAGACGACACTCTCAAATCTACGCCGAAAAGGAGCAAATACTTCCTGCCTGCAGATGCTGAGAGCTCCGAGGCAGAGTATTGCCCAACGCCCATATCTTCCCCGCCTCTTAGCCCCGATTCTACGAATGCGGACCCCTGGGTCCCCGATACAGACGAGGAGAGTGATGACAACGGTCGAAAACGTAGCGGAGCAGCTAGGAAAGGGAAGCAGAAGAGCAAGAGGAGATCGCAGGGCAAAGGCGGCAGGGAGCCGGAGCAGACTCGAGCTTCAAAATTAACAGACCTATGGAGAGAGGGTGTGCGGACGGGCCTGGGCCCAGGCAAAGAAGTCTATATAGAACTTCCTCAGGCCCGAGATCCGGGAAGCACGCCATATGAGGACCACACGATTCATCCGAATACATTGCTGTTCCTGGAAGATTTGAAAGCGAACAATGACAGGGACTGGCTGAAGAGTAAGCCCCCCCCCCTTTTCTGGATTCTACAATTATCTTTGCGTTTACTCGACGTGTTCTTATAACCGTTCAGAGCATGATTCGGATTATCGCACGTCACAGAAGGATTGGGAGGCATTCGTGGAGAAATTGACCGAGAAAATTATTGAAAAGGATAGTACTATTCCTGAACTACCGGTGAAGGACGTGGTAGGTTGAAGTGCTGCACTGTTCGGACAAGGCGGCTTCCTAGATGCTGATTGAACGGGCAACGCATCCAGGTGTTTCGTATATATAGGGATGTCCGGTTTACCAATGACCCTACGCCTTACAAGGTAGGTGTTGTTCCAATCCAGATACCCTTTACGACGCTTCGCTTTTCCGTGATGTCTTCACGCCGCATGATGATGACATGCTAACAACATTCAGCCACACTTCTCAGCGGCATGGTAAGCCAAGAAACTTTTAATCCCTCCTTCTAAGCTGAACAAGGTCCTGACCCATATCATTATAGGTCCCGGACTGGTCGTAAAGGACCTTATGCGGCTTACTACGTCCACCTGGAACCAGGGAAGTGCTTCGTTGGTAGGTCTCTCAAAGCCTTCATACCCATATCATTTAAATTATTTGAGGATCGCTCTCGGTATCTCGGGTGCTGTGTGACCAACCACCTAGTGATATGGCAATCTCACATCCACAAAGGAGCACTGTCAACAAATTCAGGCATCGACGAGACGAGACATTGCAGCAGATCGAAGCGGCCTCAGCAAGATCTTTGTCTAATTATACTTCGCTAGGTTCGGGTCTATGGATGCCAGAGGCGGCAAGGCTGGCCCTTCTAAGGCAAGACATCGACGGGCGATCGGAGCGCATTAAGCGCGTCTTGGGCCACTCCGACATACGAAGGGAAATTTTCGACGATATTCCTGACGAAGAAAAGAAGGTAGTGAAGGCTTTCATCAGTCAAAATCAAGAAACCGCTTTGAAAACCAAACCGAAGGTAAGGGAATGTTTCTTTGGTCACCGAGTGTTGACATCACCAACACATCCTAATGTTGCGAACCAACTGGGCCGCAACAATCACTCTCTTATCAATTCTTGTATCTCAAATGCCTCCATACTGCCGTGGATGAAATCATAGAGGTAAAATCGGGCAGCTGGCGAGTGTTGCGAACGGTCTGGCTGGGCCGAAACAGCCGAAAACGCGTGTCGCCGTGTAAACAGAAACGAGCCGACTGGTTCATCTCATCAGGTCTCATCATATCTTGCGGAGGAAGGCCTTGTAGGTTTACTTGCGGGCCTTTTCAAGCTTGCTGTAGATGCTATTGACTCGGTGGTGTTCGTTTTAGACGGTGTGTCTTCATGGGGCTTCGCTTGGAAGGCTGGTCGCCGCCGTTGGTGCAAAGTCTCGACGCCATGAAGGCATCAACGATGTGAGCGACAAGGCTGTCGACGCTTGACTGCTTATTTGACGAGTCCTGAGGTCATTTTGAAAAGCGTGTTCATGGAGAACGGACGACGGGGTTGCGAAGAGGGCGCGCTGTTTGTGGATTTGGCTCGGTTCCATGCCCTGTTCGCCCACACTGAGGGCCCCCCTGAAACCTCAGCCCTGATCAGAGTTCACACTACGATATCTGGTTGCACTATTGCCCTCTGTACCGCATTTCGCGGTGGGCTCTCGTTGCAACGCATACGGGCCTTGTGCCGCTCCCATTCCGCTACACAAAGAAGCCTTCCCGTGCGTGCCTTCAATGCGCTAACCTTGATTCCTCGGTTCTAGGGCTACAGTTCAGAGAACAAGAACATCGAACTACTCCGACTGCGCTCTTTCACGCTCAATAAGCAACTCCGTGACGAGGATCTGTTGGGCCCAGAAGCGCTAGACAGGATTGCGAGTATTATCGGAATCATGGTTCCTTTCGTAAGTCCACATCCCATACTTGTCTCCCTTGGTCCCTCTTGCGGCCTTACACAACATCACAACCGTCTCGATTTTGCACGGACCCTGCCACTCCGTTTTACCCTTGCCGTCCCACCTCTTGATGCAAGCGCTGGGGAGGTTGGGCACATCAGCATTTGACTTTCATCTGTCTTGCTACCCATGGACCCAATAATCCCGTTTTTTTCTTTTCTTTTCTTTTTTTTTTTTTTTTTGGCATATCTCCGGGTAAAGAAAAGGATCAGCTTTGTTGGTCGCTTGGCCGGGATGCCCCGATACCTTTTCAGTCCTGGGCAGCTGTTGGGTGTCCACATCTGGACCCTTTTTCCGAAAGATGCTGCTCCTTAACCCCTGCCCTCAGGCGACTGGACCACCCTCCAGTCTCACATTGCGTGCACTAGCCCGTCTCCCGCTCTCCCTACCTCTGATGTGGCATCTTCAGCAGCAGCAACAAAAGGCGTATTGGACACGCGTATCGCCTGTGGAGCCCACCTTGCCAAACCCCACCATCTTCTAATGCTTTGTATTGACTGGCATTGCCACTTGGACAGGTCACATACTTGAACAGCGTTGTGATGCCTGATCTGGACGAAAACGAGCAAAACGATGACGATGAGGAGCCGGATGGAGGCAGTACTTCCTCGTAGGCAGAGCCAGGTCAGCTTGGGGACACGACTCAGCCAGATATCTACTTTTGCAGTTCAACCTCCCCAGGTTTACGCGCAAAGTCTTTCGACCAATAACGCAAATGTAGCCGTGAGGTTCAACCCCCCCCCTTTTTTTTATTGTGCTTGATTCATTTCCTTTTGAGAGTCCATGCCCAATTGTTGGAACTACATTAGAGACCAATATCAGGAGATGTGGGAGGAAACATTTGGAAGCCGGAACCCCCGGCTTTGGAAAAGCTTCGTTGCGAGCATCGCTCGACCAAGAACCAACCCAAGCGATGGTGTTTCGATTTCGTGACATGTAGGCGGGGGGAATGGGTGGGAAGGAATTAGCCTTTTGCTCGTTGAGCGGGAAGTTGATGCTTGGAACAAAGTTTACCATAGAACCGATTCTGAAGGCTTGCGGATGCGGTTTCGGAGATTTGACATGGAGACCGTGTTCCCCCTCCGGGCATCATGAAACACGAGAAGTTTCTCCCTACGGTTTCTCTGGTCATTTGCTCATCAGCATTGGCTCGGATTGGGAAAAAAAAGGATTATAACATTTTCTTTCAAAGAAAATTTTTTGAGTTTGAATTTTTTTTTTTTTTTTTTTTTTTTTGCCTTTGGGAAAGTCTTGGAAGTATCATAGAAATCCTTGTTAATCGGAGATACAGGGTCAACTGGGAGATGGTGATATTGTCGCTCCATGTATGTATGCACATACGTACGTACGTACGTATATACATGCAGTGAGAATGCATATTCAAACGTTATTGTCTGCGGACGAGAGTGTAATTCGGGCACTTGCTTTGACATGCATATACACCCTTGTTTGAGATATGAAGCGGGGGTTTATGCGAGTCACCCGGTAGATAATTCGGCTGAGGAAGTTGGTTTCAAGCCATTCCCGCCAATCGACTGACTATCGATCCGCATAACGGTTGGAATTAAGCACTGGTGATGAATGGTGGAGATACAGGGGAAGGGTTACTGCTAGGTTCGGCCCGAAGAAAAGGATGAAGACTGCACCTAGAATATATTCGTCTCAATAACTAGCCAGCCTCGGCTGAAAGAGTATACAAGGTTAGTATATTTTAGATTTTAGTATCGATTATGCAAGGTCAACTTGGTGACTCTATGTACCTTAATCTCCTAGCTATATATGGCTTGCTGAATGGATGTATGTGTGTGGGCATATATGCACTGTATAATACACGCATACAAAGATGACGCAAAGTGAAAGAAACCTAGAATCAGTAAATAAAGGAGATGCCGTGCTGGAGTGAGCATAACTTCAAAAAGAGATCGGGTATGCAGAGAGCATGTCGAGCCGACGGCTCGTATCGAGTCGCAACTGTATGTCAGGTAAAAGGAGACAGCATAGCCGAAACGGCCTGTGCAGGCATTAGCCTTTTGACACAGCGAAATGCGACCGCAAATCCGATGAGAGCACTCCATATGCACGTTTTTCCCATATCCAGATACGTTCCGGATGAGGCCCGTCGGCAAGGGCTAAATCCCGCCCGGGCGCGAGGATCACTGGGCCAGAATAGAATACCTTGAACGGATGGGGATTGAAGAATGGCATCTCGGAGTTGTTTGTCCGTCTGTTAAGCCCGGATCAAAACGCATCGCTCAAGGGAAACACACCAGTGCACTGTGCTCCGAGGGGTGGCAATCGGATAAGGACCTGTATTGTTTTGGCGTCACAAGTGGCCGGTTGCCCCAGTGGGCAGGAAATAAGGTCAGAAAAAAAAGGCGAGGATGAGATCATAGTTGCATTGATGCCCAACAAGGCGGCGATGTTCTCGCAGCGGATGCGAATTTTCCCCCCAAGTTTCGAGGTGAAGAGATGGACTATAATCGCCGAACAGAACCAGCGCAGCATGTCGTGACACGTGGTGACTGGATATAGCAAAGGAGAAATGAATGTAAGGGGGAGTGGATGTATGTATGTGCGCGCAACAGGACAGGTGAAGGCTGTGCAAATGTGATATGGCCAACGAAGCAATGCATATGGCACAGTGCATACATGTGTATCTCATGGACCTTGGGGAGTTAGGAGTGGCGGACGAGGGCGCGAAGGCGTGAGGGGCAAGCGGCCTGACCTCAGGTCCAGGAGTGGCCGTTGAATCCCGGCATGCTAGTCCTGGAGAAGGAAATACAGTCCCTTTTCAACACTTCTCGCATCATGAGAGCAAAGGTACTGTGAGGAGGCAGGTGAGTATATTAATTGGAACATGGCCATGGGTCTGAAATTGCATATCACGGCGCTTGCAAAGGGGGAAGGATAGGGGAGGGGGCGTTGACGCCAGAGCGGGCGTCGAAAGGAAAGGCCCTGGGATGGCGTAGGCGAACCGCTCGATTGAGCTGGTACAGTAGCGACCCCAAGATCTACCGTCCACGGTCGACCGTCCGCCGGCAACGCCATGGAGTCGCAGCGTCATCCAGGGAGGACCATGACCCATCCAGCCGGGATCAAAACGAGGCTTGGCACGCAGCAGGTGGCGGGCGCCCGGGCTGGTGATGCGGCGGTGCGATTGGCTGAGCTTAGAGCACATGACCAGCAGCGTATGCGGGTCAAGCGGAAGGGACAGGGATGCGGCAAAGCATAACAGCCGTGATGGGCCTTGCCCCACCCTCGCAATTCGGGCGACGCGCGCTTTTAATTTGCGCAACCGGCGGTGACAGCCTCGCATTAGTGCCGGAACCGCCCATATGTCATTAGCCCGTTCCTTTCGCCAGTCCGAGGCGCTGGGCACGTTTTTGTCGCCGCTCTGGACGGGCCCCGGCCATGCGTGTCAGCTGGCGCGAAGTCCAGCCTCCCACACCATGTGACTGTTTGGATGTTGGTGTTCAAAACCACCGCTTCTCCTGCCCATGCCGCCGGGAGCTGGCTATTGGACACCACTTGGGCGGGCTGAACGTGGACGAGCAGGGGGTTTTGCTGTCTGTCCGTCGGCCATCGAAGAGAGAGAGCCGCCAAGTGTTATCGTATTTCGACTGTTTCGTACGGTATTGTACTATTACATCAAAGGCCGTATCAAACGAGGTACCTTGTAAGTATCGCGATTGGCGCTTTTCCGAGATCTCTTTTTTTTTTTTTTTTTTTTTCTTTTTTTTGTGTGTGCTGTTGTCTTCCTTGCTGCCCAACGGCTTCATGACAGGGAGGGAGCAATATACCCCCGCTCATGCAGCTTAAAGGCTCCAGGCAGGTGGGTAAGGCGGGTAAGCGGGAAGTTGAACACTTATCTGGGTATTTGGAAGGGCCTTACCGACGTTGCAGTGAATTGGTCGAATCTGGTTCATCATGGCGAGAACTGAAGGCAGCATGTGCATGCGAAATGTTGATGATGACTTCATATGTGGATTCTGGCATGGCTGTATGCACGCCTTTCGTGCATACCAAACTGTGATTGAACAATGTTTTGTTGTGGCTGGCGTGACATCTTCGGGGACCGGCAACGAGGATCGAGGCGGTGTGGGATTTAAATTTGCGATGCATCAGAGCTGATGAGGGAATCACGCGCAGAATAAGCTCAAAGAAGAACACAACCCAAAAAAAAAAAAAAAAAAAAGGAAAAAGAGAAAAAAGAGAAAATGTCGGTCAGTGAGTGTTGTCGCACGTGTCGCGCAATCTTCAACACTATTCTCTACCCATGCGGCGAAGAGTCATAAATCTTTCCCCGCGAAGGTTGTGGAAGTGATTGCAGATGCTGTGATTTCTTGGACAGAGCATCTTTGTTGATGTCAAGGACTCAAAAGTGTTGACGATGCAGCCCCATTTTTGAAATGGAATATCCCACAAATCAAGTAAGATGACAGAGTTTCCTTGGCTTGCCTGGATAGATTTATAGCCGGTTTTGGCAAGTCGGTGGGAGACATCAAAAGATCGGCGGCAAGAAATAATGTGCTCCAGTGCGAAGCATATGAACATGCAGTGAACCAAACCAAGGATTGGCCTGCATTATCACACACATCATGGTCGCAAAAAATGGATGAGACCTACAAATCAGAATCACATTTCGACAACTTCTCCCGTTGCCTGCATACCCGGTGACAGGACACATGATCTATCGGCAATGCAACGTGCCGCTGCTGCATACACAGACGTCGTACAGTGCAGAGCATGAGGCCAATCGAACCCATGATAGCGAGCAGCCCGTCGTTGGCCCTGAGACTCGAGAGCCAAGAAGGAACCCTACCAACATCACTGCAGTTTCCCCTAATTTTTGTTTCTTTGCTTTTTCTTTTCCCTATCCGTCCTGAACAGTGAAAATGAGTTTGGCTTTTACACCATGTTGTAGTTACAGATGGGGACCTCCTTTTCAGCCTGGAGATCGCCGTTTCAAATCGGAGCGGCCCGCGGCCCGCTAGTCGATCTTCTTGTGCAATGACACTGAAGATTTCCCGGGATCCTGGAGAGATGCGGAGACCACGGGAACACAAGGCCAATCGGCCACGAAACGCTTCCATTTTTTTTTTTTTTTTTTTTTTTTTTTTTTCCATTCCCTGTATGAAGGCAGCCGAGATGTCAATGTCTTGTCCCTGAGCAAGGCCTTCGATGATCAAAACGCAACGAATGAAGCATGGCGGTTGAAAAAAAAGTTCAGCCCATTGAAGTTCGATGCCAGAGGATTCACTTGCTCCAGTGGTAAAATGCTTTTTCCCCTCAAACACCGCGCTTATCCGCCGAGTTAATAACCGATCACAAGTCTTCCCGCGGTTCACAGCCCATGAACCCTGGCTGAAGATCAGCCTGGGAAACTGCAGGTTCGCAGCATAGTCATCCTCCCACAACAGGCTGCAACCTGCATGCCTCTTCGGCTGCCAATACGATCCAAGAAGGCGGGGCCGTCAAGGGCAGCTTCATCGTCACGAAAATCACAATTATTTGAATTTCGCCCGCAGGCGCACTTGGTCCTGTGACTGAACCAGGTTCTGCTCGCACCAACTCTACCAATTGAAGCACAGCTGTTGTACTTGTTGACACGAAAATCTCACAGTTTTGCCGGGACACGCCACGGTGTTGGGCTTTCTTCCGGTATTATCTCGTGGATTGGAGGATATCCATCTGAAGGATCGCTTCCATTCCAGGTCAATTGCAATCTGTCATAATGTATTGCAACTTACAGAGTAGAAATGTAACCGGTGTTCCCAAGAAATTACCCGTCCGAGCAGCTTTTCTGAAATTCGATTAGTTTACCGCGCTAATCCGGCAGCGAAACGCATGGTGCGCCCGGCGCCGGCCTCGTCCAAAGGGCCTGCACCTCAAACACGCACCCATCTCATGAGACACAAGGCCCGCGCCGCTTCATGACCCACGGAAGTTCACTCAGTTGATTGGTGCCGTGTATCTCGCCACAGAGTCCTTTCCCAAACAACACCTTTAGTCGACGCCGGCCAGCGGCGAGCCCGCGCTCCCAGGAACCGCCACCTACCGCGTAAACATAAACTCTCCACAACGATGTCTCACCGCCCTCATCCTTGGATTCCGCGTTGTTTCTATGATGCTTTGTTGCCATTGGCCGAAGGCAGAGGGAAATCATAAAATGAAAGTTGGCAGTCAGCAGTCACACAGGAGAGATTTTTGACAGCTTTCCTGGTGGTGCGATCCTGTCATTGTGCTTGAAAGCTGCACATATCCGTTCCCAGAACCATTGTGAAACCCTATCCTACTTTGCTCTCAAAGCGTGTTGATGTAGGTGCAAAACAAGACCGCCTTGGTCACAATGCATTGCATCATAAAGACGGTGAAGACCCAGGTGACAACACCCGGAAGTGGAGCTGTGACATAGTACACATCGGACAAGACTACGGAGAATGGAGAATGGAGAATGGGAAAGGCTAGTTCCGCCACGGCCCTCGCGTGCACACCCGCAGTGTCCCAGACGTTCGGTTACATATGAGAAACCTGCTCCATTTTGGGTTTGCCCAGATGGACAGAAGCCGTCCGAAAGGGTCTCAGTTTTCGCCAAGGTTCCACTCGTCCTGTTTGCCACTTGAACTTCATCTGCAGACGACCCACTTACACTTCCGTTCGTTGGTTGTCAGCTCCAAGAAGTATGACTTGCAGCCCCCTCCCCCTACAGTACCAGGCTTCCACCCGTCTTTCCAGAGTTGACGCTTCGCCCGTCCAGCGAGTCCTGCAAGGGCGGGCCGTCGAGCTTGCTTAAATCCGGGTCAAAGCATTGTTTTGTATCCATGGTTCACTGCTGGCTAGACCTGGAGCACGGGATGTACCGCGTATATGTGCAACATCTGCACGTATGTATTGTATACCTCGCCCTTTTGTACAGCCGTTTTGTATGGATACAAAATGCGCTCCATTTTCGCAAGGGGCCCTCAGTTAAGTTAGGGGGGGAAAAAAACGTGTTGCGTGGGTTTTTCTTGGCCTGTCTGGCGATCAAAGTGGAGCCGTTTGGCCTTAAAACACCCTCCCTATCGCTGGGACCAGAGTTTTCACGAGTGAGTCTGGAGGGACTTGGGGGATGAAACTTGACAATTCTCTTGCCTCGGATGGTTTTTGGGTCAGAGAGGAAAATGATGTCCTGCATGCATGTATGAATCTAACGCACATACATCATACATGCAGATATGTGAGGAAGCCCAAATGCACCCCCCTTTGGGCCTGAATACACAGCCCCTTTCCGAGAGATATTTTTTTTTTTGTTGGGGTTAAGTCCATCTGGAAAGTTCAAAGTCTGCAAAAAGTTGCCGAGCTCATCTGGGTCACCCGAGTTTGGCGCTGGGTATCACCGATGTTCTCCTGACATCCTTTCTGCGAGTTCTTTTTTTTTTTCCCCATTTTTTTTTTGGGGGGGGGGGTGAAGAATATCATCATCCAGACTCCAGTGGAACCGCCGAAGGGGGGGAGGTTTAGCCTTGACACTTCGGGACATTCCCTTCCAACAGTAGCACAGAAGAGAGTCCCGTCTCAATTCTTTGCGTAATTCATTCCGTACGTCCATATGATGTACTCCGTACCGAACACGTGTACATAATTGCCCTGGGAACCTGCAGTCATAATAACGGAGACCGTATTGCTACCAGTGTTCTTTTTCTTTTAAAGTATTATTCACGGCTGATAGTCATGCAACCCCACAATGTTCCGCTTGACGGATAAGGCTGAGAAAGACGATGACGGTCCTACGACAGGAGCAACAAACCTCATCGTGCAGATACCCTTGACAGGCAGTGCCCCATATACTCTTGCAAACGCTAATCCATGTTACTTCGTATGAAGTGTATTGATTGTACGAACTTGCGCGGAGGAGGAGCCCGGAAGTTACGTAACGAAGTTATCTCAGGATAACTCTTATCCCTAGGAGGTGGTCAGTACATTGCAGCTGATATGCTGAATGGATGTATGTGGACGGTATGGCCGCCCAACCCAATGAACTGTATTCTTGTTTTATATTTTTAGGTTTATTTTTATTTTCACCCCCCGGAGACCACGAAAGTGGCCGGCTGATTACCGATACGCTTATATGCTAATTTACGGGATGATGCGCTCTGGTTTCGTCGGGCCACGTCCCCCCGACCCTCCGTGAGGGTGACGTGCTACCGCTGCTGTATCTTACTGGCGTTTCTTTTGAATGGGCGGTTGGGAGAAGCTCTCAACTAGGTTTGGAATTTTGGATGGTTCCGTGTGAGACGGGCACTATGGTCGTCCATGTCGGACGTGAGCAACCTTGTTGGATCTGTGGGAGCCGGTAGGTTATTGGAGAACCGCGAGCCCGTCCCCGACGCGACGTGGTGAATTTAAGGCCAAAAAATATGGGGTAAAAGGTTTTGGAGGTGACGATGCATTGCCACGGGAGGGGCTGAAAGGAGGAATTGACCAGGAGGAGGTTCGTTATGGCCAGGGATAACAACAAGACACGTCTTTGGACTGGAGGTTCTGATATAGCGATGTAAGCATCATAGATGTCTTAGATACCAGCGGGGTAACGAAGCTGGCTAAAGAGGCGAAAAAGTGCCGTTGCTTCGTGATGAAGTTTTCCACTTCCCACATAAATATAGTGACCCATGCCTTTAACACAACAACACCCCCCCCTTGCCCAGCGTTTGCTGAAGGATTCAAGGTTATGGGATCAGAGTTGGGGTTTGGGTGTGAGGAATGTCGTCGACAGTCGGCTGCAGATTGTTCTTGGCCGCCAAAAGTTTAGGAAATTGGGGATTGTTAGCAATGTGTGGAGATCTTGACC